ATAGTAAAGGCGCGTGAGTTGGATTAGACAATGGGGTACAGCACCTGCCTTTGAGTATGACGCGAGTAGCGGCACACAAAAGGACATGGTCACACAGACTTCAGACAAAGGGAGAATGAGATTGCAACACACAAAGGGAAGGGGTACCACCTGCTACCACCTCCCCCACCCGACCCCGGGTTTCACCCGCGTCACCCCCACCCACACCCTCACTGGAGGGTGGTGAAATACTATTTTACGATATACTGTTAAAGCCGGACTGTCGTCCAGGTCAATAAAAACAACCAACAAATGGGCAACTGGTCAACAACCGATAAACTGATCATCTGGTCAACTACTGGTCAGTTGGTCCACTGGTCAACAAAATGTATAACATTATTATTTAACCATTAATAAAACAATAGCTCAAGTGGTCAGTTGGTCAACTGGTCAATATATCGATCAATTGATCAAAACAATAACCTCCTCCTCCTCTATGATAATCGTTTTGGTCAACACGTGGTCAAGTGGTCAACATACCGATCAAAACAATAACCTACTAGTCAAAATAATCAACAGTTGTTTAATGAACAATCAACAACGGGCTAAAAAATCAATAGTTGGTCAAAAACATGGACACAAATCAACAGGTGGTCGAGAATCAATCAATAACGGTCAAAATATGCAACAGGTGGGCAAAAATCAATCAATAACAGTCAAAATAATCAACAATTGTCCCTCCTCCGCCTCCTCCTCATAATCAACAATTGTCCCTCCTCCGCCTCCTCCTCCCCCTCGCCTCCTCCTCCTCCTCCCCCTCGCCTCCTCCTCCTCTTTCGACCCAAAGGGGACCTACTATACTACTAAGGTCCCGCTGTGTTACAGATTAGTGATAGCTCGGAAGGGGGGGGGGGGGGCGTAATGTATATGGCACTCTTGACTGGGGTTATTTGGGGGTTTAGGGGGAGGAGGCAGATATCGTAAGATAGAGGTCGTATGTTAGAAGGTTATTTTGGTAGGATCGAAAGGTAGGGTAGGGGTTATATCGTTACCAGTGTGCGGTAGAGGCTAGGGTAAATATCTCGGACTCAAAGGGGGGGGGGGGGCGAGGGGTGAGGGGTGAGGGGTGAGTGGGAAATAAAAATCGAAATCAGACATTTTTTTACCACATGACACATCTGTATGTATTTTAGTAACAAAAAAGTAAAGTTACACCGACGAAGTGAGGCAATTAAAGTACAGTTGACATGTGTCTGTCACCTCGACACGTTAGTAATTAGTGTCGTCAGCACTGTGGGCTGCCGCCTTTACTTTCCCTAATGTGAGCCAGGATTCCATTAGAGCTGGGTGGACTCAAGCGCGACTCAGCACTTTGGCCTGTCGCCTTTACTTTCCCTAATGTGAGCCAGGATCCCATTAGAGCTGGGTGGACTCAAGTGCGACTCAGCACTATGGCCTGTCGCCTTTACTTCATTATTATTGTTTTTTTTTGTCATAACATTTCGAAATCGTTAACAGTTCTAATCAGTAGGCTTCAGTTAAATGTCAGGCATTTTCAAATAATGTCGCCTTTCCCTAAAGTGAGTCAGGTACCCATCAGAGCTGGGTGGACTCAAGCGCAACTCAGGGGTCCAAACACGACACTTTTGTGCTGGTACTCATGTACTCTACAGTCTCACCACGCTGTCCCATATCCTAATTTGAACCCTGTTATAAACATCAAAAGAAAACAGTTTATTTTACAGGCGAATAGAAAATGACATATGTTATATCTAAGTTTAGTGAGAGTTGAACTGTAGAACAAAGTTTGCACACCTCAAACAATTCTCGCAACAGTGCAATGTCGTGCGCAAGAAAGCAAGGAATGTGGATCTTTCATCGATCTTTGCAACACACACCCCGCCAGATGTTGCTGTTTGCACAACAGCTCTGGTCTCATTTTCACAGGATTAAAACGCCAGATTATCTTCAGATTATCTTCAAATGCGAATACGATTATCTTAGCCGATCGATTAAGTATAGGCCAATGGATCTTAGATGGTGTAGGGGGGGGGTCTCTAAAATACACACTTTGTAGCTGACCTTTCAAGGGTCAAGTAGTGTCCATAGTTTATTGTCGATATTTATAAGGAAAGGAATACAGTAATTATTAGTCGTAATCTGTTAAACGCCATAAATGGTAATTTTATATTCTTTTGATGTCGACACAGTTCCTAGAAAAAAATGTGAAAGAGAAAAAGAGAAAAGTTGTAAAACATAACCCCGGGCAGAAGATTACCTAGGGCAGAAGATTACCTAGGGCAGAAGATTACATAGGGCAGAAGATAAACTAGGGCAGAAGATTACCTAGGACAGAAGATTACCTAGGGCAGAAGATTACTTAGGGCAGAAGATTACCTAGGGCAGAAGATTACCTAGGGCAGAAGATTACTTAGGGCAGAAGATTACCTAGGGCAGAAGATTACTTAGGGCAGAAGATTACCTAGGGCAGAAGATTACCTAGGGCAGAAGATTACCTAGGGCAGAAGATTACCTAGGGCAGAAGATAAACTAGGGCAGAAGATTACCTAGGGCAGAAGATTACCTAGGGCAGAAGATAAACACGGCAGAAGATAAACTAGGGCAGAATATAAATCTGGGCACAAGGTTAGATGGGGCAGAATATCAACCAGGGCAGAATGTTAACCAGGGCAGAATGTTAACCAGGGCAGAATGTTAACCAGGGCAGAATGTTAACCGGGGAAGAATGTTAACCAGGGCAGAATGTTAACCAGGGCAGAATGTTAACCAGGGCAGAATGTTAACCGGGGCAGAATGTTAACTAGGACAGAATGTTAACCAGGGCAGAATGTTAACCAGGGCAGAATGTTAACCAGGGCAGAATGTTAACCAGGGCAGAATGTTAACCGGGGAAGAATGTTAACCAGGGCAGAATGTTAACCAGGGCAGAATGTTAACTAGGGCAGAATGTTAACCAGGGCAGAATGTTAACCAGGGCAGAATGTTAACCAGGGCAGAATGTTAACCAGGGCAGAATATTAACTCGGGCATAATGCTAACTCGGGCATAATGTTAACTAGGGCAGAATGTTAACTAGGGCAGAATGTTAACCTGGGCAGAATATTAACTCGGGCATAATGTTAACTCGGGCATAATGTTAACCCGGGCAGAATGTTAACCAGGGCAGAATGTTAACCCGAGATACTGCCAGACGTGACAACACAAGCCAGGCGCTGGGACCTGGGATGGTAATTAATATCCACAGGATAAAAGTGGACGATATCCACAGGATAAAAGTGGACGATATCCACAGGATAAAAGTGGATAATATCCACAGGATAAAAGTGGATGATATCCACAGGAGAAAAGTGGATGATATACACAGGAGAAAAGTGGATGATATACACAGGATAAAAGTGGATGATATCCACAGAATAAGAGTGGATGATATCCACATAATAAAATTGGATGATATCATAAGAATAAAATTCGATTAAAATTGAGAGGCCACTAATTATCTGAATGAGATCCTTTGGTAATGAAAATGGAAAAGTTGGAGCGACATGACCTAACAGAATCCTCGATTGGAATTTACAGGTAAAGTGGCGACTTTCCTCAAAGTTCTCTAGCAAGTCTGGAGGAAGAAGAAACAATTTGGTGTTACTGTTGTAAAGGTAAAGTTGTTGAGTAGATTGCGACATGGTGTTGGTAGTCGTAAAGCCTTGTCAGCTGGTATCATGATATGTTTTACATTGCGTTGTTCGTATGTCGTGTCTCTACTTTCAACTCAAACAATAAAAGCTGGTATCATAACATTTTATCATAAATAATACAAGCTTGTATCATAACATTTCTTTCATTACTTTGTTCGTGTTACGTGTCTCTTCTTTCAACCCAAAAAATAAACACCGCAACATTAACCGATTTCAGCCCGTTCACCAAAAATGTAACTCTAAAATTATTATTCCCTGTTATGTTACCGATGGCTGGGTTATTGCCGTTGATCAATACATTTTCCTTTCTAACTTCAAGTGTCGGAGTAAACAAAATTCAATTAAAAAAAAAGTTCCTTTTGTTTTGCGCATTTTATTTCGCGTTTTTATTTATCTTAAGATTCTCAAAACTTCGTAAACGAAGCCTCGATGTTAGGTTAAATTCAGCGAGGTTCATAATACTCAAGGATTCACTGGTATATAAGTCTATATAATTTAACTCCAATAGCTATGTCGTTTGATGCAGCCCATGTCTTTTATTTAATACATCGGAAACACTAATTGGTTTATCATTATCGTCAAATTAATGTGCTGTTGTTAAATGTTCGTTGTTGTGCTGATATTAATTGTTGTACTTATACTAGATCTAATTGTTTATTGTTGTGCTGATGTTAAATCATTGTCAACTTCATGATGTTGTTAGCTCATTGAAATACCAAGATTTATGCTACATGTTTTGTACATCTGTAAATAATACCACAACATACGAATTCAGCAACATACATTGCTAGAACCGCACGTAGTATGTCAATATTACTGTTGTATGCTACGGCATTGGAATAAAGACAGTATGTCAATATTACTGTTGCATGCTACGGCAATGAATAAAGACAGTATGTCAATATTACTGTTGTATGCTACGGCAATGAATAAAGACAGTATGTCAAGATTGCTACGGCAATAAAACAAAGACAGTATGTCAATATTACTGTTGTATGCTACGGCACTGAAATAGACAGTATGTCAAGATTGCTGTTCTATACTACGGTATTGGAATAAAGACAGTATGTCAAGATTACTGTTGTATGCTACGGCACTGAAATAGAGACAATATGTCAAGATTGCTGCTCTATACTACGGCAATAAAACAAAGACAGTATGTCAAGATCGCTGTTCTATACTACGGCAATAAAACAAAGACAGTATGTTAAGATTACTGTTGTATGCTAACACCAGATCCCAACAAGGAACTACCAAAAAGTTATTTGACTTTTCAAGCTTGGATGCACAAAGCCAAACAGTGGAACGTGGCGGATTATGCTAATATTTGATGGATTAAACTTTTTGATACATATCCTATTCACCAGGTACAATAACAGATGGGCATTGTATGACAGCGGAGGTGAAACATTTTCATATAAATAGTTTTCAGTTTGTGTTTTCAGCTTTTTGAATGTCTTTCAACACGACTGCTTGAAATTGTGTTTTTCAACATGAATGTTTGAAATTGTGTTTTTCAATGCGACTATTTGAAAACGTGTTTATTTTTTCAACATGACTGTTTGAAAATGTGTTTTTTTTTCAAGGCGGGCGTTTATCCATTTGAAAATTACAATTTGGTGAGAAAATACTTTTCTGGAGTATCTTGAGGAAAGATTTAATAGAAGATAACTTTAGAGTTTAGAAACTTCATACGATGGGGTCTAATGCTGGTAGGACAAAAAATTTCCGTAGCGGCTTTCGATTACCATTCTCCACTACAGGTATGTTTTTGATCATCTTGCTTCTGACATGTACGCTAGTTTGTTTGATAAACTTCAAGACTTACTCGCACCCTACAAGACATTCGAGAGAAAGTTTCAATTCTCAGACAGTAGCATCGCGTTACGGTCAGCTGTTTACCAACTTGGCTGTCAAGTTTTGGGAGGATTATAAAACAAACGACAAGGACAGAAATTTCAGGTTGGCGGATAAAGTGGGGGGTGGGGTTTATTGTGAGCCGGTGGAGTTCTTGACTTCAATGGACCCATCGCTGGGATCTCTGGATCCACGAGCCTTGTGTGAGGGGATGTCTGGACACTCGGACGTCTTGTGTAGAGTCTACCTGCACCAGATTGGGGTTCGTAAGACGGAGATTCACGAAGACGCGTGTGTCTTGCAAGGGTCGGCAACGAAGGTGCCGAAGATTGTGTACTTCGTGACGTTTGGGAGCTACGAGTTTCAGATGAGGAATTACGTGGCCGTGCTGGCGGCTAAAAGACACATCGACCCCCAGGCTATCTACGTTATAGGGGACCAGCACCCCACGGGCCCGTGGTGGGAGTTGGTGATTCGTGACGTCCCAGGGATCAGGTGGGTCTCGGTCTTTCTAGTGATTGGTGTCTTGTTCTAGTGATTGTTGTCTTGTTCTAGTGATTGGTGTCGTGTTCTAGTGATTGGTGTCGTGTTCTAGTGATTGGTGTATTGTTCTAGTGATTGGTGGCTTATTCTAGTGATTGGTGTCTTGTTCTAGTGATTGGTGTATTGTTCTAGTGATTGGTGGCTTGTTCTAGTGATTGGTGTCTTGTTCTAGTGATTGTTGTCTTGTTCTAGTGATTGGTGTATTGTTCTAGTGATTGGTGGCTTGTTCTAGTGATTGGTGTCTTGTTGTAGTGATTGGTGTCTTGTTCTAGTGATTGGTGGCTTGTTCTAGTGATTGGTGGCTTATTCTAGTGATTGGTGTCTTGTTCTAGTGATTGGTGGCTTGTTCTAGTGATTGGTGTATTGTTCTAGTTATTGGTGTCTTGTTCTAGTGATTGGTGTCTTGTTCTAGTGATTGGTGTCTTGTTCTAGTGATTGGTGTCTTGTTCTAGTGATTGGTGTCTTGTTCTAGTGATTGGTGTCTTGTTCTAGTGATTGGTGTCTTGTTTTATGTGTACACAAGTAGATCTCTATATAACTATACACCCTCTTGCGATCATGCTCTATTTAGCTCTCCATATATTAACATTTCCTCTTGCGAACATGGCTAATTTAGTTGTCCATATATTAAAATTTCCTCTTGCGAACATTCCTTATCTAGTTCTCGATATATCAAAATCTCTTCTGCGAATATGCCTTAAGAAGTTCTCCATATGTCAACATTCCTTCTTGCGAAAATACCACACGACAAGGATGTCTACACTTTTGATTGAGTTAATAGAAAACATGTAAAAGCCTGAAAGAAAATACACTACTTTCACATTTCAACATTGATTGAGGTTTCAGATTCACTTGGGTATAGTCTGGTTATGTATTTAGATTTATGTATTGTACCCAATAACCTTTAGTTATGTTAATACCAAAAATGTACACGATTTTTGTTTACACATGTTATACGTTCTACTCGTATTTAAAGTTCAATACACCTATAATTTGTAACACATGTTTCTTTTGCACTAGAATACAAATAGTTGGACAAAATTTATAAAAACATCATACACTAAACAATAAAACAATATGTTACTCATTGAGATTTGTCCAAAACAACAAATGTCGCCAACTGTTACATTGATTGAATTGAAAGAGACTCGTTTAAAGTTACACCGTACAAAGATTGAACTGAATGTGACTTGGATCTATTTTTAACCACCGCAGGTTTGTGTACAGGGAGGCGCCGTTGGAGATCGCAGGCTACAGGATCAAGAAAAAGGAACACAGGTCTGACGTCATCAGGCTCCAGATGTTGTATCTGAATGGTGGGATTTATCTGGACACGGACATGGTGGTTTTAAGGAGCCTGGATGCTTTGTTAGGTGGGTCAGGTGGTTTTTTTCGTTGGATGGGTGGTTTTTTGTTAGGTGGGACAGGTGGCTTTCTGGTTAGGTGGGTCAGGTGGTTTCCTGATTAGGTGGGTCAGGTGGTTTTTTTTGGTGGGTCAGGTGGTTTCTTGGTTATGTGGGTCATTGGTTTTTTGTTAGGTCGGTCAGGTGGTTTTTTGTTAGGTGGGTCAGGTGGTTTCCTGGTTAGGTGGGTTATGTGAATTTTTGTTAGGTGGGTCAGGTGGTTTCCTGGTTAGGTGGGTTATGTGAATTTTTGTTAGGTGGGTCAGGTGGTTTTTTGTTGGATGGGTTTGGTGGTTTTCTTGTTATGTGGGTCAGGTGGTTGACTGGTTAGGTGGGTCAGGTGTTTTTTTTAGTGGATCAGGTGGTTTTCTTGTTATGTGGGTCATATGGTTTGATCGCTAAGTGAGTCACTCCCAATATTTGTAAGTATGGGATGATTTCTTTGTTATGTGTGTTACTTATGTGTAATGGAATAGCTAAGTTGACCTTATTGTTGTGTAAACCTTCAACAATCAGAAAATTCTTGAATCAGCTGTTACTACTCTAAAATAAATCGTGTTAAGCTTCCACGACCTTGGGTTAGCCATGTGAGAGGATTGACATCCAGCACCATTCAAAAGTAAAATTAACCTCATTAGCTAAGTAAAGTCGTGTTTCTAATTTTATTTCAAGGCTCAATTTAACGGTTGTATGCAAAATGGTGAATTATTTCAACTTAGATGTGACATTTTCATAAAATTACACTATAATTCTTCCTCCGTTCGAAACTTTATGATACGTCTGATGTATTATATGTAATTATTCTGTTGTATATATAAAGTTAAATGCTTTATATTTAATAATTTTAATGTTTGATATGTAAAATCAAATGCATGTTTTGTAACAGTTTAATGTGTTATATGTAGTTACATTTTGTTTTTGATTTATATTTAATAGGGTAATGCTTTTATTTAATAATCAATGTTTAATCTGTGTTAGTTTTCGTTTTTACATAATATATTACGTAGTAATTTGATGTTTTATATTATATAGTTTAGTTTTTAGGTATTAATTTACGTTGTATTTGTAATACTATGTTTATTATGTATTATTTCAATTTGATATATATATATATATATATATATATATATATATATATATATATATATATATACTATATTATTATCTCTGGTCAGATGAGGGCAGTTCAAAATGTAGTTTCCCAATCCCTCTTTAGCATGGAATGTTCAGGATTAAAATAGAGTTGCATTGGCGTATTTGTGTTTGGGTCGTTGGTGAGAAGTGATTGGATTAAATGGATTCTCGCTTCAAGGCGCTGTCTATGAAGTAAAGCGTTTCTCTACAATGAAAATAAAAAATGGTCATGTATTTTCCAATACGAAAGAGCTGGGCAAAATCACTTCATCGCTGATTTGAGCAAGAGAAACTGGTTCAACCGTCCAAATTTGTCGCAAAATGAACAGCTGGCCTCTGTACAATCTCATGGTTGAGAGACTTAAAGATAATTTGCATTTCAGAAATGTTATACAGTTTCAAATACACGGTCGGTTTAGACTATTCAACATTGCCGTTGGACTAATGTATTCTCTGTATGTTATGTATGTTATGTATGTTATGTATGTTCTGTATGTGTAAATTAACACTACTAACAAGTACCTTTTTGGTTTACTATAAAATAACTACCCACTAACAACTACCCCCTTATACATCTAGACCCCAACTACCCACTACCAACTACCTCCATAAACATCTAGACCACAAATACCCACTACCTTCCTATACATCTAGATCACGACCTGACTATGGGCCTGATTGAGAACATCACAGGCCTGGGTAACGCCTTCATCTTGGCCAAGCGGGGCAACTCTTTCATCAGGGACTGGTACAACGGCTACAGGCAGTACAAGAACGATGTTTGGGGCTACAACTCCATGGAGGTTTGTTTGTGTTTGTGTTTGTGTTTATGTTTATATATTTTTTGTCAAAGTATATCCTAGGAAACAAACAACGGTTGCCTTTCGTCGATCGTAATAAAACTGTTTTGATTTATATTGCATAAAAGTTAGGCTAATAAAACAGCTAAGTACTTTTCTACAACGAAGACAAAAATAAATCTGCAACGTTTGATGTTTTTGACGGGGTTTCATCTTTATGATGTATAATTTAATCTTGAATATAGAATTTGCGAGTATTTTTATGACAATATGTTCGGCGGTAGAATGAATAATTAAAGTTTATTTTTTTTTTTAGTTTTTTAGAACAGTTTTATGACTCAAGTTTGTAGTACGGTGATACTAGATGGTTAATGGCTTTTGATAGTAGGACGTTTATGTCAATAGAAAACTAAAAATCGATTTCCCGAATCATCTTAAATAAACCAGCCCTTCCATATTTAACTTCAGATAGGTTGTTAAGTAAAATATAGATGACTGCATAATTGAAAAAGCAGGACACATGCATTCCAACTGCTATCTAGTAAAGTTCCCTTTTTGAACCATACGGTTCATGGGGCCAGTTGAAGTTGAAGTTCTGTGATGTAGACACATGAAAGGATAATATGGCCCAGCCGCCTTTACTCTCCCTTAGTTAAGTTCCCGTCAGTACTGTGTAACCCCAGGGACGTTCTATTGCACTGTTTTACAGTAAAAACTAAAATACAATTTTACCCATTATGACAACTAACCTAAAAGTTGAGATCAGATTCTGGGCTCTGTGTGTGGTTTCTGAGTGTGTTCATCTCTGTTGGGTACCTGGACAAATCAAGATGGCTGAACATAGAACTGACCACACTAAAGTAGATTCCAAGAAACATATGAACTCTGCTGCATTTGCATTTGTTTGACCATCAGAAACGAAATTACATATTTAATTTTGTTAACTGTCCTTTTTCTCAGTTGGCCAACAGCCTGTACCTCAGATGAACTCTACTTCAACTGCCCTACTGACCGTCAGAACGTTCAACTTTTTGTATCTTATTCCTCAGCTGGCCAACAGCCTGTACCACAGATGAACTCTACTTCATCTGCTCTAATGACCGTCAGAAAGTTTACCTTTTTGTATCTAACTTATTACTTAGCTGGCCAACAGCCTGTACCACAGATGAACTCTACTTCATCTACCCTACTGACCGTCAGAAAGTTGAACTTTTTGTATTTAACTTATTCCTCAGCTGGCCAACAGCCTGTACCACAGAAACAAGTCTAGGGTCCACCTCCTCACCGACCACCTCTACAGCCCCAACTGGTTCCAGCTCCAGTACCTGATCAACGCCAGCCACCCCTACGACTGGCGGAACAACTACGCCATGCACATCTGGAGCGGCAAGCACCGACTGCCCCAGTCCGTGGAGGACGTACAGACAGACAACTCCACGGTCGGGCAGGTGTTTCGTTATATTTTATACGGAGATCCCAGCCCGAGGGTCAAGAAGATTAAAACTCCGTTGATAGTTTAGTTGTGTATATAGTTTAGTTGTGTATATAGTTTAGTTGTGTATATAGGTTAGTTGTGTATATAGTTTAGTTGTGTATATAGTTTAGTTATCAATATTGCTTAGTTGTGTCTGTAGTTGAGTTGTGTATGTAATTTGGTGGTGTATATAATTTAGTTTGTGAATATAGTTCAATAATGTTTATAGTTTATCTTGTGTATATAGTTAGCCCAGCTCGGGCGCTCTTCTAGTTTTACTATAAACATGCCTTGCGTAAATCGGGCTGTAATCAATTGATGTAGAGTGCGTTGGTTATTTGCGTGATGACTGCAATAGCATTGTAAAGAAATTTATCTCAGGAAAATACTATTATAGCGAGCTTTATAAATAATATTTATACTAAAATTTTATACCTATATGAACTCACATCTTCCAAGAAAAAAAAAGGATCAAATTCGATAGATAAGGTTGAATGAGATGAAGCATCTTCCACGACAAGAGCTCAAAACTGGAATTTTCTATTAAAAATATACACTGGTAGCTGTTTTATGTATCTGATGCTGAATGCCACAAGGTCAGTGGTTCTTAACATTTTGGAGGTATCGAACCCCACCAGTTTCATACGTGCATCCACCTAACCATTCTTAATAGCTCTATCGTCCGAACTGACAAAATCCGATCGTGAATAATGTGTCTTGACCCCATGGAACACATGAGACTGATCACCAACACCCGGGGGATCGATCGAACACAGGTTAAGAACCACTGAACTAGAAAAAGCTGGATCTGGCAGGAGAAACTGGATGAAACTAGATATAATTGGTTAAAGCTAGATATAGATGGTTAAAGCTAGATATAGCTGGTTAAAGCTAGATATAGATGGTTAAAGCTAGCTATAGCTGGTTAAAGCTAGATATAGATGGTTAAAGGTAGATATAGATGGTTAAAGGTAGATATAGCTTGTTAAAGCTAGATATAGATGGGTAAAGCTAGATATAGCTGGTTAAAGCTAGATATAACTTGTTAAAGGTAGATATAGCTGGTTAAAACAGGATACTACTTGAAAGAAAACAGTTTTAATCTTGCTAGATATCTTTTTTCTAGCGAATTTAAATTAAATTCAGTTCAGGCAACAGCTGTCAAATCACGCGATCAAAGATTTGCATAAAGGAAAAATACGTGTGAGGTGTTGAGAAAGTGTTTGAATGGCTGTAATATAATTTTTGTATTGTTGAATATGATTGTAGCAAGAGGTAATTAAGGTAGGTTGTATGTTATTAATTAAACCACCTAGAGATAATTATGGTTGGTTGTATGTTACTAATTAAACCATATTTTTGTAGACTTCATCAGAGTTGTGGGCATAAACAGCAGAAAGGCCCAGTAGCGTAGCGATTGGGGGGGGGGACATATGTCCCCGGGCGTCGACCTTAGGGGACGCCAAAATGGGTTGGAAAAATAAATTGAAAGGTTGAGAGGGGGGGGGGTGCAAATCGAAATCTCGAAGGGGGGTTGCAAATCGAAAGTTTGAGGGGGGGGGGGGGGTGCAAATGGAAATCTCGAGGGGGGGGGATGCAAATCGAAAAGTTTGTCCCCGGGCGCCGGGAAGGGTCGCTACGCCTCTGGAAAGGCCATTGTCATGCTTGTGACGAGGCTATTTTGTAGTTCTTGTTTATGGGTGACAATTTACTCAACTGGCTGAGAGAAAACACAGCATCTGCAACATCTTGCAATAAAGCTCAGGCTTGGGCATCTATGAATGTTTATCAAAGGTGTGTGACTTTAACAATGTTGTTAAGCATACGGGAAGGGGGGGAGGTTGTTCGAAATGAAGTCAAAGAGCTATGGTGTTTTAGGCTTTGATGTTTTGTGACCTATGTTTCATTTTTGTATGAATGATCTACTTAAGTGTTATTTCTTAACATTTCTATTAAGTGTTTTTCAAGAAGTGTTGGGGAGGGGGAAAGGGTGGGGGTTGGTAAGAAGGGGATATTTTGAAGTAGTTTTGCTTTAAATGATAATAGTATGACCAATTTATATTGAATTAGAATTGTATCTTTCCAGAATTCCAAACATTCTAGGCGTGTCATGGACCGATTTTTTTCCCGTCTCGCTTATTTTTTCTAGTTACATTAAAATACGAGTATGATTATCTGACATTACGTGTACTGTCATGTGACAATAAGTGTCTAGTCATGTGACAATAAGTGTCTGGTCATGTGACAATAAGTGTCTAGTCATGTGACAATAAGTGTCTGGTCATGTGACAATAAGTGTCTAGTCATGTGACAATAAGTGTCTGGTCATGTGACAATAAGTGTCTAGTCATGTGACAATAAGTGTCTAGTCATGTGACAATAAGTGTCTAGTCATGTGACAATAAGTGTCTAGTCATGTGACAATAAATGTCTAGTCATGTGACAATAAGTGTCTAGTCATGTGACAATAAGAGTCTAGTCATGTGACAATAAGTGTCTGGTCATGTGACAATAAGTGTCTAGTCATGTGACAATAAATGTCTAGTCATGTGACAATAAGTGTCTGGTCATGTGACAATAAGTGTCTGGTCATGTGACAATAAGTGTCTAGTAATGTGACAATAAGTGTCTAGTCATGTGACAATAAGTGTCTAGTCATGTGACAATAAGTGTCTAGTCATGTGACAATAAGTGTCTAGTCATGTGACAATGAGTGTCAGGTCATGTGACAATAAGTGTCTAGTCATGTGACAATAAGTGTCTGGTCATGTGACAATAAGTGTCTAGTCATGTGACAATAAATGTCTAGTCATGTGACAATAAGTGTCTGGTCATGTGACAATAAGTGTCTGGTCATGTGACAATAAGTGTCTAGTCATGTGACAATAAATGTCTAGTCATGTGACAATAAGTGTCTGGTCATGTGACAATAAGTGTCTGGTCATGTGACAATAAGTGTCTAGTCATAAAGAGAGCTGCCCGAGAGATGGAGGGGTGTGACTGCAGTCATTATCTCCTTAGGGGCCACATAGGAATAAGTCAAGTAAAAGTCTTTCAGTCAAAACATCTTATGTCATGTTGATGTGTAGTGTCATTAGTAAGAAATATAAATTCAATTTTACAGAAGTTTACACATTAGAAGTTAATACTATTGTGAACTTTTATAATTGTTATGTAAACTAATCTTAGATTTCTATGCACGTAATGCTGCTGCTAATTCAAACAACTAAGCAGAATAAACTAAACTGGTAAGCCGAATGATACAAATGATGTTTTATTTTTAGGGATCTACAAATGATAGGAAAAAAACACAGAGATTTTAACCAGAGTTTCTTCCAGGCATCTCTTCGGGGGGGCTTTGCCCCCCCGAAAAATTTTTACCGCCCCCCCGAACGAAATGAAATTTATATAATTTATATAGAAAATATATACTTTTAACAGTGTCCGCCCCCCCGAAGAAAGTTTATCGCCCCCCCCGAAGATTTCAAGTGCCCCCCCGGAGAAAAAAGTCTGGAAGAAACACTGATTTTAACTTCTCTTCGTCTGGGCAGTCTGTTACTTAAATATCCCAGCATTATAATGTTAAGACTGTTTTCATGAAGTATTATACGTTACCATACCCTAGAAACTCTGGTCAAAGTTTAAATCGAATAGCTTTAGATCTAGAACTTAGATAGGTAAATCACTTGTATTCTAGAATTAGCTGATCCGTGAAGTTATAAAGGAAATATTTATATCAAATATTTAAGGACTAAAATAGTTTAATAAAGAAACTCAAAAATTTATTCTGATTTTAAAATGGTTATTATTTATAACTAAATAAGTTTGGTTTGACCTAGATTCTAGACCTGTACATAACTTCCTTCGGCAGCTGATCTTTAGATTCTAGATCTAGAGATATTTATTGTATACTTTAATGAAAAGGACTGTTGAAAATTGATGTAAGTGTTGAAACGTAATAAAAATAGCAAACGGACGTATCGTTAAAGCTATAGTCGACAGTAAATTAGCTTTAGAACCCGTTGTACTTTTGAATGGGCAACAAAATCTTGCACGGAAGCCGCCATTATTGTTGTAAAAAGTAAGTAAATCATGTGAAGTCACTATAATGTTATTGTTTTGAACATTTATAATTAATGTGGTTAATCTCCCAATGATTAAATCAAGAAATTAATTAACGTCTGTAAATAAATTTATGATTAACAGTCTGTTAAAAAAGAAAATTGTTCTCTACCTAAATACTATTTTACAGCTCTACACATAGTGCAGATCCTCTCTTGTAACCAAACTGACAAACAAAACAATAAATATTCAAACATGTAAACAAACTTGAGTTTTAGTAGTATATGGAAAAACACATCACTCAACCTACTTATTGTAAATAAATTAACAGCTCGTAGTACTTATATAAAGGAAAAAAAAACAATTAACCAGAAATATTTCAGGAGTCAATGAGACATCAATTCATGTTCAAGAATTAGCCAAACTGAAAATAAAGATGAAAACAAAATAGAAATTTTTTATTATTCAAACCATACATTAAACTTGTTGATTTTAATAGGAAAATTATGATTCAAACCAAACAGCAAAAAAAAAAAAAAAAAAAAAAAAAAAAAAAAAAAAAAAAAAAAAAAAGAAAAAAAAAAGCATATAACCAAAGGAAAGGCAAAAAGTGTTATCCCTCAAAAAGTTTGTTAAATATCTGTAGGAGATTGGCAAGTATAATTGTTCAACCATTGTCTAATGTTAATGCTTTTGTTAAGTGATGGGTTTTCATTTAAAGCATTGCAAATACCACACGCTACATCGAGATGTGAATCCCAATAGTAGACGTAGTCATGTTTACGTTTTAAAACCTCGCTATAGGCCTCGAGGTTTGAAGCAAGCTGCCTCAAGAACAACGCCAAGTCTTTGGGGCTCTGGAAATGTGCCGCGTTAATGAACGTGCCGTTAGGGAAAGATTGGTCGTAGTCCACCCCACCCCTGACCACAGGGACCACGTGGGTGTCCGGCTCAAATACTTTAAAAAACTTTTCCGTGACGTAATCCTGACAAAACGAATTCTCAAATGACAAGTAGAACTTGTAATTTTCAGGTAACCACTCACACAAGTTGACTTTTTCCCCTTTGCACTGAACGCCACATTTGCCGAATATGTCGATGTCTACATATTTCTGGGAAATAATTAAAAAAAAAAAAACATTTCACATTAAATGAGCATTTTAATTATAAACATAAAATATCGATATGATATAACGTTTTCCACAAGGAAAAAAAATCAATACTGTTAATTTTTCATTTGTATACAAATAAAGTCTAAGAAAAGTATTTTGGAATCATTAAAAAAAAAGACAACCCCTAAGCCGAATAGCTCATTACTGTAGAATAACGTGAAATAATTATTCGCACAATTACCTGCATTTCTCTAACGTATTGAAGTCTTTTAGAAGGTGCGTAACAGTTGCTAACAAACCAGACGGCTGTTTTGTTCTTCTTTTTAGCAATCTCCACTGTGTAAATATTTCAAATATCTACATAAGATAATGTGGGACAAACATTGAGTATCGAAAGTATAAATATATTGTATTTATGCTAATGTTTGTTAGAACATAAAACCTTTAATTCAGGCAGCATCTCACAAGCTGGTAGAGCTACCAAGCCATGGAAGAAAATTTATTTTGTAAAATGCCAAATTAAACAAAAAAAAAAAAAACTATTTCTTTAAAGAGCCCTGTGTGTGTACATTGTCTATAATTAATTATAATATACACTAGTAATCACAGCACAACTTGTTTGTGATCATTTTGACTTGTCCCTGTATTTCAGACATGTTGTCCTCAAGTCTGGCTAAACTACTGCAAGGAATGGGAGATCGAGGAAGCCATTTTTAAAAATAAACCTATAGTCATAGCTCTAGTACTGTTCTATTTCAAATGTGATGATAATCTTTTTTCAATAGATGGAGTACTTACCTATGACAATACACGCAGTACTAATGTATGCCTTTAGATGTGATACTAATCTATGACTATAAGTATGAAAAGTCTATGTTATCATAGTACATTCTTGAAAAAGTCTTTTAAAAAATATAGCAAGCGATAAAATTGTAGCTATATTTGAAAAAATTACACTCATTTTCATATTTTTATATAAAATATAAGCCATTTTAAAAGCAGTTTAGAATTACTTTATCAATTCAAGTATTTGCAAAAAACTGCCCTCATCCTCTACTTCAAGTCAACCGGAATGGCCAGGGAGAGTACAACAGTAAAAGTCAGAACAATTGTTTTCTGTCGTAAATATACACAATAGTGATCTATGGTATAAGGCGTAGTATTGTATTTATATTAAATAATGTAATATCAACAATCGAGAACACCTACGATAGTTGGGTCTTTCTTTCAGTGGTTTGGGGTTCAGCTTTAGCTTGCCGTATGGAACAAAAATGTCCGAGTCAGTCCTGTAGGACACAGTGAAGTTAAAGTAGTTGTCCCAGAGTGAGACGTTTCCTGGTGATACAATAAATTAGGTCAAATAGTTAGACAACTTGGTGATACATATCTAATATATGAAGCTCAAACGTATTCTGTTGCTCTGTATGTAGGGCCTATGTGGCGGGAAGGGACATACATGGATATAGTAAAAAAACTCGACTTGATCGCCATTGTGTAACACTCATAAAGTGTTTATTATCTAAATTTATTATTATAAAAATTAATATTGATAGTTAAGTAATACGTTTTTTTTTTCCCAAACCTACTATTTTAATTAACGTTATTCAAAGAAAATGTATCATCCTTCAAAGAAATTAAAAGGTTTACAAATTACGTCCCTTTCTTTCTTTGGTACCTATTACTTTCATTGATAGATCACGAAATTTTTTTTTACTTCCCTTTAAAAAATACATCGTGAAAAAAAATGTATTGGTTCGTTTTTGGTGTTGGAAAAAAATATCTATCGTGGATTGATAAAGTTCAAAGTGGTAGATAAAACCCGGATATATTTAATAGTGCCTTTTATTTATTTTATACACTGAACATACTGTTTACCAATTATTATTTGTAATCAATAACATTTAAGAAGCCAGCTCCTAAATGTCCTCTATCAGAGGCGTATCCAGGTTTTCGTTGTAGGGGGAGCGGAAATAGCAAAAAAAGGCGCCGAATATGTAATATTCTCTATATAAGTATATATATATATATTAGCTGTATGTTATTGCTTCGATATGATGTCAAATAAATTTAAATAAGCACTCTGAAGAAAAAAAACACACAATGTAGGCCGACGAAACAAACAAATATGGTATCACTCTAAAAAAAAAAAATATATATATATATATATATATATATATATATATATATATATATATATATATATATATATATATATATATAAACACTGCAACCAAAAAATAATGAACGCGGCATAATCTGTTTCGTAATTTTTGTAAAAAAATTACATAATAATTCCTGGGACATCTAAGACATCTAAGACTAGAGAAAAGGGGAAATAATCAATATCTTAATATAAATATGTATATGTCTACACATTTTATTATAAATATCAAAACAAATCAATAATTACTTTAGAATCTAATAAAGTAGTTTAACACTATTCGTTTTTACAAAAATTATTTGTCTAAAATCAGAATTAAATATATTGTCATTATAAATGCTAAAGTATTACAGCATAATAAAAGTTTTTTAAATCAGAGTTGTTATAAAAGCCAGCTTTTCATGCTACAAGTTAAACGTTCTGAATAATAGCCTACAATAATATCGGTCTTACATTTTCAAATCATGCAATTTTTTTAAATTGCTCCTGACAATTTGTGTTTTTTTAAAGATAATTTTTTAACATAATGAGAAGGTAAGGGTTAGATCACTGTATTGCTCACACACCTTTTACTGGTAATTGAAAAAACAATATTCACAGAGATTTACGTTTCAAATGTGCTGACCAAAGATAATATTTTAACAAATATCAATGTTAAAAACTATGTATGAGTTTAAAAAGTTTCCAAAAAGGCGCCACTTTGCAAAAAATGGCCAGAGGGGGAGCGGCCGCTCCCCCTGCTCCCCCCCCCCCCCCCCTGCGTACGCTACTGTCCTCTATGTTAATTTCTAACTTTCCGTTTGCGGACAAGCTTGGGGTACTGAAGTCATTCAATACATTAAATCAGGCGCATTCGCCGGCGCCCAGGCAGGTTGCGATTTGCGCCCCGGGCTATCCCGTGAGCGCTATAGTGCATACGTTCGTTTTAAACAGTGTGATAGACTATTGATAATAAGGGTTTATGTTCTGCGTTATTGTTTGCGTTTGGGTTTGCGTTTGTGTTTGCGTTAATGTTTACAATGTGTTTGCTTTTGTTTTTGCGGTTATTTTTGCGTTTATGTTTGTGTTGGCGTTTTCGTTTGAGCTTGCGCGTGCGTTTGCGTCTGCATTTGTGTTTGTGTTTTCGTTTGTGTTTGTGTTTTGCTTGTGGTTGGTTGTGACTAGGGTTAACTCCAAAGGTAATATACTTCCTAAATCCAAGCAGTGCCGGGTATATGCTGCTTAATAAACACATAAGTTATATTCATTTACTCACAGAGGCAAGTGCAGTAATTTATAAAAAAAAAACAAAAAAAACAACAAAATAAAAGCTGTAACCAGTGCTATATAAATAAACATATTAACATTTGTAATTTTGGGAAAATATTCATAAGATTTTAATGAGGTTTACGCTGTAACGTAGCAGAATTTAGTGTGTACTACAGAAGTATTATGCTGCAGAGTCATGGAAACTAAACAAGAAAGGAGAGAGCCGACTCAGAGGATTTGAAAGAAGATCCCTCCAACGCATCCTCAGCATAAAGTGGGACGACAAAGTCCCGAACAAGGAAATATGGCGAAGGACAGGATTAAACGACATTGTCTCAGAAGTTCGAATGAGGAGATGGAGATGGCTGGGCCATGTCCTACGCATGAGCAAAAAAAAGACTCCCCAACATGGCGCTGAAGTGGAACCAACCCGGAAAGAGAAATAGAGGAAGACCACTGGGAACATGGAGGAGGGAGATGGAAGAAGAAGTGCAGGCTACTGGCAAAACCTGGCATGAACTAAAGTGGCTCGCCCAGGACAGGGTGGAATGGCGGAGATTTGTTGCTGCCCTATACTCCACAGGGGGTGATGAGGATTAAGTAAGTACAGAGGTAATATACAGATTACACGTAAATATAAATAATATATATATATATATATATATATATATATATATATATATATATATATATATATAGATATATATAGATATATATAGATATATATAGATATAGATATATATATATACATTAGAGAGAGAGAGAGAGAGATTTTGCTTCAGCCATTTATAGCCATGTCCAAATGTGTATATATTAACGCACATATGTATGTTTGTATACAAAATGTTTTAAGAAACACTAAAGAGCATTAAATGATGTAACGCTAAAACAGCAAATGATGCTAAAGAAAAACACCCCACACGTCACCTGCCATTCCTCAATCCCACGGTTCATTACACAAATATAACATGCATCGGAGTCAAGCCATTAAACAAAAAATAGAACACTTATAACTTACATTCCATCTTCTGGATACAATTAAAAATATACAAAAAAATATCGGAATAGTATTATGTATATTGCTTTTACTAACCGTAAAAGCAAACAATTACAAAGCGTGACATTGCCATAAACGAACAAACCCAATTTAAAAAATATAAGCAATTGTAACAGAACAATGTACACATACAGCATACCTTATAACTACTAAAAAAAAAGCCATCAATTATTAAATATCAAATAATATTTAGAAATTTTGTCAATAATATTAAACAACTTAAATAAACATGTAGCTCAAAGCTCAAATTCAACCTTAATTTATCCGAATTGTGATATATATATATATATATATATATATATATATATATATATATATATATATATATATATATATATATATATATATATATATATATATATATTAATAAATAAATATCTATATCTATATATATATATAGATATATATATATATATATATAATATATATCTGTATATATATCTATATATATCTATATATATATATGTATATATATATATGTATATATGTATATATGTATATATATATATACATATATATATAATTTGTTTATATATATATATATATATATATATATATATATATATATATATATATATATATATATATATATATATACATATATATATATATATATATACGACTTTGAGAAGACTTACGTTTTAGAAATTTGGCGTACATGGCACCAGGCGGCTCCCAGACAACAAAGCCGTACGTCTGGTGCGGCCATCTTTTTGCTGGTACCATCTGGTCGTCAAGACCAACGCCATGTACAAGGACGACATCCGTTCTCTGACTAATGGCTTTGTGGAAAACACAGTTGCTGTGTCTACATGTAGAAAATTGAAATACCGTCACTGGCAACCAACTAGGCCAGTTTGCAACTGATATATGAAATGTGCTGTTGAATGATTTTACTTTCTTAATTGGACATTCTAGATATTTGGTCTTTTGGCACAATTGAGCGTATTCTTTCATCTTCAACGTACTTGTGTCAGAATTGGTTTTATTGTCATTGAATAATAGTTTAACAATGTGTAGGCTGTCATTAAATTTGTTATTATTTGAGAGTGTGAGATAACTCTGTGTGTTCCTGGCCTTGTTTAAAGTTCCAGTTATTGACTGGGTCAGTGGCGTGGGTCTATGAGGCTGTTGGGTTTGTTGTGTTAAACCAAGGGAAGCCACTGCTACAAACTCACTATGATTTGTTTCAAAGTTGGACGTTTTGTCTCGTATATTGCTGGGGTAAACGTCTTTAACTGATGTATTTTTTATTGCTAAATGCCATTCTTTAGAAAAGGTAACGTTTGTATTCGTTTGAGCATATGTTTCTTTTGAGGCATTAATCCCACTTTGAGCATAGAAAACAAAGCCCAAAATGATAATTAAACAGAATCCGAAACAAACTTTCTTTGAAGGTTTGTACCCTACGTTGCCTATGGATGTAAAAAGAACATATTTGGTCAAATTTCAATGCAAGTGGAAATCAAACAGTTCTTCTAAATTTAAAATCTAAGAAAGAACAGATATTATATTTTCCCTGTGGCAATTCTATCTTTGATACACAGTAACAATAGACTTAATGTGAAATTTAATTTCAAACTTTATAATTAACGAATACATGATTCTACATGCCCAGTTAGGAGCAATTAGCCAATTTACAGCAAGTCATCCCACATGTCAAATTATCAACGATTTGACCAATCTACCTTAAATCAACCTAATGGTCAAATTATCAACGATTTGACCAATCTACCTTAAATCAACCTAATGGTCAAATTATAGAAACCACGCACTGGAGCTAAGTATCTAAAATATCAGGGTGATCAAGACTTTTAAATTTTTGAAACACTTTCCAGAATATTCTATCAATAATTTTTCTATGACATCTAGATTCGTAATACGGACATCTAGGTTTAGGTTTCGACAACTAGGGTTGGAGGTTTAGATCCAGTTAATTGTTTTATTATTGTAACGTAACTACCAACGTAAAATACATCTAGTCTTGTTAATATCTTCTGTCGACCTTTCAATAAGTGTAAAAAGTAAAATTATTACATAGTTTAAATACCAGATTAAAACAAGTTACCAGAAACACTATTTTGGCCTGAGGAGGTTTGCATGTTGAATGAACAGATAGCACTTTATTTTGCTGTACATTTGGGTAGGAAAGATTGAGTTGCCAGCCTTGTCTGTGCAACATTTCACATGCGTTCATCGATTGTGTTGATTCGTGCACAGCCAAAATGATTTTACTTGCTAAAAAAAGGGGTTGAAGTTGTTTTGTAATAGTCGATTTATCTGTATCAATAGAAGTCTAAGTGTGTGACAAAATTCTGTAGGAAAGTATTACAAGAATTAAAAATCAAAGCTAAACTTTTATTCTAGAATATGTAAAACAATTTACGTTTGTGTTATAAATCAATTGAATACTTTATGTTATTTACAGTTAATTTCGTATTAATGATTAAATTCAGATTTTGAATTTAAAAAAAAAAAATTATAGCTCTTCAATGTGTACAATATTAATTGTATATTGGTGGTCACCATTTTTTGTGACATGTTATCATTTCCGGTTTTAGAAAATAAACAGATGGACCAAACGTAGAGAAAAACAGAAAAGATAAACATTGTTCTAATTGACAAACACATTTTAAAAAAATATTTGAGAAAATATTTCATTATTTAAAAAAAAAATGTTAATATTTTTGATAAGTTTTATGTAAACCATATAATTTTAAAAAATGCAATGTAATATATAAACTATGAATAATAAAAAATAAACGTTCAGCTGCGTCCACCAGTCTTGGTGGTTGAAGAGTTAGCGCGTTATGTATCAACCCTGTACTGAGTTCAGTTCCCATCGTACATTTTTGTTCACTCTGAGATCGTAATATAAGATTTAATCGTTGACAACTTTATGTTTAATTCAGAAAAACCATTAAAAGATAATTAATTTTAGTTAAAATAAAAAGTAAAATTCAACGCTTTGAAGAAAGCATTAATCGATCATAAAATCGATTGCACATTTTAATAACCACTTTTGTTGTTATCGGAATCGAATTTGTCTTAAAAATGTGAACTAATTGATGTAGCAACTATTGTTGCATTAAAATTGTGACTGCACCCTTACATTTTTTTTTTAAAATGCTCTAAAATGAAGAGAAAATTAAAGCGAAATAAAAGGGATACAAAGGGAAATAATATATTCATCGAAAGTAAAATTTAGTCATAAACAGATTTATCTCTCCTGTAAAACAATGAAAATGACATAGGGGAATAAACTCTTACAATGACTTCCATGTGACAGAGTGGTAGACGTCACTACCCTTTATGGAAAAAGCAATATATTCCAAGACGGGGTTAGGGCCCGCACAATACACACTTGAATAAAATACGAGACCTACGTTTGGTTGAAGTACACTGTTCCACACTATGTATTTCAGCTGCGTTTTATGCTCTGCTAGAGATTGTCTCTAGCTATAGGCGCACACTTAGTCTTATACGCTTAGTCTTATACACATAGTCTTGTAAACAATGGCTTGTACACATCATTTTGTATACATGGACTCATAGTGATATACATATAGTTTTATACTAACTGCCATGTACATAAAGTCTTGTATACACAGTCGTACACATAGTCCCGTACATATAGTCGTCTATACGTTCTCTTGTACACACGGTATCGAACACATACAGTATCGTAGAGTCATGTACACATTGTTTTGTCCATACGTGTTTTGTACACATTTGCCCTATGCATGAAATTTGATACACATAGTCTTATACGCAGTTTTGTACTTAGTCTTGTACTCATCGCCCTTTATAAGTAGATTTAGTACACATTGGATTGTATATCATGTTTCTGTACCCATAGGCGTGTGCCTTAATTCTTCTACACATTAATATAAACATATTACAATTTCAAGTTGTCTTGCTTATATAGTCGTATACATTCCAATCTTGTACACAAAATTCTGCACAAAAAGTCTTTAATATTTAATATCCTTAAATATTGTGAAAAAAAGTCCGTCAAACCCGTTCATAGATTTTCTTAACTCTGACTATGTATGATTCAGTAATGCTAATCTATAAGAGCATTTTTTCTACCCCTTTTGCGGCCGCCTACCCGCCTTTCGCTAGCTACGCCTCTGTCACCCCTCCCCTAGGCATTAGGAAAATGTATACGTCTGAACATTAATATTCTGACAACATCAAAGCTCATATAATGTATAATATAATATAATATTCATGTTACAATTCATTAAATATCTGTTATATTATGATTGATTCATTAAAAATCACGGAGTATGAACTGCAATTTCGTCCAGATTGATTAACTGTTTTCATGATTAATGAAGTAAAGTTAATTAACCCCAAGCCAGTCCTGACAATGTACATAGTGGTTAACCAGCCAGGAACAAAGCTAACGATTTTTACCGATCATTATCGATCTTAGCCGATCGTATCCCCCATATCAAGTTACACACACTGCTTGCATGAAGAGGGACGTTGGCGCAGTTGTTGTAACGTGTTTTAACAAGTAGCTTCTCAAGTTATGAATATGATTTGGGGCAAAGGTTCTCACGTTGGTCGATGACTTGATAGACTCCCATAATTGTTTAACTATATGGGGATAACCTCATATAGATACAATTTTTTCGTAAAAAACAGTTTAAAACGAGCTTTTGTGTAATGATGCACTAAAAAGTAGAAAATACATTATACACTACTATTTAAATAACCATAATGAAAAGCGTGGGTCACATTAGTATCGATTGTATATTATTACTAATATTTAGGAAGAGACCCACGCTTTTCTTTATAGTAATTTAAATAGTAGTGTATAATTTATTTTCTACTCTTTAGTGCATCATTACATAAAAGCTTGTTATTAAAACGTTTTTTATGAAAAAAATTTATAGTACTTTACATGTTTTATTTACATTAGAGTTGCATGACTAAAACCATTGCGCGCCTATTGAACGCGATGACGCGTGTCTAATAGCGCGGAATAGTTTGATGAGACAGAATACTAATTTGGACATTTTAATTAATTCATAAAAATTTATTAGACAACCAATTAAGTGAAATTGAATGTCATGTTGCATTGTCTTTATGTCTTGACCCACTTACCAACTACGAACCGTATCTCTCAGTTAGAAGTGCCTACAATTTCGCTCGGGCGTTTTGATTTAGACAGACTGACGACAGAATGACGAGAGAGGAAGTGAGTTAAATAAAAGCTTGTAAAAACACAGTCATGAATGAGATACTTTTCCTTGGAAAATATCGAACTCATAACATACACACCCAAAGAATTATATAAATGTTCCCCCCCCCCCTTTCCGTACCCACCGTTCTCCGTAAAATGACAACCTCTGATTTTAAAAATAATTAAAAACTTTGATTATGTCCTGGGTTTGACGACAGGTAAATTTATATGAAAGATGGTCAGCTAAGTTTATTTTGTAATACCAAATATCTTTTAATACGACAGTGTGGCATCAGTAAAAAAAATAATTGTAATTTAATGTACATTTTTGGAAAAATAATGTACAATGTTTTGATAATATTTGAAGTTTGATATTTTAAAAATATCAAGAATATTCATTAAAATATTTGTACTAGGTTTATTTAAATATTCTGTTTATAATTTTTTTTTTAATTTGAAGTTTGAAACGTTGTTTTCGGTCATTGAATATAGTCCTAAATCTTTGTTTATATTTACATTTATGATAACTAACCACAGCTGCGTTGGTTGTACTGCAAGTGGTGAGTGTGTTCAAAGGACGTTACAAAACAACAAAATACTACGTAGAAGAAATCTACCACAATAACAACGGTAAATACTCATACAATTCCGTAAATAATACTGAAAACACATTTTATTTAATAATTTTATTAAAGTTAAAATAACAATCAACGTATTAAATAAAATAACCTTTTCAACTTCAGATACGGGCACCCGTTGGTTTTTTATATTTGGGGTGGGGGCTGACAAACAGACACAATTACGCACAAATACGCAGCAACATAAATAAATAAATAATGTGCTCTTAAATTTACGATTAGATTTGCCATTGATTCACCCTTGTTGGTACAAATGACACACTGAACACGCAATGTTTCATAAACAAAGCATTCACAAGTTTCTAGATATCTGGTGTTTATGTCAATTACATCGGAGTCTAAGATCTATGAGTTGAGAATCGCGGCGTTTTTTTTAAGGTTAATTTAATTCACAGTGTCGTGTAATTGTAATCTGTCTAGATCCTAGCGCTTAGACTGATTAAATGGGCGTCTGTGTGTTTGTGTGTGTGTGTTTGTGTGTGTGTGAATTTGTTATGGGGAACATAAAGAGTGGAAAATACCCATTACGCATGATGTGTCAAACGCCTTAAAAAAAAGACAGCTTTCGTTTATTATCATACAAACATAATTTGAATACAATAGAGAAATAAGAGAGCTGGACTGCTAACCCGTAAGTCTCGAGTTCGAATCCGGGTACAAGTCAGTAGACATTCTCTGAGTCTACCCAACTCTGATGGTTAGGGAAAGCAAAGGCGGCTGGGCATAGTGCTGACCACACTATCTCTTCATATGCGAGGTCACAGAAACAAGTGAACTCTACTTCACTTGCCCCAGGTTTCACTAAGGTTTGAAAGGGAAATTATAAACTATACTAGAGACATAAGTCCAAGTTTAAACCAAACAGCTTTACACCATTCATGTCAGTTCCTTGCCGTACTGTTTTGGCAATTTAACAGTTTATTGATCTTATGGCTAACCATACATATAAGTTGCGAAAAGTCTTATCCCTAAATGTGTGTGTTAAATGTCTGTAGGAGAGTGACAAGTCTTATTGTTCAACCATTGTCTAATGTTAATGCTTTTGTTAAGTGATGGGTTTTCATTTAAAGCATCGCAAACACCACACGCTATATCAATATGCGATTGCCAATGATAGACGTAGTCAAGTTTACGTTTTAGAACCTCGCTATAGGCCTCGAGATTTGAAGCAAGCTGCCTCAAGAACAACGCCAAGTCTTTGGGGCTCTGGAAATGTGCCGCGTTAATGAACGTGCCGTTAGGGAAAGATTGGTCGTAGTCCACGGTACCCCTGACCACAGGGACCACGTGGGTGTCCGGTTCAAATACTTTAAAAAACTTTTCCGTGACGTAATCATCACAAAACGAACTCTCAAATGACAAATAGAACTTGTAATTTTCAGGAAACGACTCACACAAGTTGATTTTTTCCCCTTCGCATTTAACGCCACATTTGCCGAGAACGTCAATGTCTACATATTTCTGGGAAATAAAAAAAAAAAAAAACATTAATGAGCATTTTTAAAATATAAACATAAAGTATCAATATGATTTTAGACTGAAACAATAGCCAAAGTTTAAAAGCAATACTATTGTTTATGCATTTTTATAGAAATGACGGTCAAGAAAAGTATTTTCGAATATTATTTTTAAAAAGCTGTATTCCTAAGCTGAAAACATCAATATTGTATTTTATCGTGTACAAATTATCCGCCAAATTACCTGCATTTCTCTAACGTATTCAAGTCTTTTAGAAGGTGCGTAACAGTTGCTGACAAACCAGGCGGCTGTTTTGTTCTTCTTTTTAGCGATCTCCACTGTGTAAATATTTCAAATATCTTCATATGATAATGTGGGACAAACATTAAGTTTCGTAAAATAAATATATTGTATTAATGCTAATGCTTGTTATAATATAAAATCTTTAATTCAGGTGGTAGTTCCCAAACTAGTGGAGCTACTATGCTAGTGAAGACGGGAATTTATGGGTAAAAAAATAAAAAATAAATAAAAAAATAAATGAAAATAGATTTGACTATGCAATATTTAAATTTTAAAAGTACAAACAAACAAAAATTCTATTAGCTAAGCGCACTAAGCAAAAGAAGGAGATAACAACGTGTGTTGGAGTAATGTTTTAAATATTTTAGCCTAGACCTTCTTAGTCTGTGTCCTAGCCAAAGCACATTTCCAACACAGTTACAAAGAATAGCCTATAAAAAGCTTACGACAATAACCCAGGGAGAGATATGAACCAACTGATGTATAGGCTGCATAACGTTGCCTCTTACGCTATCTTAAAATTCCAAGCACTTTAATCCTGTTGTAAATCAACCGTTTAGAGCTCTGATAAAAACTTAATCCTTTGTTGTTGTGTGTGTGTAAGTGCCCGTGTGTGTGTGCTTCGTGTTAACCTATGACAATAGCTGTAATGCTTACATTAATATAGCTCAGTACCAAACCTATGATTGTAGCTGTAATGCTTACATTAATATAGCTCAGTACCAATCCTATGACTGTATCTGTAATAATAATATATGTCTATAGCTGAACGACTAAACTATGACTATATGTAAATATGAAAATCTCAACAAGTTCTAAACGTAATGCATAAGATATTTTATTAAAATATTGGTACTGTGCCCATTAAGAGATGGTTGTACCACATTGGATAATTTGAGAACACCTACGATAGTTGGGTCTTTCTTTCAGTGGTTTGGGGTTCAGCTTTAGCTTGCCGTATGGATTAAAAATGTCCGAGTCTGTCCTGTAGGACACAGTGAAGTTAAAGTAGTTGTCCCAGAGTGAGACGTTTCCTGGTGATACAACAAATAAGCTCAAATATTTATACAACTTGGTGATACAACAAGCAAATCAATTAAAATAGTTAGACAACTTGGTGATACAACAAGCAAATCAATTAAAATAGTTAGACAACTTGGTGATACAACAAGCAAATCAATTAAAATAGTTAGACAATTTGGTGATACAACAAGCAAATCAATTAAAATAGTTGGACAACTTGGTGATACAACAAGCAAATCAGTTCAAATAGTTTCACAACTTGGTGATAAATTAAGCAAATTAGTTAAAATAGTTAGACACCTTGGTGATAAATTAAGCAAATTAGTTAAAAAAGTTACACAACTTGGTGATAAATTAAGCAAATTAGTTAAAATAGTTAGACAACTTGGTGATACTTTAAGCAAATCAGTTGAAATAGTTAGACAACTTGGTGATACATTAAACAAATCAGTTCAAATAGATTGACAACTTGGTGATACAACAAGCAAATCAATTAAAATAGTTGGACAACTTGGTGATAATTTAAGCAAATCAGTTCAAATAGTTAGACAACTTGGTGATACAACAAGCAAATCAATTAAAATAGTTGGACAACTTGGTGATAATTTAAGCAAATCAGTTCAAATAGTTAGACAACTTGGTGATACAACAAGCAAATCAATTAAAATAGTTGGACAACTTGGTGATATTTTAAGCAAATCAGTTCAAATAGTTGGACAACTTGGTGATACAACAAGCAAATCAATTAAAATAGTTGGACAACTTGGTGATACTTTAAGCAAATCAGTTCAAATAGTTGGACAACGTGGTGATACATTAAGCAACTCAATAAAAATAGTTAGAGAACTTGGTGAGACAACAAGCAAATCAGTTGAAATAGCTATACATATGGGAGATACAATGAAATATGTTTAAATATTTGGGCCTTGAGTTGGGGTGATACAACAAGGAAATCAGTTCAAATAGTTCGACAACTTGGAGATACAAACTTGTTAAAGTTGTTAGGCCTTGACCTTGTTATACATTAACAAACCAGCTTTAAAAATTTATTACATTGTGAGATAACAGAAACAATAAAGCATTAAGTAACAATAGAGTGATGTCGTTTATCATGGAGGAATGTGACACATTTACTATCACTGTGTGTTGGATGTTTCCTCATAGGAGGTATTCCTCGAATTTTAGTGTCTGATTCTAGGCAAAGTTTGCATCGTGTTAGGTAACTTTCAGGGTAGTAGGGAAACTAACACACATACGAAATCTTCTGCAGACCTGAAGCAATGACAACCTTGTTGTAAAACGTTATTACATTTTGTGTTGTAAAGTTAAATGGTGTAGAAATATTTAGGGCCTAGGATTTAGTATTTTAGCTTTTGTAAAAACACTTTTCTCTCTCTGTCTGTCTCTCTTATATATATATATATATATATATATATATATATATATATATATATATATATATATATATATATATATATATATATATATATAAATATATATATATACATATATATATATATATATATATATATATATATATATATATATATATATATATATATATATATATATATATATAATTTATTTTTATTTATATATATATATAGGCTAGCAACACTCAGTTTTATGAAGGGAGATAGTTATTTAAAAAATACACAGTTAATAATTTCATATTATTTATAGTTAAAGCAATGTAAAACTAAACATATTCACATTTCTAAAATGGGTTCAAGTGATCAAAACGAATATATTTAAGCAGAAGCAAAGGTTGTTTACAGCACAGTGTAATACAACCCGTCCTATTTGAAAGAGATACGCACTGGCGAAGCTCTCATGGATTGGGATATCTCCCAAATCTCACCCTTTGTGTGTGGAAACACAACTGATCTCAACGGAGAGCTTAGGGTGTGTGCGTGTTTGTGTGTTTGTGTTAGAGTATGTGTGTGTGCGTATGTATGTGTGCACAAAAAGAACAAGAACAAATCACACTATTGTACACAGATTCTAAGAGTGAATAAACCTTACAATATGTATATATATATATATATATATATATATATATATATATATATATATATATATATATATATATATATATATATATATATATATATACATATATATATACATATATATGTATATATATATGTATATATATATGTATATATATATATATATATATATATATATATATATATATATATATATATATATATATATATATATATATATGCACGACTTTGAGAAGACTTACGCTTTAGAAATTTGGCGTGCATGGCACCAGGCGGCTCCCAGACAACAAAGCCGTACGTCTGGTGCGGCCATCTTTTTGCTGGTACCATCTGGTCGTCAAGACCAACGCCGTGTACAAGGACGACATCCGTTGTCTGACTGATGACTTTGTCGAAAACACAGTTGCTGTGTCTACATGTAGAAAATTGAAATACCGTCGCCGGCAACCAACTAGGCCAGTTTGCAACTGATATATGAAATGTTCTGTTGAAAGATTTTACTTTCTTAATTGGACATTCTAGATATTTGGACTTTTGGCACAGTTCAACGTATTCTTCTATCTCTAACGTACTTGTGTCAGAATTGGTTTTATTGTCATTGAATAATAGTTTAACAATGTGTAGGCTGTCATTAAATTTGTTATTATTTGAGAGTGTGAGATAACTCTGTGTGTTCCTGGCCTTGTTTAAAGTTCCAGTTATTGACTGGGTCAGTTGCGTGGGTCTATGAGGCTGTTGAGTTTGTTGTGTTAAACCAAGGGAAGCCACTGCTACAAACTCACTATGATTTTTTTCAAAGTTGGACGTTTTATCTCGTACATAGCTATGGTAAACGTCTTTAAGTGCTGTATATTCTGTTGATAAATGCCGTTCTTTAGAAAAGCTAGTTTGAGCATATGTTTCTTCCGAAGTATTGATCACACGTTGAGTGTAGAAAACAAGGCAAACAATGATAATTAAACAGAATCCGAAACAAAATTTCTTGGAAGGTCTGTGTAATACACTGCCTATAGATTAGAAAAGTAACGATATTGTTGAAACAGATACATGTTATAATCAAACGCATCACATACATTTAATATTTGTTTATAACAGAAAAGCAGCTCTAATATTTTACCTGCTTGGGAAATTATTCAGATATTAAAGGGTTACTCCTCATTGTATTGTACTATTAGGGCACGTCTAGCTTTAATCCACGCGAGGGTGTAATTTATCTCCAAACTTATTGTAGTAGATCAGGGGTCCTCTCGTCCGGACCGCGGAGATATTTTTATCCACGGAAAAAAATGTTTATTGGAGGTGGCTGAGGAACTTTGCCCAGAAAATTCAAAACAATTTGAAAATATAGCTTTGGGTGTAACTACCGTTGCCCACCGTGTTGCAGACATTGGTGAAACGTTGTGACTTAAATAGCGAAAAATACAAGCAAGTTTCGCAATTTTTCAATTGTCAAGGATGAGCCGCTGGACAGCTGTTCCACTTCTCAACTTCTTGTGTTTATTAGGGGTGTGGATAAAGACAAGAACATAACAAAAGAGCTGGCTTCCTTAAATAGCATGTATGACACTGTTACCGGAGATGATATATTCAATGAGTTGAAAAAGAAGCACTGATTATAACTTAGTTCGGACTAACCTGTCACCTTACTGTTGGTGGAGGTAAAAACAAGAAGGGCATAAAGAAAGGTTTGGTTGGACAAGCGAAGCAGATGTGTAATGAGAAAAACATTCTACAACCAATGTTCCTGCACTGTATTATTCACCAGCAAGCTTTGTGTGCTTAATATGCGGACAAAAGCAGTGTACTGACACATGTGTTGAAGATGGTGAATTATAAAGGTCACATATTCACATGGGCTCAACCATATATAGTTCAGAGACATGTTGAAAGATACAAACACAGAATCGCAAGATTTACCAGTAAGATGGCTAAGTTGTTAGAAAGTTCTGAGCAGAGTATTTAAGTTAAGAAAGGAAATAGGTGACTTTCTAGAAAACAAAGCAAGCCACTGCCATTAATGTCTGAAGAAAAGTATAGAAATTGGCCTATGCTGCAGACATAACACGACATTTACATTTTCTGAACCTAAAAAAACAAGAGAGTGAAATCTAGTTTCTGATCTATACACCCACCTAAAGGCCTTCAGCTCCAAACTTGTCATGTGTTTGGAACAAGTAAAGGCCAACAACTTGACGCACTTGCAGCACTGCAAAGTCTTCATGGCTGAAGAAACAGCTCCCCCCCCCCCCCCAAGTCATTTGCATGCAAGATCATCAAAAAACCCCAGCTGCCGTTCCAGTAGCGGTTTCTGACTTGGATTTAAAGGCAGAAGAAGCGAAACTGTTTCAAAACCCATTTGAAGCAAATGTGGCCAGTTGCCCAGATGAATTGCTGCTGGAGGTCACTGAATTGCAAGCAAACGACTTCCTTAGAGACTAGCTCAAAGAGGGACATGCGGCTTTTTATGCGTTTTTGGCCAAGGAGGACTTTTCTAAAACTTTTGCATCAAAGTACCTTGCAAATTTTGCAACAACATACCTGTGTGAACAAACATTTTCAAGAATGAAATACGTGAAGAACAATTTGAGAACAAACTTGGACCTGGAGTGTGTTGTCGGCCCCCGAGAGTGTTTCTTTCAGATTTTTTTTCCTCCGAGTGCGGGGGTTGACGGCGACACTTTGTATTATATATTTGTATATATTTCTATATTTTATATATTTCTATATTTCGTGGGGGGGGGGGGGGGGGGGAGTAGATATTCTTCGAGGGGGGGGGGGGGGGGGCTCTACCAACCCCGAAGAGATGACTGAAAAAAACTCTGGCCCCCGAACTGATTTTTGATAGTTAATGCGGCCCTCGGGCTGAAAAGTTTGGAGACCCCTGTAGTAGATGATTCGGCTTGCCCAGTCAGGAGCATTTGACCAGTCTACAGTGAGTCACATAACGGGTCAAATTACTGACCATTGTCCAGTCTACAGTGAGTCACATAACGGGTCAAATCATTGAGAATTTAGCCAGTTAGCGTGGTAAACTTCATGGGTAAAATTATCGATTATTTGACCAGTCTATGGTGACAAAAATCATGGGTCAAATTATCGATTATTTGACCAGTCTATGGTGACTAAAATCATGCGTCAAAGTATTGATTATTTGACCAGTCTAAGTGAATAAAATCATGGGTCAAATTATCGATTATTTGACCAGTCTATGGTGACTAAAATCATGGGTTAAATTATCGATTATTTGACCAGTCTATGGTGACTAAAATCATGGGTCAAATTATCGATTATTTGACCAGTCTATGGTGACTAAAATCATGCGTCAAAGTATTGATTATTCGACCAGTCTAAGTGAATAAAATCATGGGTCAAATTATCGATTATTTGACCAGTCTATGGTGACTAAAATCATGGGTCAAATTATTGATTATTTGACCAGGCAATAGTGACTAAAATAATGGGTCAAATTATTAACAATTGACCACAAAACCGTCAGACACATCATGGGTCTACAGCGACTAACCTTAGGGGTCAAATTAATGACCATTTATGACATGAAGTAGAGGTTATCAATCATATAATCCGTAGGGTCCTAACGTTAGATGAATGTACTGAGAGATGGTTAACTTAATAATTTGCCACTGATGTTAAACAATACTGGTGTGTTTAGTAAACGACACATTAAAACGTCATTTTGTAACGTACACATTACTATAAATCTAAGACTATGTTTTTAGCAGATTAAACTCGTTTTAGAACTATTTTAGTTGAATAAATTGGATATTTTAATACATATTTTACAAAGCTGTCCACTTACAGTTTGTAGGTGTCGTGATCATGTTTCTAAACATTAAATTTTTCTAAACATTTGATTTATTTATCCATAAGGTAGAAAAATACGATTTTGTTTACAGTTGATAAACGTTTCTTCTTGTAGAGTTCTCCCTACTGCTCTGTAAGAATGATCTCTGGTAAAAAAAATTGGGCGAGGCGCTGACGGAGTACGATACCAACCACCCGGTGTGTGACGCGGTCCATGTACTTTACCTGTAAGGTGTGAATGGTCTACCCCGTCTCGCACTGTTACCCTGGTAGTGCAGCGAAGTGTGACGAAAACAAATCTGACTGTGCCGTGACGTATCGAACACCGGCACAGTCGCGGTGTACTTGTATGTCTGTTTTACACGGACATGAAATCGCCGCTACTGTAACTAGTGTTTCTTCCAGACTTTGTTCTCCGGGGGGAGGGGGGTGGGGGGGGGGGGGTTGGGGGGGGGAATTAAACAACCGATAACCGTCAAGAGATTGAACAGACAGGACTCTATAGGTACCCACCGATCGAACTACTCTGCCCGCCCACATAAGACTAATCGAATGCAACAGATGGGGTAGAGAATTCTAGCCTGGTAAAAGAATGGAGGTGTAGGCAATGCTAATTTGTACACACATTGAAAGGCAGGGTTTCTTTCAGATAGTTTTCTCTGTGGTGTGTGAGTGTGTGTGTGTTTGTGTAGGGGTGATTTACAAAATTCCTGGAAATGGGTGGTGGACAATGGTTAAAGTGTAGATTTTCTCAATCATAATTCCCCCCCCCCACTATTTTTACCGCGAGGGATTGGGCGGGGGGGGGGTCTGCAACCATAAATACAAAAAGTAAAGATGAAGTAGAATTCATATGTTTCTTGACCTCTGGATATGAAAGGATTTTGTGTTCAGCATTGTACCCAGGTAAGCATCAGAACTGGGGTGAATCAGGGACGTCCAAGAGAGCTGCCTGAAAAAAACAACTTTTGCAACACTGCTAAAAAATATTCGAGAAAACTTACATATACAATTATCGCAGGATCTACTCGCGAGATCGTACACTAATATTGAGCGTGTTGTGTGTAATCAGCTTTAATCTTATAAGACTCGATTCATTCTAATATCTGAATAGATTATCTTACTTTAGATTGTACAAACTAATTAGTTTTTTTTCATTACAGCCGAATAGGCTACATAATAACCAATTCAATAGCAGGCAACCTTCATACATATTTGCGCTTAACGTACCTATAGCCAGTGGAGTAGGGACGCATATAACCAAATGTATTGCGTAGATATAATGAATAAAAATCGTGCTTTATAATTTAAAACACGTTTATGCTAGCTACCATTTTATTACACATTTAGCTTTACCCTAAAACTAACCTAATTCTAAATCGTAACCTAGCGATATTCCAAAGTCTGAACTTAAAGTTACTAAGAATAAAAAGCCCCCCCCCCCCCCCACCTGCGTACGCTATTGCCTATACGCAATTATGGCTCGGAAAACAAGGACAAGTTTTTAATTTGAAGTGTATTACGCCATTGTGATTAGGTATATTTTTTAGATAGGGAGCAGCGATTAAATAAAAAAAGTTGCTGGTTTATTTATTATCCACCCAATCTGGTCGTACGATGCAGAATACATTTTTTGTGCCTCTGGTTTATAAAACACAATACTGGTTTCATTTTAAAGCTAAACTATGAGCGGGGTTCACGGTACACGAAAAAAAAAACAACATTTCTGTAGGGTCAAAAGTCTAGCATTCAACTGAATTAAATTTCTCTGCCCCAGGTTACTTCGCCTAGCCCCCTCCCTCCCCTCTTCCGTAGGTCAGGTCATTTTTAAAAATGAGGTTTGCTTGGATATTGGAGTATTTAAATTTCAAGTTTATTGTTTTCTGGTTTGAGAATAACTTTGAATTTTATTTTTGGGATGCGCTTAATGTATGTGCAGTATAATGTTTAGGATCAGGTTAGATGATGCCACCATTGAATGATGCTGTTATTTTGTTTTTAAGCGTCGCTTTATGCCTTTTTTAAAAATGTATTTCAGTGTGTATAATTTTATTGACCCACCTACGTATTTAATTTTAAAATTTAGATACAGCTACAAATGGCTAGAGCGAATCCTTGTCGAAACGGCAAGTTTTATTACAATTATTATTTATTATTTTATTACAGTTATTGATTGCCATAGCAGATGGTGGTATAGGGGTGGAATGGGATATTGTTTGGGGTGGCTTATGTGGGGTTGTATTGCTGACGTGTTCCAATTAGAAAACTTGGTGGCTAGCGAAGTACAAACGGTAATTTTAGTCAAATCTCCTCCTTGTACTCACCCAGTTGATGCAAACTTTAACTACCATGTAAGTAAATAACGCCTCTGTACATTTATAACTAAATATATTGGTACAATTATTTTTAGAGGTCTTCGAATTTGCTCTTACATAGTAAATTTAATTTACAATTTACTTTTGTTTTGTGTAAATGAAGTGGCCGTTTGAATGTTTAAAAGGCAAGCTTTTTTTTTACCAAAAAAAAAAAAATCACTCAGATGAAAAAAAAACTTCAAAACAACCCTTCCCATCTCATGTTAAAATCGGCTTTTTATTCTATTTTAAAAAATTTAAAATGGATTAAAAATCATGTCTATATCCCGAGTTCCCAACCATTTTGTTTTATATAAGAATATTCGAGAAAGTTTTGGGGAGATCACTCCCGGTTTATTTTTATACTATGTTTAACAAAAACATAATATCACCAAGTATAGCATTCGTTTAAGTATGTATTTTGTTATAAATTAAGTTATAAATTATAATGAAATTGTGAAAATTAATTGCGAAAGTTAATTAGTGTAATACTTGAGTTAAGCTTTTAAGGAAGCATTCGCAGGTCTAATCACCTTGCAAGTTTGCGATCATTGCACATTGCATTAGACATAACATTACTCAAACTGTTTAAACTTATCATAACAGCGAAGTGTTACGACAAACATAAAATAAACCAGATTTTCAAAACAGACTAATGCACCCACATACATGTTGTTTTAATTTGTTTAAATTGAAAAAAACCCCACCCAAACAGCCATAAACCAATTATTTAATAACTCAAATCTCAAATGTCTTTTGAAAACCTAGGCAGTATGCCTAGTAGCACATAAAACGATTTACTTAATTGTGTTGGAGATTAGTATACGTGGCGAAGTGCAGTCAATAGATCGTTTTTCAATAAGAAAATTGGGTCGCTGTCAAGTATAAATCACGCCCGATTTTAGAGATCGTTCTCTTTACCCTGAAACCCACGTTTAAGAAGACAAAAACGCGTCATGTATGTATTTTAAAAGGTCAGTTTAATTATTAAACTAAAAATTTCGTTACCATTATTTACAAATATTAAAGTTTTACCAACAGAAGATAATGATCAACTTGAGTGAAATGTTAAAAGACCTTCATAGTCATTTATTTAAAGCATACTTTTATGAAGCTTTTGTAAATTTGTTGCAGGTAATAGGTGTAAAGGGTCATCCATAAATTACGTCACGCTTTTTTTACGATTTTAACCTCCCCCTCCGTCACACATCGTCACAAAAAGCAAGATCCCCCCCCCCTAAAATGACTTCACACCTCAGCCTACAACCCCCCCCCCCCCCCCCCTGAAAATTGCAGATGAGTTTTTCTTAAAATACGATATTTTCCAAAATCTTGTCTGAACTCTGTCATTATAAAGTATTTTAATCAATTCCTATTATAATTTATTAAAACAGTTTTTTTAAACGCGAAATAAAGGCTAAAATTCTTTTTCTAACATTGCGTTTTTATAATGCAAAAGTGTGACGCCACACCATCTGTACCCCCCCCCCCCCCTCATTACGCACCGTCACAAAATTACGGACCCCCCTTACCCCTACGAGTGTGACATCATTTATGGACAACCTTTAGAGTATATAATTGGCTTGTACGACTTATAGCCTAAAATGTTTTGGATACAAAAGTTTTCTCTACATTGAAACAGGCCGCACGTTTTGCTGATTACAGTGTTCCCCCTACTGGGAACTGTTGTGGCAAATTCTTTTTTACCTGATTTCAACCCTAAAGCAGTCGAAAAGAAATGTAATTCCTACGCGAAGGATGGAGGCTACGGCTCTGCGGTGGTTGCGGCAGACTCGTTTCAGTGTTCGACCGTAGGCAAGTAGGTGTTAAGATGTGTGTTCGACTGCCGGCAAGTAGGTGTTAAGATGTGTGTTCGACTGTCGGCAAGTAGGTGTTAAGATGTGGGTTCGACTTCGGCAAGTAGGTGTTAAGATGTGTGTTCGACTGCCGGCAAGTAGGTGTTAAGATGTGTGTTCGACTGTCGGCAAGTAGGTGTCAAGATGTGTATTTGACTGCCGGCAAGTAGGTGTTAAGATGTGTGTTCGACTGCCGGCAAGTAGGTGTTAAGTTGTGTGTTCGACTTCAGGCACGTAGGTGTTAAGATGTGTGTTCGACTCTCAACAAGTAGGTGTTAAGATGTGTGTTCGACTCTCGGCAAGTAGGTGTTAAGATGTGTGTTCGACTTCAGGCACGTAGGTGTTAAGATGTGTGTTCGACTCTCAACAAGTAGGTGTTAAGATGTGTGTTCGACTGTCGGCAAGTAGGTGTTAAGATGTGTGTTCGACTGCCGGAAAGTAGGTGTTAAGATGTGTGTTCGACTTCAGGCACGTAGGTGTTAAGATGTGTGTTCGACTCTCAACAAGTAGGTGTTAAGATGTGTGTTCGACTCTCAACAAGTAGGTGTTAAGATGTGTGTTCGACTTCAGGCACGTAGGTGTTAAGATGTGTGTTCGACTCTCAACAAGTAGGTGTTAAGATGTGTGTTCGACTGTCGGCAAGTAGGTGTTAAGATGTGGGTTCACCTCAGACAGCTCCAGGTGTCTCACATTAGTTGTGTTGTTTTACTCAACTCCTGCTTATCTCGCCATACCCTGCATCTTTTGTCTAACCAGTGGCGTAGCGAGGTCGGGTGTCACCCGGTGCGGCACTTAATGGTGTCACCCCCCAGAGGCGTTGCGACCCTTCCCGGTGACAAACTTTCAAGTTATCGATTTGCACCCCCCCCCCTCAAACTTTCGATTTGCACCCCCCCCCCTCAAGTTTTCGATTTGCACCCCCCCCCCCCCCTCAAGTTTTCGATTTACACCCCCCCTCAAACTTTCAATTTGCACCCCCCTCAAGTTTTTCTCTATATATTTTGCTACTTTTTGCCTTTGTGTCACCCCCCTAAATGGTGTCACCCGGTGCGGTCCGCACCCCCCGCCCCCCCCCCCTCGCTACGCCCCTGTGTCTAACACGACTTCTCTAAACTTACCGATCATGTTGTCTCAAGAATGTTCTCTAATCTCACACAACTCTTGTTGTCTGAGTCGATGTTGTTTATTTTAAAATAAGTGCCCGAGTATTTTGTCCGTGAGCTAAATACCCATTACAGATCAAGTCAGCTGTTATTCACGAAGTTCAAAATACTTACAGTTACTACCCACATTTTTTTTTTTCGTTTATCATCTTGATATTCACACAGGCCGTCTAAAAGAACCTATACACGCTCCTAGATGCACACATTCTCTTAAATATTATCCAATCCACAGTAGACTAAAGTTGAATGCCCATTGTTTCCCCCACAGAAATATACTACGTAAAGATGGCAATGCCGTGGACGCTGCTATAGCTACTCTGCTATGTACAGGTCTCACAAGTCCACAGTCTATGGGACTTGGTGGAGGTTTCTTCATGACCATCTTCAACACGTAGGCCTTTATTACAGAACTATAACGTCTATGCTTACAATTATAATTAGATATCACGACTTTAAAGGGGAGACAATAGTAGAATAAAATAAACTAAGAGTTTGAGTCAACAATTGAAGCTTGTGTTTCAGAACGTCCCAGAAATCAACAGTGATCGACGCAAGAGAGACAGCACCGGAGAAAGCGAGGGCCGACATGTTTGCTAAAAACCCAATTGCATCTTTTGTTGGTGAGTATATATATATATATATATATATATATATATATATATATATATATATATATATATATATATATATATATATATATATATATATATATATATATATATGTGTGTGTGTGTGTGTGCGTGCGTGTGTATACCGTTTGCAGTGATATCAAAACAGATTTGATTATAAAAAGCTTGAATCTGGGGCGTTTGTTCGGTTTTCTAAGATTGGGTGACTTTTTTAATTTAAATCAATTACACAATAATACTTTTTTTTTTTTTTTTTTCTTTGGTAAATGATAAATGTATACAGAAGTAAATGTGTAAAATGTATTAATTTTATTAAATTATATATTTACTGGAAAAGTTTTGAGTAGGTAAGGTGCCCTACAGATTGTGAGAAATGCATTCATCACTAAAGATAAAGCCAATGAAAATTTTACTCGCTGCAGGGAAAGCCCATGTACAAATGTTGGGTGATATTACAAAATATGAATGCAACCTTGATTAATGCAAAACAAGTATTTTTAATTTATCGGCATTTGGAAAATTTATATCACTGATTTTTAAATGCATAACTTTCTAACACATTTTTTTGTATTCGTGGTTTTAAAAAAAAATGTTTTTATATTATATTCTTGCGGACAATTTGAAAACAAATGTGATAAATACTCTTTTGTCAGTCCAAGTTAACTGTAATGATCGAGAGCTTATCATCAAACCTTAAGAAATAAATTTAAAATATTTTGAATTTTACCATTTACGATTATTTTCCTCAAGGTGGGCTCAGCATTGCCGTCCCAAGTGAAATCAAAGGCTACTGGTACGCACATCAAAAGTATGGCAGGCTGCCGTGGTCAGATTTGTTTCAACCCGCAATCAAGATGGCCACTGATGGTTTTCTTGTTGAAGATTCATTGGCGAACGTTCTGAAAATCTTTAAGAGAATGTTATCAAAAGAAAAAACAATGAAGTAAGGCAATAGCAAACGAAAGTTGTAAGCTGATGTGATAGATCTTGATAACACGTAGGATAATAGTTTAAACAGGTCGAACCAATGCTATTGATAATAACTATCATTAGTTACTGAGCAGTTAACTGAAGTAATGCGTCGTCCATAAATGACGTCGTTATAAATGAATATTTTATTCCAAATTAGTGTCAATGCACATCACAGCAAAATCCAAACTCCACCACATAGGCTATAAAATTAAAATCTCAAACAATTAAGCCGCTTACAGTTTCTAAAATAAAGCACTTTTAATCATTAGGAATCGACAATACTTTTCCCCACGTAACACATCGCTGCACACACATGTTGTGTACAAATCCTAATATATAAAAGTCTATGTGCGTACTTTTCTCACTCTCTGTCCGCAACATTTTTGAGGCTATGTGATCTGTATGTTCAGCGATTATGGAGAACTGAAAGATTCAGACTTTTGTTGAAAATAATATATTGGATGTTTTAACTGTATAGACTAAATTTTATTTAAAGAAGGAAAATAAAAATAAAGGAATATTCGAATGTAGAAGCACATTTTTAACTATGCAACAGTAAAAGTATTTATTGTTGCTACAAGAACGGAAAAAAACCAATGAGAGACTAGATCCAAAGCTCCAACCACTTCCAATTATTACATATACCGGCTATTACTTAAAACATAACTTGAATATCTCGCGTCATAGTCCCGTCACTTCATTATACACCAGCACCAACATTCATTCGCACCAAACATATTTCCTAGCACAAAGCTAGTTGAAGTGAGGTCAAAATAAACAGCTTCAGATAGTGAACAATTTATTTTCACAGAGACGTATTTATAAACAATTCAACGAAAAAAGTATTCAAAAAGGGGGAGAAAATGAAGAGGCCCCAGTTAGCTAAAACACTTCAAGTTATCGCCAAAGAAGGGATGAAGGCTCTGTATGATGGGTCGTTGACCAATGACTTAATGGAGGATCTGAAAGAAATAGGTTCGTCCAGAACTTCTTATCTAGAATTTAAAATATTTTCATTAAAAGAAAAGAAAATGACTTAGATTCTGATATTTTCAATTCTGTTTTAAAAAAAAAATTACAAATATGTTTATCTGCACTATGGACAATAATGCTCATTTAAAAATGTATTTATTGTGGGTCTGCTTGTATATTTTCGAGCCAGAGCAAACCCTGGCCGGAACTGATTGTCTACTGAATAGTATGTTTACTTAAATTTTTTTTTCATAAAAAAAAAACCATTTTATAACAAGCTTTTATGTGACAAAAAAGTAGAAATGATTTTCGTTAATATATAATGATACACTACTCTTTAAATATTTATCTATTGGATAACTTTTACTAATATTTAGGAAGAGACCCACGCTTTTCTTTATAGTTATTTAAAGAATAGTGTGTTATTATATATTTAATGAAAGGCATTTAATTTCTATTTTTTTAGTGGATTATCTCATAAAAGCTTGTTATTAAAACGTTCTTTATGAAAAAAAAATCAGCACTTTAATTATTTTTTAAATTTAAATAGAATTGCATGACTCAAAAAGATTGCGCACCTAATGAACATGATAACACGATATGCGAAATCGTTGGATAAGACAACCTCCTAATTGGGACATTTTAATTAATTCTTAAAAATTTAATTTAGCATCCAATCAAGTCAAATTTGATGTCAGATTATTGCATTGTCTTCATGTTTTGACCCGCATGACAACATTAAAACGAAACTGTTAGTTAGAAGTGCCGGAAATTTCGCTCGGGCGTTTCGATTTAGACAGACTGACGACTGGCAGACTGTCGATAGACAGACAGAGACAGTGAGTTAAATAAAAGTTTGTAAAAAATTCATAAAAAACGTGTTAATAACACGCTTTTATTTTATAATGCATTAAAAAAGTAGAAAATAAATTATACACTACTAGTGAAATAAGAAAAGCGTGGATCACTTTAGTATCTATCGAATACCTTTTCTAATATTTAGGAAGAGACCCACGCTTTTCTTTATAGTTATTTAAATAGTAGTCTGTAATTTATTTTCTACTTTTTAGTGCGTTATTACATAAAAGCTTGTTAGTAAAAGGTTATTTTATGAATTTTTTTAGTACTTTGCATGTTTTATTAACACTAGAGTTGCATGAGTAAAAACCATTGCGCACCTATTGAACGTGATGACGCGTGTCTAATGGCGCGGAATAGTTTGATGAGACAGCCTACTAATTTGGATGAAATTTAAATTCATTCATAAAAAACTAATCAGGCAACCAATTAAGTTAAATGTAATGCCATGTTGCATTGTCTTCATGTTTTAACCCACTTACCAACTACGAACCGTATCTGTCAGTTAGAAGTTCCTGCAATTTCGCTCGGGAGTTTTGATCTAGACAGACTAACGACAGATTGACGACAGAGGAAGTGAGTTAAATAAAAGCTTGAAAAACGCTTGATTTTAGATATCTATACGAGTGTGTTTTCGTCAAAGTATGTATGGTGAATATAGAGATTCTATATATATACAGGAGCCATTTCCTTCGCTACTCTGTAAAGATATGTGTATTCAATTATCCAGGATCGATTATTACAAGAAATGACCTCAAGAACTACAAGGTGCTGGAGAAAAGACCAGTGGAGATCTTGTTAAATGATGGACTACGAGCTGTCACCGTACCAGCACCTGGTGGCGGCCCAATTTTGGCTTTAATCCTACATATTCTCAACGGTCAGCAAATCCATAAATACTATATCCCAACATACTTTTATACACATTTAAAAATGTTATTGTATTCTTAAACATTTCTATAATGTTATACTTAGGTAAGTAAGTAAAGTTTCCCTTTCAAACCTAACGGTCTATGGGGCAAGTGAATGAAGTAGAGTTCACTTGTTTCTGTGACCTCGGCATTTGAAGAGATAGTGTGGTCAGCACTATGCCCAGCCGCCTTTACTTTCCCTAACGTGAGTTAGGTACCTATCAGAGTTGGGTGGACTCAGGGACGGTCTACTGACTTGAAACCGGATTCGAACACGAGACTTACGGGTTAGCAGTTCTGCTCTCTATCGCTAGACCACTCCGCCCCACAATTTTATACTTAATCCATTTTAAATAAAAGATAAGTTAATAAAAATTATATTGTTAAGCTTGATGTTGATAAATATCTATGTTTTTAAAGTGTTTGTGTTACTAGTTATAATTATAAAATATGCACAGTTCACTAAACGAAATTACAGGCTATAGTTCCACGCATAAAGAATAGAACAAGTTACAATTACGTGGTTTAATTGTTCAGTAAATTATGTCCCAGGCTACAACTTGACACCCGAGAGTGTAGAAACAGATGCCAAGAGGACCCAGGTATACCACAGGATTGCCGAGGCTTTTAAATTTGCCTACGCTAAGAGGACTGAGATGGGTGATGAGATGTTCATGAACTCACCGGGGGTAAGAATCAAAACTTATCAAAGGTAAATTGTATATATATATATATATATATATATATATATATATATATATATATATATATATATATATATATATATATATATATATATATATATATATATATATACAGAAAGAGAGAGAGAGAGACCTTCATTTGGGTCGTTAGGACACCATAGTTGATTTTCTTCTAATTTTGAGTCATCTCCCTCTGTCCTCTACTATCTGACTGTAGCCCAGACTAATATTTGAAGTCCTTACCCACTTATGTCTATACCTACTCATTCACCTCGCTCGTGGCAAAGTGCCTTCCATTGTTGCGTGTGTTGGCTAGGCCGGATCACATAAATATTATATAGATAAAGTATAGGAAAACAGCTAAACAAAATACTTTTGTAATAAGGCAAACATGATTGTCATCACCTACTCTAATATAAAGTCACGAGAGGAACTAGCTCCTCCGGTAAATCAATCACTAACAATTCGCTGATCACATATATACAATAGAGAAAAATGGGAACCTCACACTTTTGCATACGCCTGTGTTCTATGTGAATACATCGTTTAATAGTGAGACTCGCATGATGGAATTATATAAATATAAAACTCAAATTTAACGTGTCTTTGTAATTTTTTATAAAAAAGTGGGTACGTTTAAATAATGCCTTTAAGAAAATGTCACGAAAAAGACTTAAGAGTGTATTTTTATTGACGCTACATCTATTTTTTTTTGTGAAACATGTTTTTCGTTGGTAATTGTTTAATTTCGTATCTTGTGCAGTTTTTTCAAAACCTCTCGTCAAGGGAGTATGCTGAGGAAATGCGTTGTAAACTCTCCGACACGCAGACCCATGACGTTAAGTACTACGGCCCAACCTACGACTCAAAGATCACTACAGGTACATCCCACCTCTCAGTGATAGACGATGAGAGCCTCGCTGTATCGGTTACAAGTACAATCAATGCCAGGTACATAATATAATACAGTAATGTATTACTGTGAGACCAGTGTTTCTTTCAGACTTTTTTCTCCGGGGGGGGGGGGGGCAGCTTGAAATTTTTTTTGGGGGGGGGGGGGGGGGGGCGGTAGACTTTCTTCGGAGAGGGGGGGGGCGGACACTGTTAAAAGTATATATTTTCTATATAAATTATATAAATTTCATTTCGTTGGGGGGGGGGGGGTGGGGGCGGTCGGTAAAATTTTTTCAAGGAGAGATGCCTGGAAGAAACGCTGTGTGAGACGGCTTAGTCTTATTGTAAAGTATGCGACTGCTAACCTGAAAGTCTTGAGCTCGAATCCTCATCATTTCCCGTGCATGTCCAAGACACATGGGGCAGATGAAATAGAGTTCTTCTGCTTCAAAGACCTCGGCATGTGAAGGAACAGCGTGGTCCAACTATGCCCACGCTTTTCTTTATAGTTATTTAAATAGTAGTCTATAGTTTATTTTCTACTTTTTAGTGCATTATTACATAAAAGCTTGTTATTAAAACGTTTTTTATGAATTTTTTTTACAAGCTTTTATTTAACTCACTTCCTCTGTCGTCGGTCGTCAGTCTAGATCGAAACGCAGGAGTGAAAATTCGGACAGTTCTACTTGACCGATACGATTCAAAGTTGACACGTGGGTCAAGACATGAAGACAATGCAATCTGAAACTAAATTTGACTTAATTGGATGCCTAATTAATTTTTTATGAATTAATTAAAATTTGGACCGAATTAGTAGGCATGTCTATCCAACCACACCACACGCGTCATCACGTTCAATAGCTGCGCCATCAGGTTTAATAGCTGCGCCATCACGTTCAATAGACGCGCAATGGTTTTTAGTCATGTAACACTATTGTAAATAAAACATGTAAAGTACTGGAAAAAAAAATTCATAAAAAACGTTTTAATAACAAGCTTTTATGTAATGATGCACTAAAAAGTAGAAAATAAATTATACTGTATACACTACTATTTAAATTACTATAAAGAAAAGCGTGGGTCTCTTTTCAAATATTAGTAAAGGTATCCAATAGGTACTAAAGTACTAAAGTGACCCACGCTTTTCTTTATAGTAATTTAAATAGTAGTGTATACAGTATAATTTATTTTCTACTTTTTAGTGCATCATTACATAAAAGCTTGTTATTAAAACGTTTTTTATGAATTTTTTTTTACAAGCTTTTATTTAACTCACTTCCTCGTCAGTCTGTCGTCAGTCGTCAGTCTAGATCGAAACGATGGAGTGAAAAAGTAGAAAATAAATTATAGACTTCTATTTTAATAACTAGAAAGAAAAGCGTGGGTGTCTTCCTTAACATTAGTAAAGGTATCCAATAGATACTAAAGTGACCCACGCTTTTCTTTCTAGTTATTAAAATAGAAGTCTATAATTTATTTTCTACTTTTTAGTGCATTATTACATAAAAGCTTGTTATTAAAACGTTTTTTTTTAAATGAATTTTTTTAAAACTTTAAGTATTTAAAATGGATTAAAAATCGTGTCTATAGCCCGAGTTCCCATCCCCTGTTGTTTTAAATAAGAATATTCGAGAAAGTTTAGGGGAGATCACTCCCGGTTAATTTATATTTCCTTTGCTGAGTTAGACGAGAAATATTACAAAATGTACCTATTGTATCAGGTTCGGATCCCAGGTGCGCGGCATGAGAACTGGTATAATCTTTAACGACGAGATGGACGACTTCAGCACACCAAACGTCACCAACTACTTCGGGTTCGAACCCTCACCAGCGAACTTCATCGCTCCCGGCAAGCGGCCAGTGTCGTCCATGTGTCCGACTATCTTCATAGATCGTCAAAATTATGTGTCCAAAATTCTAGGAGCGGCTGGCGGTTCCAGGATCACTTCGGCAACAGCTTTGGTAAGAAATGTAAACACTAAAGCAGTGTACGTGTTAAGACAACTTGGCCAATGTCTAACTTTCAGATTATAGGAAAAGCTCAATTTCTTTGTAGAAATCGTGTTCCGTGTTAATTATGTTAATTAAAAAGAAACTAAAAAAAAAACAAGAACATAAAGTTTTTGAGCGCTGGTGCCTCTAGGAAAGGGTATAATGAAAAACAATGCTTTAACACAGTTAATTAAAGATAATGTGCGGAGATTTCTCTGAGCCTTTTTCGTGTGCGCAATTTTCTAGTCGCGTATTTTTGTATGTGCGCAACTTCCTGTTTGCAAATTCCTATTTGTGAGCACATTTATGTGTGCGCATTTTAAATTTTGCTCCATTTGCGAGGATTCGAAAAATAATGTGGCAAATATAGGAGAGAAGTTCACTTATTTTTCAACGCTGACGAAGACAAAATGCACATAATTATCACTGATACACTACCTAGCGCTTTTTAAAGAGAGAGAGATGGTGAGATTGCTAAAAATAGTGTGGTTTTTTTTTAAACTCTATGGATTTTAGTTTATATCATAACGTATTCACACACTGTTTTTCGTTTTGTAGTAAATTATAAGCTGAAGTTTTATGTTCTACGCTAATTGTTCAAGGATTTAGTGCAAAACTAAGATACTATTTAGTAATGAATCAAGCCAGTGTTATTTATCAAACTTAAACGACAATTTAAGCGCAATTTACTTATGTTATCCATAACAATTTTAAATCGAGATAAGTCATATATTCAGCAAATTTTTTGTGACCGAACGAAAGGATATTTTTGAAAACTTTCTTCGGCAATATTGTTCTAAATTATGGCAGAAATCGATTGGTAAATGTTTCAAGTCGCTAAGTGGTCTGGTTGCCGAGATATGGGCCAAAAACTGCATTTTTTCGAGGATTTTTGGCTTTTCCGGGAAAATCAGAAAGGAATTCCTTGAATTTTTTTGACCCACAATCATCCTCGGAACTTGCTTAACATATTTACTTTTGGAACTAGTCCTCGATATTGCTTCCATCCATCCATCCATCCATCCATCCATCCATCCATCCATCCATCCATCCATCCATCCATCCATCCATCCATCCATCCATCCATCCATCCATCCATCCATCCATCCATCCATCCATCCATCCATCCATCCATCCATCCATCCATCCATCCATCCATCCATCCATCCATCCATCCATCCATCCATCCATCCATCCATCCATCCATCCACCCATCCACCCATCCACCCATCCACCCATCCACCCATCCACCCATCCACCCATCCACCCATCCACCCACCCATCGATCCATCGATCCATCCATCGATCCACCCATCCACCCATCTATCCATCCATCCATCCATCCATTCATCCATCCATCCATCCATCCATCCATCCATCCATCCATCCATCCATCCATCCATCCATCCATCCATCCATCCATCCATCCATCCATCCATCCATCCATCCATCCATCCATCCATCCATCCATCCATCCATCCATCCATCCATCCATCCATCCATCCATCCATCCATCCATCCATCCATCCATCCATCCATCCATCCATCCATCCATCCATCCATCCATCCATCCATCCATCCATCCATCCATCCATCCATCCATCCATCCATCCATCCATCCATCCATCCATCCATCCATCCATCCATCCATCCATCCATCCATCCATCCATCCATCCATCCATCCATCCATCCATCCATCCATCCATCCATCCATCCATCCATCCATCCATCCATCCATCCATCCATCCATCCATCCATCCATCCATCCATCCATCCATCCATCCATCCATCCATCCATCCATCCATCCATCCATCCATCCATCCATCCATCCATCCATCCATCCATCCATCCATCCATCCATCCATCCATCCATCCATCCATCCATCCATCCATCCATCCATCCATCCATCCATCCATCCATCCATCCATCCATTCATCCATCCATCCAGAAATAACGAATTAATAATCGCAATTGTCAGTATAGAAATTGCGCTAAAAAATAAAGGCTTTGTCACACGGGGTTAGTTGCAGGCTATAAATGAGGTGGCCTTGTAAATCTCTCGACTTCTATACCGAATGCATCGAGTTCGAATCTCGTTCTGTTCTCAAGACTACATGAAGTCCCTAACTTCACCCTGCTGTGATGGGTACCAGACATGTCTGGAAAGTAAAGGCGGCTGGACATAGTGCTGACCACACCATCCTCTTACATGCCGAGGTCAATAAACATGTGGGCTCAACTTTATGGATAGTTAAATCTGAAAGGGGAACTTAACTTATAAATGTGAATGTGTTAAACGTCACGCTCTGACTATATGATATACATGTACCAGGTGGCAGCACACGTCATTTGGCTAGGGGATACACTGAGGGAGGCGATGTACAGGCCCAGACTCCACCATCAGCTGGTACCGAATCAGCTAGAGTACGAGGTCGAGTTAAGTCCCGTGAGTGACGATTGTTTCGTGTCATTTATTTTTTGTAATAGGCTACATAAATATTTCGTTATTTTAACCCTGTGTATATTGTAGCATAGTATGAATTCTGGTGTTTTATAGATATGATCAAAAAGACGAGTTAATATTTAATAATGTCTGCATAATATAGGCTAAAAACAAGTGTTTTTTTTTAAATTTATTTTTTTAATTACTTTTGTGTTGTCACAAATTTCTCAAATAGGGATTGTTTGACATTTTGTGTTGTAATAAAAAATATAAATATCATTAGCGTGTATTCGAGTTTTTGAAGAAATTAATCCTACGTTTAGGGACGACATAATACTTTCACATACACACGCACGCGCGCACAAACACACATACATACATACATATGTATATATATATATATATATATATGTTACGGTCAAAGCCCGAAGTGCGGCCAAACCCCGGATTGGCCGGCCAATGCGCGGATTGGCCGGCTCTCTTGGCCAAAGCCCGAAGAACTTAGAACTAAGATCGTATTTCGTACATTGGCCGGCCAATGCGCGCACTGGCCGGGACGTACTGGCCAAAGTCCGAAGTACTTAAACTTGACAGCGTATTTTGTACATTGGCCAGCCAATGCGCGCATTGGCCGGGATGTCCTGGCCAATGTTGTATCTAGACTAAGTTGTGATCGCGTTTTAATTATTCTGGGTGCGGTTTCATTGTGAGTAACGTATTGTTTAGCTCTTGTTTGTATAGCATTCTATATGCAAGGCGACATGGATCAAAAGGGCCGTCAGACCATGAGACAGACATAGCAAATGGCTGTCAAAAGAAAAAAATGTAAATTCATGTTAGTTTCCATATATGGGCTACAACTGTATGTGACAGCCTCCTCCATGATGACGAGGTGAGACAATCATCAAAGAACAAAATCACAGACAGTCGGCGTCACATACCACGTGCAACAAGACGGAACGTTCAAAAGACTTTTCCGCGTTCCTAGATGTTTAAAACATGATGATGACATGGATGCAAACAAATGAATCAGCTCATTGGGCTGAGAGTCTCAAATTCATTTAATTTATGAAAAATCGTTCTTTTCATCAAGGAATCCAACAATCACCATACGAAGCCTTGTTTGGATGCAAAGCAAAAGTGGGACTTAGCACTTCAAATCTACCAAGAGAGGCTCTCAATAAAATAGTTACTGAGGAAGATCTTGAGAACATTGAACAAGAAATGGAGGTTGCCATAAATGCAACGACATCCTCAGCTAACACATCTGCTGCCGTGGCGGAACGTCCAGACCAGTTGCGTGACAATAATGTGGCCAATAGATTCTGTATAGTTTGTGAAAAACATTGTAGTGCAGCTCATTCTTGTGGATCCTGTGGCAACGATGTCCATGCTATTTGTGGAATACCCAATGAAGCAGACGAAGGGTACGGAGGGAACATTACCTGCAGATTGTGTCACAACAAACAAGACATCATGGAACACAGGTCAGCAGCTCATACTGGCTTGCAAAATCAAGGTGCTAAGATGCTTAAAACATCAAATACAAAATTTAAAGATGGTGAAGTGGGTGACAATGTAACCATCCGTGTTCCAGATGTTGACAGAGGTCGCGGTGATCCCCGAAGCGTGATTGCAGTTGTCATGAGCGTCGAGGGCGGTTTCTACAAATTAGGAACGGATCATGGTGTTCTAAAACAACTGTATGCTAGAAGTGAGTTTTCAATTCTTCACGAAAAACTGCTCTTATTGTCGTCAGTTGGCACTGAGGAAAAATCACTACGAACCATCGCATCTTCATCGCATCTTCACAATCATTGACTGGGGGCCAAGGCTACACTCGCTGCAATTGCACAACCAAGTGTACAACAAATCGCTGCAAGTGTAAAAATAACAAGCTGCTATGTAATTCTAAATGCCATAAAAGTTCAACTTGTTGTAACAAATAATAATATTGATTGATTGAGACTATAGTACAATAAAAAATTTGAATGTTTCTGTCATTTACTTTAATTAATAATCAATAAAGACTTAATTTCATGATCCTACCGGCATAAAAAAAACCAAAATCTGCTCATGATCTTCTAATTAAGACTTTGGCCGGTCCACCATGGCCAGTCCGCGGACTGGCCGGCCAAAGGCCGAAATCAAGAGTTATTTCAGACTTTGGCTGGTCCACAATGGCCAGTCTGCGGATTGGCCGGCCAAAGGCCGAAATGAAGCAAAGTTTCGGACTTTGACCGACCTATGGGAGGCGATATTGGCCAATGCGCGGATTGGCCGGCCAATCCTAGCATTGGCCGACTTCGGGCTTTGACCGTAACATATATATATATATATATATATATATATATATATATATATATATATATATATATATATATATATATAATGCGTGCTCCAATATGTGCATGTAATATACATATTATCTTATTAATAATAATATATGCATGTATATGTATATTTTTAAATCTTTTAAGATTAGATTTACCTACACTTCATATTCATTTTTGCTCCAGGTAATTGTTGAAGGGCTACGTAAGATGGGCCACAAAATGGCAAAGGCAGTTACTGTTAAATCTGTTGTACAAGGCATCAACATGAACACCAGGAAGATCTATGCAGAAAGTGACCCCAGGTTTGGCGGAGCACCAAGCGGTTACTGACAGCTGGAGATCACGTTGTTCAAAATGGTTAAATATGGCGTGATGTCATTCGAATTAAAACTTATTCAATAAAGCGGGTGTGATCTACCCTAAAATTTCTCGCATATTCTTATTTAACAGTACGGGAATAGAGCACTTGATCCAGAGGCGTAGCGACCCTTCCCGGCGCCCGGGGACAAACTTTCGATTTGCACCCCCCTTCAAACTTTTCATTTGCACCCCCCACCCTAAAACTTTCGATTTGCACCCCCCTCGAACTTTTCATTTGCACCCCCTCAAACTTTCAATTTGGCGCCCCCCCCCCCCCTAAGGTCGGCGCCCGGGGACATATGTCGTCCTCCCGCCCACCCCCACCGCTACGCCTCTGACTTGATCTGATATTGCTTCTGCTGAGTGATCTTTTACTTCAGAAATCCTAGGAAAATTTCGCTTATAATATAGGCCTGTTATGTGACGGAGTAGTCTAGCGGTAGAGAGCTGGACTGCTAACCCGCAAGTCTTGGGAGTTGAATCCGGGCTCTGAAGACAATCCCTGAGTCCACCTAACTCTGATGGGAACCTAAGTTACGTTAGGGAAAGTATAGGCGGCTGGGCATAGTGCTGACCACACTATCCCTTCATATGCCGAGGCCACAGAAACTAGTGAACTCTACTTCACTTGCGCCATAGACCGTTAGGTTTGAACTTTACATTATTTTACTTTACTTTACTTGAAAGGGAACTTTACTTTATAGGCCTTTTAAAATTTCTCGGTTTACTTCTTTCATACCGAATGAAGGAGACATTTCTTATATTATGTTCAGCTGCTCATTGTAGTATTATCTTCAGAGTTTGTTTTAGGAGGGGGGGGGGGGACGACACCGAACAAAATAGTATTCGCATACAGAACATACTTTAATCAGTGTCTCACCCCCCCCCCTCCATTAAAGTCAAATCCGCTCCACTCCAACCTTCCCCGAAAACTGTAAGTACGTCCCCCAGAGAAAAATGCCTGAAAAAACACTGATATTGTTGTGTTGTGTTTTACGTTAAAGAATAAGATGGTGCCGATTATTTTTAGATAACGATTTCTTACTTAGCGTTTTTTTTTCTTCGAGATATTTAATTACCTCGTTTTGTAAAGCCTCTTAGTTGGGCTGATGCAGAGTTTCTATCAGGTATATTTTGTATATAATTATATAAAAATATATACTTTAACCAGTGTCCGCCATCTGAAAGTTCTGAAAGGTACCCTTGTAATTTTCTTAATGAGCACGTATATTAATTTATGGTAGAAAAGTTTCACAATAGCTTTCAAAATTTACTTCCCTAAGACCACGGAGTGATAAAGAAATGTAATACTCCTGGTCAACATAGGTGGTCCTGTACACTTTGCAAGAGGTATAAACGTACTACGCAGTATTTATCATTTCTACACCGCAAACGAATAGGGTTTCCATTTTATTTTTGAATTATTTAATCTAGGCTATATAAAATTAATACAGATTTCAAATGTAAAAAAATTAAATTTACCTGGCCCCTGTTGCGTTGCTTATTCTAGCTATTTCTATATTGGTGCTGCCAGTGTATCTTTCAGGTACCTCTTCGGGGATGATGGGGAGCGTTCTCCACTCCTCCACCCTTTCCCCAAGAACCACGTCCACACACACACACACACACACACACATATATATATATATATATATATATATATATATATATATATATATATATATATATATATATATATAACGTATACTTTAACATCAAACCAGTGTCCGCCCCCAGAAATTCAGGTGCATTCCCCAAATCTAAAGCGCCTACACTTGTTTTAAGGACTGCCTTAAACTAGATAAATTGTGGGCTACTACAATGAATTAATTGAACTAGGGATCTCACCTGGCGCTCCTGCAGTAGAGTAACCAGTCACTCCTAAAGAGTGCCCCTGCGACGACCCTAACTCTTGGTCGTCGAGGGGTTCTACCTCACCATACTAGCACATCCTGGGGTGTTACGTACGACTGCAGTGATTGAACCCTTATAAAACGCGGCATCCCTTTGGTATGTATGACTGAATCACAGCAACCCGCGACGGATACGCTAATCATTTCATTATTTAAAAATATTTTTTTAAGTAGGCCTACTCTGTTTACATTTTAAACTACAGCGCGCGAAGCTTTTCTTTTTTTTTTTTGACTTATTTAATAATAAAAAAAATTATAGGCCTAGTCTATTTAAAAATAATAAATTTGGTTTAAGAAAATGCAAGCTGGCAACCTAAGCTAATAGAGTCCTTTCATATGACGTCACGTCCGTTCGTGATACCTACGCCCGCCGCCACAGTGGTGTACACAAGACGTAAACACAATCAGCTGTTCGCCAGCGCTGGACGTGTTCACCAGCGCTGGACGCGTTCACTGTATGTAAAGAACCGCACCCGCGGAAAAGGAAAAATACGTTAAAAAACTTGAACTCTTAGGAATTGAAGATCCTTATACTGTTATTGACAGTTTCGTATAAATAAATATGTGGACAAAATTTCTAAATAAAAATACTGTTAGTAATACTGTTTGCGTTTAGAGTTAAAGTAGCCGAATATGATAAAATGCAGTTCTCGATACTTTGTTTCATGTAAGGACAGTAAAATAATAAACTTCATTTTAGTTATAAAAGATAACTATTAATAAAACAAATATGCTCGACCTTCACAAATACTAATAGTAAAAGACAAAGTCAAAAGTAATAGGCTAATAAGAATAATAAGATCTAATAGTAGGCCTAATACCTGGCTCCGCTGGGTAGACATAGAATCTAGAATCTACTTCTTTACTTAAATTTAATTACTTTAGATCTACATTCGATTCAAAATACACCCATAATAAATCAAAAGTAGTCATAATTGGCCTAATAAAGCATTTAATTGTCTCTAAGATCTAAAATCTCGCTCTATTATCTAATCATTTTTTTTTAGCAAACGAAATTTTCTGAAATTGAAATAGATTATATAACTAGACTTAGATCTAGAATCTGCTACTTAAATTAAATTGTAAAACTTTATACAAGCATGTAGTTGATATTATTGTAGTAGAAGGCTTTAATAAATTACTAAGGCCTACCTACTTTGTTGTCTTTTTACAGCAATATGGATTGTATCTGATACTGGACTGAGTTTAATTAAATTCAAATTCATATCTAGTAATTGGTCTACTAAGTTTTTGTAGCCTAGTAGTACAATCTAGATCATACCAGCCAACAACAAATAACCACATTATTATTATTTGGTTAATGATTAGGCTAATTTTTTTTTAAATCCACTGTTTATAAAAGAAACAAATCAAGCTAGAAACATTATAAGTGAGATGGTTTAGAATAATAACAATGGACCCAGTCTACAATTGATACAATTGCAGGTCTACATAGGGCCTACAGTCTAGTAGTTTACAGTAGGCACCTAGTGTGTATAATAGATTGACGACAGAAGCCTGTGGTTGTATATAACACATTTAATGGGTCTAACTACTTCATGATGGTAATACCAGAGAGGGCGGAAGCAAGTACACAAGGGACATCACTCAAGATAACAATATTATAAATATAACTAATACAGAAGAGTGAGTTCCCTTGACCTCACAATTATTTCAATCTATTACATCCCTTTACCCTTAGAACACAATAACACATCTCTCAATAGAACAATTGATAGTATCCTAAAATCACCAATTATATTGTAACATGAACACTATGGTAGATTACATCCTTACAAACAATGCACAATATGCTACAACATAATCAAAATACAAAACAATAATGTCAAAGTCCTTTTGACCTTTAGAATCATAGGTCTAACTTATTTGGGACTTTGATTGTCCTGCTTGACCTTCTCAGTGGCTTCTGATTTGGTGACTCAAGATTCTGACCATCTGGATTCTCTATCTCAGGAGGTCTAGGATTTAAATCATTAACTCCAGAATTTACATTTTCTGACTCCAGACAACTTGGTTCACTCATATCAACAGAACTTGGTTGTAGAACAAACTGAGTTGGTGTCAACTGATCAGACTTGGTGGGATTGACAGATTCACACTTATTATCTGCACAAGTTATTTTTAACTTTATAAGACACAGGTCCTGTACATTGAACAATTTGACCTGGTATCCATTTTTCCTTTCTCCCATAATTTCTTAGATACACATTCTCATTAATACCAAATTCTCTTTCAATGGGTGTTCTGTCATGATTTACTTTTTTAATTGGCATCTGAAAGTATTATGCTATTATTCAGATCCTTAATTGACATAGATTTCTTTGATTGATCAATTTTCTCAGGTAATCTAATAGTGCTTTTTGGTAACCAAAAATACTGTTTAAAAGTAATATTCTGGACCATATCACTTTGCAACTGTGATCCAGTATTTAAAGTGGGTGTATTAAATGGCAAAAATCTTTTTCTTCTTTTGATGTTACCCTTTTAGTTTCTGTAAGTGCTAATGATGTTAGCAAGGTTGTTTGATGATCATATTCCTTCTTACTAATGTATTCTCTTTTAAGACATTTGAAATTGCCATATCACCATAATCATTTATTAAGTTACAAATACTTTGTTTAGGCAACTCTGACTGATAATGGACTGCATCTTCTCCATCTTTTATATTATCTTCACAAAGGGTTTTAATTTCTTATTTTATATGGCCTTAAGTCATCATTCACTGACTCTTCAGGCCAACCATTCTTACAGTACTCATATACTTTTATTAAGCACTCATCTTTTTGTGTTTCTCTTTTAATATCATTCACATTTATATTGGAGTTATCCATGATAGTGAAGAGAACAAATACAACTTCTGGTACATAGCTCAGGCTTTGGTTTTTTAAAGGTAATCTACTAAGGCTATCTGCACTATTCTCAGATCCAGGTTTGTATTTCAATTCATAGTTGTATGCAGTTAGTGTGATAGCCCATCTTTGAATTCTTGGTGAGGCATGCTCAGGTAGGGTTTTGTTTTCTCCAAATAAACCTAGCAATGGTTTATGATCTGTAAAGATGGTGAACTTCCTACCAAACAGAAACTTATGAAATTTCTTAACACCAAAAATGATGCCTAAGCCTTCCCTATCTAACTGAGAATAATTTTTCTCAGCCTGGTTCAAAGATCTACTGGCAAAAGCAATGGGTCTGTCACCCTTCTCATCCATGTGGGACAAGACTGCTCCTACACCATCTGGTGAAGCATCACATGTTAATATAAGTCTTTTCCCTGGGTCATAGTGAGTTAGTAAGGTGTCAGAAGACAAAGCCTCTTTTGCTGTATTAAAAGCAGCTTCTTGTTGTTTACCCCAGTGCCAAGTTGCATTTTTCTGTAGCAGCTTGTACAGTGGTGATAGTTTACCAGACAGATTCCCTATGAACTTTGCATAGTAATTTATCAAGCCCAAAAAAGCTCTTAGTTGTTGGGTATTTTCAGGTTTGGGTGCTTCTTTAATGGCTTTTGTTTTCTCAGGTTGAGGTCTGATGCAGTGCTTGCTTAATATATAACCAAGAAAACTAATTTCTGTCAGCATGAATTGACATTTATCTTTGTTTATCTTTAAACCTTTTTCACCAACAATTTTCAATACTTTATCAAGTGTTTTAAGATGTTCAGTGTCATTCTTACCAGTTATGTACACATTGTCAAAGTACACACAAACATTTGGAATATCCTTAAAAATACTGTCCATGACCGCTTGGAAAATTCCAGGGCTAGATGATATGCCAAAACATAGTCTTTCATATTGGTAGAGTCCTTTATGTGTGTTTATTGTCGTATAGACTTTTGAATCTGGATGCAGTTCTAGTTGAGTGTAAGCATGACTAAAGTCTAATTCAGTGAATTTGTCTCCTCCTGCCAAATTCAAAGAAATTTCCTCAATGTTAGGTATAGGGTACCTATTTAGCTCTATTTGCTTATTCAGTGTAGTTTTATAATCTCCACAAATTCTTATAGAACCATCCTTCTTTAACACTGGCACAATGGGCGTCGCCCAATCGGAATAGTCTACCTTCTTTATAATGCCATTAGATTCTAATCTGCTTAGCTCATTTTCAATTTTATTCCTCATTGCATAAGGTGGAACTCTAGCTTTGCAGTATCTTGGATTTGTATCTTTAATGCTTAACTTCACTGTTCTATCATTTAGTAATCCAGAGTTACCAAAAACACATTTATTTTCAGATATAACTTTATCTAGTGAAGTAAGACTAGATTCTTTTACATTCTTCAATGAACAAATACTCTCCCAATTTAACTTAAGATTACTTAACCAGTTCCTACCTAGTAATGGCGGTCCATTTCCTTCAACCACAAGAAGAGGAAGTTTAACACTTTGACCATTATAACTTACATGAACCATACACTCTCCTATTACCGGAACATTGTCACCAGTGTATGTTGTTAGACACTTGTGACACGGCTGTAGAGACACTGATCCTCCTGTGACAGCGTCAAAATCTTTCTTTGTGATGACTGTTAGTGATGCTCCAGTGTCAAGTTGGAAGCTGATGCTCTTACCGTTGATATTAACTTGTACATTGATGGGAGCATGACTTATTGATTTCACAGAGAACAGGTTGAAATCCGGCTGCGAATCAGTTTGAGCATTTTCACAGGTAGAGTGGTTCATTGGTTGGATTAGGTAGTCTTGGTGAGAGTTAACATAGTGCTGCTTTTGGTTGCGGTACTGTCTTGACTGGCTAGATTTAGCAACAGACGAAGACTTTGCAAAGCAGGCCTTGGCAATGTGACCTTGCTTACCGCACTTATAACAAGTTGCAGACTTGAACTTGCACCGATGAGATGCATGGGGACCTTTGCATCGATGACATTTTTGATAATTATTACTAGATTTAGATCTAGGATTTGAACGAGCAGGGTGTTTAGCATAAGTTGGAATGCTCTGTTGGGGTTGATGTTTATTGACTAACCTGCTGTTTACTGCATGGATCCCTGAAGGCGTAAGAGATTTCGCCGCATCTGATGACTGCTGGTATGAATTTGCAAGTTGTATTGCTTTTTCTAATGTTAGATCTGACTCGAGCAGCAACTTTCTTTGAATATCAGGGCTGTTTACACCTGTCACAAACTTTTCACATAGTCTGTCAGACAGCGTGTCTCCGAATTCACAAAATCTACTTAAATGACGTAAAGCAGCAACATATTCTGATATTGACTCGTTTGGTTGACGAGTCCTACTGTCAAATCTAGCTCTACATAAAAACTTTGATGGGGTGGGCGCATGGTGGTCTGTTAGCAATTTGCTCAGCTCGTTAAAGCTCTTGGTAGTTAGACTAGCTGGCGCGGATAAGTCTTTTAGTAGCCTAAATTGTTGAGGCCCTATGACTGTTAACAAAACAGCTCTCTTTTTGGCTTCTATCGTCACGTTGTTTGCTTCTAGGTAAAAGCTTAACCTCTCTAGGTAATCTTGAATGATTTCATCATTCACATCAAATTCTTTTATTTGGCCATACAGCGCCATAATTCTAGAAATAATTAGCTAATAAGCTCTAGCAAACCTCTTTTTTGCGTAAGTAGGTGCTCTTTCTAGTAGATGTTTATCCTTCGTCGCCAGTTATAATAGATTGACGACAGAAGCCTGTGGTTGTATATAACACATTTAATGGGTCTAACTACTTCATGATGGTAATACCAGAGAGGGCGGAAGCAAGTACACAAGGGACATCACTCAAGATAACAATATTATAAATATAACTAATACAGAAGAGTGAGTTCCCTTGACCTCACAATTATTTCAATCTATTACAGTGTGTAGCTAGTATACTAGTGTGTAGCTGTCCAGAGTTAAGATTCTTAATGCCTTAATGCTTTCCCCTGATAAGCCGTGTGCTATAAATGACATAACATGACACCGAGGTGAGAAGTGTTGAGGGGAGAGCAGTGGGACTTTCCCCTTTGTTCTCCCTGCTGGGCCCTGAGGGTCAAAATTATATAAGAAATACTATCTCTGTGGGGCTGGGTATCACGGAGGTGAGACATTTTCAGGGGAGGGCAGGGCAGACTCCTCTTTGGTTTTATTGTGGGCTAGATACAGGTGGGGGCAGCCATTATGAGGGTTGAACGTCAGTATTAATGTGGATTTTAAGGGTCTTAAATTGTATAACATGCTACCCAGATTGGTTATTACCCATGGATTATATTAGCCGTTGTAGTGTGGGTTTTGTAGGAGTTAAGTGGTCTCACGTTTGCTACAGTAGATAACCTCTAATATATTACTGCATTTGATCAGCTTCGTCTACTTAAACTCTAAACGCAAACGGTATTACTAACAGTATTTTTATTTAGAAATTTCGGCCACATATTTATATTATCCACGAAACTGTCAATAACTGTATAAGGATCTTCAATTCCTAAGAGTTCAAGTTTTTAAACATATTTTTCCTTTTCCGCGGGCGCGATTCTTTACCTACGGTGAACACGTCCAGCGCTGGCGAACAGCTGATTGTGTTTACGTCTGATGTACACCACTGTGGCGGCGGGCGTAGGTATCACGTGATTTAGGTCACGTGTTTGCAAGGACTCTATTTTAAAATTTATTAAAGATGGCAGCTGTTTATTTATGAAAACACTTTACTTCCTAACTCTTTGTTAGAAGTAAACATCAGGGCATTTTTATTATAAAGGCACTCAGTGGTAATTTATTATTCAATTGTATTTTATTTTATTAAAAAAATAAATATCCGTAACTAAATGGTCAAAGACGCCGGGTAACCTCAAGACAATATTCAATATTAAATAATAAAGCGTTTTATTGCGCTGGCATTGTAAAAGAAAAAAAAATTCTTTTTAGGCCTAGATTAGGTCAGATTTTATTTTAGATCCTCTTTAGTAAAGAGTCTTTACTAGATCTAGATCTACCTTTAGTTTAGTCTAAAGGCTTTAGATTTTAGAAATCTAGATCTAGATATCTAGATCTAGAATCTAGATTAGGTAAAATCTGCCGAAGCTAGATCTAGATCCTGGCTACGCTACTGCGTGCTACTTAGACTACACTAGAGGTGTCTTTCTGTTTGGTTTAGGTATTTGTAGTTCATTCGTAATTCACTACGAATAGGCTGGTAATCTATCGCTTTATGTAGAATCTACGAAAAATGGGCCGAGGCTAGTAATGTGAAAAAATGGCGACTAATTGAATTTTAGTAATTAGCTATTTCACATCAAAGTGATTAGTCGGAATAAGCTTTTGCCCCCTAGCCATGGCTGTTTAGTAAATATGCGCAAGCACATCTTTTTCCGGATAAAATCTACCATTTCCCATTTGTAGGAAAGTTATAAAAATGTTTTAAAGTTAAGAGTTTCATTCATGTAGGCCTACCTGATTTAAAAAATTTTTAATTAAAACTTTTCAACAATAGGCCTAATTAATTAAAAATTAGCAATGTTTTCATCTGATGCAACCAAGCTCATTTACTTTTAACTTTAGCAGGCATCTTGATTAAGTTTTTTTGGTAACATTATAGTTAGATATTCAGGGGAAATCTAATTTACAGATGGCCAGCTGACTCTATTAGTGTTAGTAAAAGAAGGATCAATGATTATATGGTTGATATATAGGCCTATATATTGATGAAATTTTAGAACTCCACAAATGGTTTTTTTCAAGATGGCCGCTGTTGCCATGGAAACCATATTTTCAGAAGAGTCCCTGACACATGCAAATATTTCCCCGTAAGTAGGCCTACTTTAGCTTATATATCAACTTATAAATAAAGAAGTCTCATTATTAGGCCTATAGTATACATGTCCCAATTGTAGTAACCGGGTGTGGGGAAATTGCGAGACGCGAAAAGCGAAATGGCGAGGCGGGAAAATGCGAGAAGTGCGCGAAAACGGTCGGTCACGTGACTTTTTTGTCTCGCATTTTACCACAAGCCGATACTTACGCTGGGTGGTGTTGAAATGCGAAGATTTCTGCGAAAAATTTACCGCACCCGATTTTCAGTGGTATTTGGTCCAGACTTCAAGGACATTTCGTTTACATTGTTAAAACTTCCGATTTTTCCGTCGCTAGACATACTGATGATTCGTCAACTCCCCCCATCTTTTGTGTCGACTTAGAATACCACCTTGTTCGAAACCGACGGAAATACCGCCGACGATAGATCAACTTCTGTCTTTTGTGTGGAACCCCGAGGCCGCCTGATTTACCGTCTTTGAAGATCGCCGTGCCTGGATCCGCTGCCGCCGCAAACATATTTTCTATTGTTGCATAGAAATTGTGTATTATAGCCGCCGCCTACGATTTTTTTTCTAGCTTTTTTTACCATATAAATCTAAGCACAAGGAAATGCCTACATCATTTGGATACAACAAAATAAAGTGGCGTCACCGATATTATCAGTTGCTCGTGCTATATCGTAAGCTATGGGCCTACTTCAAATATTTTTAAAACCAAGTTGAACTTATCTGAATTTTTTTGGTTTTGGTGGTGGTGTTATTTGGGGTCTTCCATAAATGACGTCACACTCGTATAAACATGAGCGGGCTAGATTTTTAAATTAATGCCGACTGAGACGGGATTTTCCTCTCGCTAACAAGAGCGGGCGATGACAGTAGCACAGCAACGATGTTAGGATTTTTAAATAGATAGATCTAGATATAGATCTATCTATCTTCTTAGTATCTAGATAAAAAATAACAACATACAACACTCGTGTTAAAGGGTATGGCTAAATGCTTGTTTATTTTAAAACAAAAAAAAATAATTTAAATAAATAAAGATGGAAAAAAAAGGAAAAAACTTTTTTCGCAAAAAGTGTCTCGCTATTTACCCTTAATTCCGCAGGTATGTTTCGCATTACCTTCTCGCATTTTCCCGCCTCGCCATTTCGCTTTTCGCGTCTCGCAATTTCCCCACCCATAGTAACCTCAGCATTAAAAGCAACAATGTTTCTTAAAATCACTAATCTAGATTTAAATTAAGAAAAGATTTATTTAAAAATACAATTGTGATTGATCAACTTGTTTTGTTAAAAACTTTTGTTCTCCCACATCTTGAAAAGCATGAAGCCAGAAAAATGTTTACTAAATTGTGTTTCACTATTTTTCCGTAATTTGGCGGGTAAGCCTATATCTCATATTTTCTTCTTGCATTTTACCACCTCTCCATTTAGACTTGTGTTTTGAGTATTGCATTTTACAAGGACCTATCGCTACAATTACTAACTAATACTAATAATCTAACTTGCACAACCTACAACCTACATGTACTAGTATATTACTAGATCTACCACTAGGCCTAATGCTAGAATAATTTGACTAGTTACTAATTTTGGCTACTAGTTAGTAGTTTTAAATCTAGATCTATATGTCAACTAATGACTACACTACAGTCACTAGATCTAGTCTAGATCTCCTAGACTGCTCCTCTATGAGATCTGGAGGGGGGGGGTAGGGGGAGGGATATCGAGTTCAAAAGTGAATATTTAAAAATATATTTATTGATAGTGAGTGGGGAAAAAGACAGTTTTTGCTAGAGAAAAAGTCACAAGGGAAACATGTTATGGGTAAAAAGTCACAGAAATAAAAGTAAAGTCACAAAAAATGTTCCAAGCAATATTTTGATTTATTTTTTCAGAATTTTAACATATTTTTGTTTATAAATTGTGTATTGATTTTAATAACACGGCAGAAAAATTTATTTCACTTTTGGCACATTAATGTGTATTATGTATTATTTTCTTTTTTTGCAATAGTCCTTTCCTTAATTGGCCTTGTCTGTCCACATTCTGTATATTTTATTGTTGATGCATCAATAACAGCCACTGTACATCATCAACTTTTTGTCTTGATTCTGTTTTGTTTTGTAATGAGCATGATAAATGTGAGCAGTAAAGGAGGTTGAACTATGTCTTTTTCCCATTTCACACAAATTCATAGTTAGCATTAAAAAACACTATGAAAACTGAGTAGATTGGAATGTTCTATTCAATTCTACTTCAGGGGTCTCAAAACTTTTCAGTCCGAGGGCCGCATTAACTATCAAATTTCATTTCGGGGGCCAGTTTCTTCCAGGCATGTCTTTGATTTTTCTGGGCAAAGTTCCTCAGCCATCACCAACAAATGATTTTTCTTGGACAGAAAGATCTCCGCGGGCCGGATGAAAGGACTTTGCGGGCCACATCCGGCCCGCGGGCCGTAGTTTGGTGACCCCTGTTCTACTTAATTACACTTTAAATACGTATAATGGAAGAATTAAAAATACATACTTTAGACTAATATATATATATATATATATATATATATATATATATATATATATATATATATATATATATATATATATATATATATATATATATATATATATATATTGTTGGTACCAAAAGCTACTCCTGTGGGTACTTAATGCTACAGCTGCTGGCACTTAATGTTGCTGGTACTCCATGCTACACCTGTGGATACTGAATGCTTATGCTTTTATCATGAGGTGTAGGTCCGGTATCAGTATTACTTTTATCAGATTATAACTTTAATTTGAACTGGAACTTCAAAAACTGAAAGTGGAAATTGAAAGTATGCATGATGCAGAATACTTTTAAAAATATTTTAATCCCAAAAATGTTACTTTAATGAAATGTATTTGTAACCTATAGTTTTTCAAAACACAAACCAATTTTTAATTAGAAAAATTGAGCTAACATTATTTATAGCCATAATAAAAAAAAAAATAGACTTGTGAATGTAATTTTAAAGAATTTGACAGTAGCATTAAAAAATTATTATGCGATGGTAATCATAAAGAAGCTTTAATCACAATTTCAAATACCTTGATTAATATTTTTAAAATTGTTAATGAAAAAGTAACAATGAAATTTAAAACATTTTTATTTATATATAAGCCTGCAATTATATGCAGTGTTATTACTTTAGGATCATTAATTACTGCTGTAAAAATAGTTATACAGGTGTATGTCTCATAATTTCTTTTGTGGAATTTTTTTGTTTTGTTTCTTTCCTTTATCAAATGAAACTACGCACTTCTTAAGCTACCATAAAGTATCAATATACAAAATGTTTAATAAGCTAAGTTTCATTGAAAGAACGCTTTAAAAATTCAACAAATTCTTTTTGTGGCTTTGTAATCAGAAGTACTATATATTTCTTCTTAGTCAGATTCATCTTAAACTTGTTAATTCAAAATGGAAGAGAAAACAAACTTTCAAGCTTTGCCATACACAGAAATAAAACAGGAATCAATTGAGGACTTAAAGCCTGATGTTTCAAACAATTACATACAGATAAAAGACGAACCAATGGAGGAATTTAAACCTGATGTTGCAACACATTTTTCAAATTTTGTTGACATGAAGCCATCTCTATCTTTTAAGTGTGAGAAACAAGAAGTTTTGATTGAACAACTAAACTCTATGCCAGGTTTTACTGCAAGCAGAGAAAATTTTCAGATAGTTAAGTCTGAGGTGTTTAATGAATTAAAAGAACTAAATACTATGCTCAAACAATCATTAGATAATAAGCTTAATAATCAGTCAAATCATGAAGAAGAGAAGCCACATGAATGTGATATTTGTCATAAAAAGTTAATGGGTAGGAACACACTGTCTGTTCATAAAAGAATTCATTCTGGAGTAAAGTCATATGTGTGTGACGTTTGTCAAAAAAGGTTTTCACAAAAGTGGTATGTGGCTGTTCATAAAAAATTGCATTCTGGCATACGACCGTTTGAATGTAACACATGTCATAAAAAGTTTACTGAAAAGTTTCGTTTATCTTCTCATGAAATTACTCACTCCGAAGTAAAACCACATGAATGTGACATTTGTCATAAAAAATTTACAGAAAAAAAATCTTTAAATGTTCATAAAAAAATTCATTCTAGAGAAAAGCCATATGAATGTGACATTTGTCAGAAAACTTTTACCCAAAAGTATAAGTTATCTGTTCATAAAATAATTCATTCAGGGGAAAAACCATATGAATGTGACATTTGTTGTAAAAAGTTTGCTCAAAAGAACACATTAACTGTTCATAAAAAAATTCATTCTGGAGAAAAACCACATGAATGTGACATTTGTCATAAGAAGTTTACTAAAAAGTTTCTTTTATCTGTTCATGAAAGAAGTCATTCTGGAGAAAAACCACATGAATGTGATATTTGTCATAAAAAGTTTTCTGAAAAAAATTATTTATCTGTTCACAAAAAAATTCATTCTGCAGAAAGGCCACATGAATGTGACATTTGTTATAAAAAATTTACTGAAAAAAAATATTTATCTCTTCATAAAAGAGTTCATTCTTGAGAAAGGCCATATGAATGTGATGTTTGTCATCAAAAGTTTACTCGAGGAAACTCATTAACTGCTCATAAAAGAAGAATGCATTCTGGAGAGAAAAGTACATGAATCTGACATTTGCAACAGAATTATTAGTGATCTTTTCATAAAACAAATGCATTCTGCCATTTTAATGTAACACTTATCAAAGAAAGAAGGTTCTTAAGTTTCTATTATTTGCTCATTAAACCAAAAGTATTCATTCTGGATCAAAACAACATAAATGTGATATGTATATCTATAAAAATCAAATTGGGGGATGTCTATTTCATTGATTCATCGTCATTGTTATGGGAAAACTATAGCTATCTAAACAATCCTTGGTTAGACAAAAATTTGACCTAGACTTGACAAGGCATACATGTTTAAAGTGCTTGAATTTGATCTGCCACTCACAGGTTTGACCCAAGCTTGATATTTGGTTAGGAAATTCTCAGAAATATTAATAAAAATTGGCCTGTTAGATTTCCTAATTTAAGGGACATAATTTATACTTTTAATTTTTTTCACATTCTTTGACTACTCTAAAAAAAAAAAACAAGTAAGAAAACATAAGGATAAAGTAAATATTCCTTTAAAGTTTACTGAACGTTTTTGAAATGTAAACAGTTTCATTCTAAGGGTTTTTGATAGTTAAATCTGTTTAGTAGTATCTGTTTAATGAAATTTAAGAAAAATAGTATTATGAATTTTGTAGGGTTATTTAGAGCAATGCTGTTTTCCGTTGCTTTTAATTCACTGAACTCCAGCTTTCAAGAATATTTATTGAAAATTGTTTTAAATTTATTTTTCTTGCAAATATGTAAGATTATAAAATTGTAATATATTTGCTAAAACATTGTGATTTGCGCTACACATTTTTTAGAAATCCATATTTTTTGGTAGTTAATTTGTTAGTTGTTCTGTGTGTGTGGGGGGAGGGGGGGTTGTGACGTTTGTAGATTTTATGTAGAATTAGATAAAAGGGGATGAGTGAATTAAAATGGGAGAATGACATTACCTCCCTCCTGTCAATCACCCTGGTCATATCTTCAACTACCTTGCTCCCAGGTCAATTACCCCTTATCAATTACCTCACCTCCAGGAACTAACCTCACCCCAAAAATCGCAGTTTTACGTAAGCTCCAAACTATTACCCATCAGTTCAGGTATGGTTGAAGGTGAAGATTAAGGATAAGCATATGATTTTAGTTTAGAACAGAGTTAGGGATTGGGAGATGGATATGGGGAAAGGCAAGAATAGGTGTTAATATATGTATTCTGTGGTATGGTTATACACAAGGTATTGACATTTGGTAATTGAACTGTGGGCTAATGACCTGGTAAGGTGAGGGTGGGTAATGAGGTGGACCTGGATTAAATGTCACATGTCAGTAAAAATTTTGGTTTAATTTTAGTTGTATGCTTATTTATAAAATTCTTATGACAAAATTAGATTTTAATATTATTGGCAATCCTGCCCATACAATTTAACATTGAATGGACTTTGGAAACGGGTGGTTTTTTAAAAAAGTACCATTATGTTGAGTTCAATATTAATTATTATCTCTCACTTTCTGATACTTTTTTCATTGTTTTTTTCCTTTACGTCAATTTTAAGCTCTGCAATTGTTCGCTGAAACAGTGTAATAAGCCATTTACTCTTACATGATACTATTCCAATATTTTAATTGTATCACATGAATTGTTCATTAATAAAAGGAAAATAAGTAACAAATTTCAGTATGATGATTTAACTCATTTTTTAATTTGTATAATGAACCACATTGTTGTGGAATGGTAGGTTATGTGTAAGTTAAATTTCAAAATCAAGTAAAAGTATCTGTTGCTATTTGAGCAATGCTGTGTAAGTAATTTTTTTACATTTAAACACCCATGCATGGTTCAGTTATCATGTAAATTAAGACATGGCTATTAATGGCTTGTGTAAGCTTAGCTGATAATAGCTAGTTAGTTATAAAACATTTACACAGCAATGTGGATTATCTAGACGTAATAAAAGTCTCTTGGCAATTTAAAAAATGAGTGAAATATATATAAAAAAGCTTGCATGTTAGATTATTGTTCAAAATGCATGGTAATGTAACTAAATATATTGCATGATTTGCTAATATATTGTTGTATAATAACCTTTTTGTTGATTGTGTTAATATGAATATAATGTGAGAAAAATATGTAGTATTTAATAATATTTATAACACTTCAGAATTAAACAGTTTGTTGTTAAAAAGATTTTTTGTGTTCTAGTTTACAGCACCTCAGCATGATGCACTTACATTCAAAGAAAAAGTAATTGAAACAATGTTTGTTAAACCTTGTTTAAAAATTTTTTTTTTTTATAAATCAGACCTTAAAAACACATTTTTCTAATATTCAGTTGAAAATAATCAGGGTTAAATTTTTTTTATTATCATTCAATACTCTTTGCCCGATGCTACTACTACATGTTATTTTAAATTTAAACTTGAACACTGCTCATTTCTTAATTTAAATCCTTTAACGCCTGAATCATTTTTCTGTGATATTCTCGTTTGTATTGAATGAAACTGCTGCTGTTAACCAATGCTACTCCTGTGAGTACTAAATGCTACAGGTGTGGCTGCTCAATGCTACTGATGGAGGTTCTCAATGCTACTGCTTTTATCTTGAGGTGTATGTCTGGGATCAGCATTCCTATTATCAAGCCACCAGGATTGTTATCCACCTCCTCACTTTCATAGATGCACAATTTGTATTCTCCTAATATGTAACAATACTATTTCACAACTAATAATATTCTTCATATTTTTTTATTGTATCCAGCTGCATAAATTCCATTTTTAATCACTCTATAATTATATCTGTTTATAATCATACACTTGAAACAATGATATTTAGGTACATAATTACACTATACTACAATTTCATCATGTCTTGTTGCCAGGAGTCAGGAAACTGCAAAAAGCACTCCCAAAATTATTCTCATATGTGATTTTTAGAATTTGTTATATTTACACCATAGTACAATTACATGTCTTGTTACTGAGGTCAGGTAAATGCAAAAAGTGTAGACAGAAAATCACTACCAAAAATTATTCTCCTGTGATGTATAGTGTTTATCATATTTTATAAAGATGGAATTAAAAAGTAATTAGAAAAATTGTTTTCATACAAATATATTATTTATTTGGTAATAGTAATCAATGTTAATGTTAGTACTCCGAATTTTAAGTTTTTAAAAAAATATAGGCCCTATTTGTTTTGGCTGCTATGATTGTAAAATTAAAAAAAAAAATTTCCCTCCTCAACAATAATGATCAAACATATCTTGTCAAACTTGGATGTCTACATTTCAATATAATCTATAGCGATAGTTAAAACAGAATAGCATTGCAAATGAAATTTGAAAATATAAAGAATTTGACGGTAACATTATAAAATTAGAATGCTATGGTTTTAGTTACAGATATGGGTCATTTTTTTTGGAAGATTTATAAATTTATTGTTTAAGAAAGAGTAACAATGAAATTTTTACACAATTTATTTTATACATAAGTGTACAATTATTATTATAAATTTATAATAATTGTTGTAGGATCATAATTACCACTGTTAATAAAGTTTGACAGGTATATGTCTCGTTAATTTTTTTTGTTTTGTTCGTTTCTCTAGTAAAAATTATAGTTTTTTACTGACCCTTTTTTTGATAGAGCATTTTAAAAATTCAACTATTTTTTTATGCCTTTGTAATTAGAATAATATTTTTTCTTCTTAGTCAGATTCATTCATCTTGCTAATGCAAAAATGGAAGAGAAAACAAACTTTCAAGCTTTGCCATACACAGAGATTAAACAGGAATCCAGTGAGGAATTTAAGTCTGATGTTGCAACCAATTACATACAGATAAAAGATGAACCAATGGGTGAATTTAAACCTGATGTTGCAACCAATTACATACAGATAAAAGACGAACCAATGGATGAATTTAAACCTGATGTTGCAACCAATTACATACAGATAAATGATAAACCAATGGATGAATTTAAACCTGATGTTGCAACCAATTACATACAGATAAATGAGAAACCAATGGATGAATTTAAACCTGATGTTTTAACCAATTTTTCAAGTTTTATTGATATGAAACCATCTCTATCTTTTAAGTGTGAGAAACAAGAAGTTTTGTCTGAACAACTAAACTCTATGCCAGATTTTACTGCTAGCAGAGAAAATTTTCAGATTGTTAAGTCTGAGGTGTTTAATGAATTAAAAGTTATAAATATTATGCTCAATCAATCATTAGATAATGAGTCTTTAAGTAATCAATCAATTAGTGCAGGAGAGGAGACTTGCCTAGATCAATTATCTACTCGTAAAAGAAAAGGTCCTGTAGAGAAACCACATGAATGTGACATTTGTCACAAAAAATTTATTAAAAAGTATTTATTAATCAATCATGAAAGAACACATACTGGTGAGAAGCCGTACGAATGCGACATTTGTTACAAAAGATTTGCTATAAAGTATATCTTAGATGTTCACAAAAGAAATCATTCTGGAGAAAAACCACATGAATGTGACATTTGTCATAAAAAGTTTTCTGAAAAAAGTAATTTATCTGTTCACAAAAAAATTCACTCTGCAGAAAAGCCACATGAATGTGACATTTGTCATAAAAAATTTATTAAAAAGTATTTATTAATTATTCATGAAAGAACACATACTGGAGAGAAGCCATATGAATGTGACATTTGTCAGAAAAAGTTTGCTCGAAAGTATATCTTAAATGTTCACAATAGAATTCATTCTGGAGAAATGCTATTGGAATGTGACATTTGTCATAAAAAGTTCAATCGTAGGAACACTTTGTTAGTTCATAAAAATATTCATTCTGGAGAAAAGCCTCATGAATGTGACATTTGTCATAAAACGTTTACTCAAAAGTTTCATTTATTGTCTCACAAAACACTTCATTCTGGAGAAAAGCCATATGAATGTGATATTTGTCATAAAAAGTATACTCAAAAGAATATATTAGCAACTCATAAAAAAATTCATTCTGGAGTAAAGAGTTTTGAATGTGACATTTGTCAAAAAAGGTTTTCACAAAAGTGGTATGTAGCTGTTCATAAAAAAATACACTCTGACATACGACCATTTGAATGTAACATTTGTCATAAAACTTTTGTTGATAATTTTTTTTTATCTTCTCATGAGATAACTCACTCTGAAGAAAGACCACATGAATGTGACATTTGTCATAAAAAATTTATTGAAAAAAAATCTTTAAATGCTCATAAAAAAATTCATTCTGTGGAAAAGCAATTTGAATGTGACATTTGTCAGAAAAGGTTTTCACATAAGAATAAATTATATGATCATAAAATAATTCATTCTGGGGAAAAGCCATTTGAATGTGATATATGTTGTAAAACATTTGCTCGTAAGTACACATTAACAGTTCATAAAAGAGTTCATTCTAGAGAAAAACCATATGAATGTGACATTTGTCATGAAACATTTACTCGAACAAACACATTATCTGCTCATAAAAAAAGTCATTCTGAAGATAAGCAATATGAATGTGACTTTTGTCAAGAAAAGTTTACTCAAAAATTGGATTTATCTGCTCATGAAATAATTCATTTAGAAGAAAAACCACATGAATGTACCATTTGTCATAAGAAGTTTGCTAAAAGATACCTTTTAACGGTTCATGAAAGAATTCACTCAGTGGAAAAACCATATGAATGTGACATTTGTTATAAAAAGTTTTCTGAAAAAAAAAATTTATCAGTTCATGAAAGAATTCATTCTGGAGAAAGGCCACATGAATGTGACATTTGTCATAAAAGGTTTACTAGAAAAAAATATTTATCTGTTCATAAAAGAATTCATTCTGAAGAAAGCTATGATTGTGACATTTGTCATAAAAAGTATACTCGAAGGTATGACTTAACTGTTCATCAAAGAAAAATACATTATGGAGAAAAAACTACATGATCATAATATTTGTCATCAAAAGGTTTTACACAATTATTATCTATCTTGTTTATTTTAAATGCATCCTGGAAAAAATGACATTTTCATATATCATGTGTTGTTAAAAGTTAACTGGAAAAAAATATCTGTTCGTATTGTATATAAAAAAATCATTCTGAAGTTAAACCATATGAATGTGATATTTATATTCAACATTTACACATACATAGTAAAATTCACTTTAATGAAATAAAAATGAAATAGTGTGTTATAAAAATGTACGGTTTAAAAAAAAGCTAGTTTGTTTATTGTCTGCATGCTAATATTGCTAAATATTTCACATGACTTGATTTATAATTTATATGTTTTTGTAAATCAGTAATTTGTCAAATGTAATATGTCATGTAATATTTAATATTTAATAATGTATTATTTAATATTATATCAATCTAGAATAAAACTGTTTGTTGTAAAAAGATAGTCTTGAATTACTTGAAACTTTGAAATAAATATTTAAATTAAATTTTTAGATATTTGCTAGATTTTAGGGAACTGAGATTTCACAGGTGTGGCAAGTGACCTAATTATTTTGTCTGTTCAGTCCAAAAAATTCTGACCTTTAAACATATGATAGTATTACACCGTTTTTATAGCTGTACAAAATGTACACTAGGCTTAAAAAAAAAAATTACCTTTCGTGGAAACGTTATGAGTGGTGCATCTGAGTTTTATTTTAATTTGCATTTTTAGTTCATTGATTTAAAAGAAAACATGTTTTTTTGTGTGTGTTGCTAATGAGTTGGCTTCTAATTTCTATATAGTAGGCTATATGACTGTAAGAGTTGCTCTTTTGAAAATAAATATTGCACTTTTAATTTGAGAGTGATTGTACTCGGGCTGTTTAGTTGTTCAACCTGTATGAAATATGCTGTATAAAAATGATCGATTGTTTGGCGTCCAGCGTCCTCTAGCAGCAATCTTACTACTTGTTATATGGTATCCGTTGTTTGGGCGTCCAGTATACGGGGTTGTGGGTGCTACTAAGTTCAACGGTAAAACTGCACCAGGCGCATCTAACGGCAGTTGAGTGATTCAAAGCGCCCCGTGAGCACTATGGCGCTTACATTCGTGTTAAAAAGTTCAATACGCTATGGATACTATGGGCTACTATAGTAGTTAGCTAAATCGAACCAGATGTGTCCACCGGTGACCTGAAGTCCCCCCCTCCCCCAGGCTCCCATGTGAGCATTATGGCGCCATCTTATGTTTTAAAGAACACCCTTAAAATAAGGACACGTCGTAGGGCCAATACAGTTGATGACTAAACAGAAACAAAGGAAGCCCCTGCGTTTGTGCAACCGATGGGTTCCCTCTAGGATCCAGCATACCGCCAGCGTTTTTTACATATCACTATTAGTCTTAGTTTAGAAATGGTCAACAAGGATACGCGTATCAAATATAAACTATTGGTAATGTATTAATGAAATCGTGTTGAAGTATTGCTTCAATCATCAGCAACAAGCGGACGGGTTCGCCAAGTACACTTCTAAAATTTACTTAATTTATCAAATACACAAATTGTTTTCAGACCATAATTAAATAAAAATTGATATATTCATTTGTATCAAACCACATTTAATTAAACAACTTGAGAACAAAAACATGAAATTCTTTAATTTTGCAACATGGCATCTGACTATTGGAAGGTTTAATGCATTCTGAAGCTAGCTTTTCAGTTGGCTTTTAACCATATCTGGGTTTTTTTTTTATTAAGGTTGGGTTGGGCGTAATAGTATAAGATATTGACTTCTGAAGTGCATTGCAGCTGACAGACCATTTTCCAACGGGAAACTGTGTCGCTTAGTATTAACTAAACCTTAAAATGTAATTTAATTTTTTTAAAATTGGGTTGCCTTGTATAGTGTTGGTTAATTTTTTGTATATTTTTAAATAGAGGACTCAGCTTAATATTAATTGGATGGGTTGGGTACAGCCAGAATCAAGGGTAAACTAGGTGGATTGGTGGAAGGATGTTTGGAAATTGGATATAGTTAGTGTATGGGTGTCTCGTTGAATTTGTTTTTTGGGATGTTTGGGTAGCGTTGGTGTATGGGTGCCTGGTTGGATTTGTTGTTGGGGGGGGGGGGGAGGAGTGTGTGGTTGGTTGAAATATTTTTATATTCTTTAGTTGGGCGCAACATTCCAATACTACTGAAGTGTTAAGTCTACATTCAGCTCATGTTCTAATTTCTTCTTGTTCACTTACTAATGAGGTGCAAATTTTATAAGGTTAGACACCATTATTTTATTACAAGTTCAGCTGTTTATCCCCCTTAAATAAACATTAGAATAGCCGTTCAAACTACGCATGGACAGTTTTCTATTTTGATTTAAATATTAAATAGTATTTTGATAAATGTTTTTATGTCTATTTTGAAAAGGAATTATTGTTTTGTTAAATAAAACTGGTGTTTGCATAGAGAAAACAAGATTTTTTAATTAATGGCAGAAGCAAAGCGCGGGGTGGGGGGGGGGGGGGGGCGGAGGGGGGTACATAGGTCCCCGGGCGCTGACCCTAGAGGGCGCCAAAATGGGTTGGAAAAAAATTAAAAGCTCAATTTAGGCTGAAGTTTTACATTATAAATAGAAAAAATATACAGGGGGGGGGGGCAAATTGAAGGTTTATCCCAGAGAGGGGGGGGGGGGAGGGTGCGCGAAATTGAATGTCTGTCCCCGGGCGCCGGGAAGGGTCGCTACGCTTCTGATTTATTGCCGTCAGGAATCGAATCAAGAGGTGATCCGTAAACGACGCAGTCACCTATTGTATTGGAAGAGGTTAGTCGGACTATATGAAAATATTTGTTGCATTTTAAAGTAATAATTTTGAAGCTGAATGTGATGTTATTTTTTACATTTCAATTTCATTAAAAAAAAATTAATAGTAGAAATCAATAATTGGAAACAACTCACTTAATAGCGGCTAAATTATACTTGTTTGGTTATATCCCCTTAAAGAACTCGAACTACTTAACGAACTACTACTCTTTACTTATTGAGGAGCGTAGGCAGTGGCGTAGGCAGGGGGGGGGGGTTAGAGGGGGTCATAACCCCCCCCCCCCCCATAGACCCCTCGGTATATATACAAAAAGTATGAGCGGGGGTGGGGTGCAAATCGAAAGTTTGAGGGGGGGGTGCGAATCGAAAGTTTGAGGGGGGGGGATGCAAATCGAAAGTTTGAGGGGGGTGCAAATCGAAAGTTTGTCCCCGGGGGGGGGGGGGGGGGGTTGCAAATCGAAAGTTTGAGGGGGGGTGTGCAAATCGAATTGTGAGGGGGGATGCAAATCTAAAGTTTGAGGGGGGTGCAAATCGAAAGTTTGTCCCCGGGGGGGGGGGGGTTGCAAATCGAAAGTTTGAGGGGGGGTGTGCAAATCGAATTTTGAGGGGGGGATGCAAATCGAAAGTTTGAGGGGGTGTGCAAATCGAAAGTTTGTCCCCGGGTAAAAATTGGAACCCTCCCCCCCTTGAGACGATCCTGGCCTCAATCATTACCTCCCACTTTGTCCCTCCTCGAATGTTGATCTTGTTGTCTCCCAAGACATCCCTTCTGTCTTCGGTTCTTCAAGAAGATTCTATATCTGTCTTGGGCGCCTTCTCATTCGCTTTTCCTGAGGGTAAACGAAGTACTAATTTAAACTAAACCAAACACTAATTGCATTATCAGTCAGTCAAATTTTCACATGCATTTACTATAGATCGTGTCCTATTTTCCCAAGAACTAATGCCATACTCTACTAATGCCAGATAATGCCCTATTTTCAGAAGATCATTTCCTATTTTCCAAGTGACCTACTGATGACAGATCATGTCATAGTTTGAAAAGATCTTGTTCTATTTCCCCAAGAACTAATGCATCCGTCCTATTTTCCTACTGATGACAGATCATGTCATAGTTTGAAAAGATCTTGTTCTATTTCCCCAAGAACTAATGCATCCGTCTTATTTTCCAGATCATGTCCTAGTTGGAAAAGCTCATGTCCTCCCCCCCCCCCCCCAAGTCGCATACTAATGCAACATACTATCCTATTTCCAGATGATAATACCCTATTTTTATGACATCCAACAGGGTAACTATTTGCGCAAGTAACGTCACAGATGGTCTTCAGTACAAATGACGCTCTGTTATCTCGTGGTATAATCCTATACCTTACTCTCTATTATGCTAAACTATGTAGTGTGGCCTACATTCTGTCATTAGGACAGCAGAAGGACCTTCAACTGTTAGCATACTACCATAATGGTTACTAAAGTTAAGGGTTTTATAGGAACCGCGCAGTAGTTTAAGATGTACTTTATAATCCTCCAATTTTTTAATATAAGGTGCCATCAAGTATGTTGGTTCTTAAGAGTTAGTTGTATGGTACAGGTATTAGATAGAACGCAATGCTAACCGGGCGGGGGAAGGGGGGGGGGAGAGAAGAGAAGGTGCTACGTAGCATACTTGCTTATTTAGATTGAAAGGTCAAAGATTATGAAAAATTAACAAAATTGGTTGTGGGGAACAGGGGGGGGGGGGGGGGAAGGGGGGGGGGGGGGGGGTTCGGGGAAGAAGAGTGGGAGTAGAGTGGGAAGGGACTAAATTTTGTCATGTGACATTTTAAGAGGGGGATGAATTGTCTTGAGTTTTGTGACTGACTATTTAGTATCGATTTAGAAAACATTGCATGGTTTGTGTTTCCCCCGTTTAGTGCTATAGCATTTCATAAACTGATCAGTTAAACTTTCGAGTAATATTTTCAACAACAGGGCCAGAGTTTCTTCCAGACTTTTTTCTCCGGGGGGGGGGGGGGGGTGGGGGCACCTTGAAATTTTGGGGGGGGGCGGTAGACTTTCTTCGGGGGGGGGGGCGGACACTGTTAAAAGTATATATTTTCTATATAAATTATATAAATTTCATTTCGTTCGGAAGGGGGGGGGGCGGTAAAAAATTTTTTTGGGGGGGGGGGGCGAAGTCCCCCCCCGAAGAGATGCCTGGAAGAAACTCTGAACAGGGCTTGATGTATGATAAGTACAGTGTGGCTAATCGACAGATACTATTAATGTCAAGTCATAGTTTGATAAAATCATAATTTTTTAATCAAGTAATAAGTCCCCGCATAAAAAAAATGCATAATTTACAACGTAGTACTTAAAATTGATAATTATTAAGCCAAGGTATTTTTTGTGTGTCGTGTGGTTAACTATACGACTGTGGACTTAGAAAAAATTAACATTCTAATGACCCTCATATGTTGAGTGATCTCACCTTGATCTGGCTACTTTGTGAGTGAAATGCGTGGAACCCTGGTATCGTAGCTCTGTGGTGCTACACCATCCGTTCAACCCGACTCGCTGATCGCATCATGGTGTGGCCGTTTTACAAGTGAAATGAGGCGTGAGGGGTAGCATAGTAATGGGGCGATTAGCGCGGAAATTTGTTAGTGACATCTAGTATAAAATTGGTGGTAATTTGGGACACGATTCTGCTTAACCTGAGACTTACGTTTTAGCTGACACTGAGCTAAATCTCATCATGTAAGTAGACAATTATATATATATATATATATATATATATATATATATATATATATATATATATATATATATATATATATATATTCCCAACTTCAATTCTAAAGCTCTTATATGATAATTCCTTTGAAAATTGTATTGTAGTCAAAATTTATTTACATGTTTATGTACGTAATGAAAATGTATAAATACTTATTAGGTAAGCAAGCCAAAACTAATTTAAGTTTTTAGCATTCACAATATATATATATATATATATATATATATATATATATATATATATATATATATATATATATATATATATATATATATATATATATATATATATATATATATATATATATATAAAATGTCTACATCTACACTTGTTTTGTAATATTATACAATACGTTAATTTTTCGATCAAATAACTATGAAACGCAGAAAGGCAGAAAGAACGCGCTTTTGAAAGTAATTTTCCCCTTTATTTCAGGGCTAGAGTTTTGTTTGTTGGGGTTATCTCACTTCTGGTGGCTGTTGTGGTAGGAGATAGGGGGAGGGGGCACCACGGTAGATGGGGAGATGACCGACACGACGGAGACTGGCAGGAGGGAGGCTATAGACATGCGGCTGTAGCGGCGGACACAGCCCAGTGTTCGACCGTCGGCAAGTAGGTGGTTTTATTTACGTTCGACCGTCGGCAAGTAGGTGGTAAAATGTGTTCGTGTGTTTGCGAGTAAGTAGTTAAATGTCTGTTCGCCTTTCGGCAAGTTAGGGGTTAAATGTGTGTTCGCGTGTTGGCAAGTAGTTGGTTACAGATTTTATTTTAGACTCTTTCATCTTGCATGACTGAAAAGATTTTTTTGTAAATCCATATCAAGTTTTAATTTTTTTATTTTAAATTTCTTGTTGTTTGAAACTAACACGAGGGCTACACAATGAACTTACCAGCCACACACCTTAACATAACAGCACTCCGTGAACGATACGTTGAAACAAATTCCTAGCCTTTCTTTTGTCTAAACGCCCCTACCTTCTCCACATGTAATCTCGCACCAAAAAATGCGAAGTTCTTCTTCACCTCTCCCCCCTCCCATTTAGATACCGTGAACCTCAGGTTTTTACAAGTTGAGCCAAGTTCAAAACTCTATTGTTGTTTTTCTTGTGTAATATTTGTAGTAAGAATGTTAATGACGATCTTATTCTGAATGGAAGCAGCTGTATTAACTAAAATGGTCCTTACGTTGTGACCATGACGATGTTAAGATGCTTGCATTAGACTGTCACAACATACATATATTTCACATTTCTAGCCTAACAAGTAACACCTCTATTTTACATATATTTAGCTTAAAAAACTATTAATACTATACCATTACACATTTCACAAATGTCAATTACCACATCTCCATTACATATATTTATAGCTTAAAAAACCACCATACCATTTCACAAATGTCAAATACCACGTCTCCATTACACATATTTATAGCTTAAAAAACCACCATACCATTTCATAAATGTGAAATACCACATCTCCATTAAACATATTTATAGCTTAAAAAACTATCATACCATTTCACAAATGTCAAATACCACACCTCCATTACACATACATATAGCTTAAAAAACTACCATACCATTTCACAAATGTCAAATACCACACCTCCTTTACACACATTTATAGCTTAAAAAACTACCATACCATTTCACAAATGTGAAACACCACAGATCCATTTTAAGTGTTTCTAGCAAAACATCACTGTTTCACAATACAAAAAGTTACCATAATACTCCACCACGAATTCACGCACCACAAATGTAATACAGCACTAAAACACGCAGGTGTATTATACTCGAACAGATCAATACAATTGTGTCACTCTTGATCAGGTTTATCCTTTATAATCTACACTAAGTGGATCAATTAGCCTAACCATTAAGCTTACCATTTTGATAGTGAGATTAACTACGGCGTTTTCGAAAATTAATATTGTTATTTTTATTTCATGCTATTTTTTGTTGTAATGTTGGGAAGGGGGGGGGGGTTGGTTTCAGTTTTGGAAGCAAGTGTGATCATTAAAATAATAGTTTCAAAATTAAGGTCTAAAGATATAATAATTTATTAGTATCAAAACATATATACGAAGTTGAGCGATGCAAAATTTTAGTTGAAGTATATGTACCGTTATCAATTGATATTGTAAAAGATAAAACGATCATAAAAAGTATAAACATGGCAATCTAATGTCACAAGATAAACGAAACAAAATTTCATTGTGGGTTTTTTGTGAACTGTTGATCTTTAGTGGTTATTTTAACCCGGAAAACACCTGATCCCTTATGTAATTAGCAACAGATCAACATGATCCAACTAGTAGATGTTGTTTAGTGATGTCATTAGCAACAGATTAACATGATCTAGCTAGTAGATGTTGTTTAGTGATGTCATTAGCAACAGATTAACATGATCTAGCTAGTAGATGTTGTTTAGTGATGTCATTAGCAACAGATTAACATGATCTAGCTAGTAGATGTTGTTTAGTGATGTCATTAGCAACAGATTAACATGATCTAGCTAGTAGATGTTGTTTAGTGATGTCATTAGCAACAGATTAACATGATCCAGCTAGTAGATGTTGTTTAGTGATGTCATTAGCAACAGATTTACATGATCCAGCTAGTAGATGTTGTTTAGTGATGTCATTAGCAACAGATTAACATGATCCAGCTAGTAGATGTTGTTTAGTGATGTCATTAGCAACAGATTAACATGATCCAGCTAGTAGATGTTGTTTAGTGATGTCATTAGCAACAGATTAACATGATCCAGCTAGTAGATGTTGTTTAGTGATGTCATTAGCAACAGATTAACATGATCCAGCTAGTAGATGTTGTTTAGTGATGTCATTAGCAAACAGATTAACATGATCCAGCTAGTAGATGTTGTTTAGTGATGTCATTAGCAACAGATTAACATATTAACATAATCTAGCTAGTAGATGTTGTTTAGTGATGTCATTAGCAACAAATTAACATGATCTAGCTAGTAGATGTTGTTTAGTGATGTCATTAGCAACAGATTAACATGATCTAGCTAGTAGATGTTGTTTAGTGATGTCATTAGCAACAGATTAACATGATCTAGCTAGTAGATGTTGTTTAGATAGGAACCTCATATAGCTAGAACTTAGTGACTGAAGAATGAGGTTAATTAGTGAAGTTAATTAACCATGGTAGTGGTTGTTAAATGAGCCGTGTGTTTGAAAATTAGCATTTTACTGTTCATCGTTATCTTTTGCTTGTTAATCAATGGTAATGTCCTATGTGTATTAGGTAATACATTTGTTATAGACCCATCCAGCTCATGTGGTCTGTCAGATTATGTTAGGACTTAACTCTAAGCTCTTTGACCCCCCCCCCCCCCCTTGGCTTATCTTAATAAATTGAGCTACACTTAAATGAGATATTATCCAGGCAACGAAATCCTGACCTGTAGATCAGTGGCGTAGGCAGGGGGGGGGGGGGGGGGGTTAGGGGGGTCATAATTCCCCCATAGACCCCTCGGTATATATATATATATATATAAAGTATGAGGGGGTGAAAATCGAAAGTTTGAGGTGGGGAGAGCAAATCGAAAGTTTGTCCCCGGGTAAAAATTGGACCCCCCCCCCTTGAGACGATCCTGGCTACGCCACTGCTGTAGATTAATTTAAGCTTGCTTTTAAAGGATGACGATCCTGTTGATTTAAAACAGCACCTTTATACTCATACAAATTTATTTAAGGGCGTTTAACTTATCTACAAGATTTATAGTTTATGTCTATTTATTCTGCTCTAAGATTTAAGGTAAAACTTATACAGTTCTCGTAGATGTACACAAAAAGTGTATACTTATACAACTCTCGTAGATTTACGAAAAAAGTCTATACTAACACAACTGTAGTAGATTTACATATGAAATGTATGGCTGTCTTGTAACTTTGTAACCCAAGTCCAAGTCTTCTAGATAACCGCTTTATAAGCTCAAGGAGATACTAAATGCACACATTCTCTCGATAACTAACTTAGCCACAGTTGAATGCCCCTTGTTTCCCCCACAGAAATATACTACGTAAAGGTGGCAATGCCGTGGACGCTGCTATTGCTGCCCTGCTATGTTCAGGTCTCACAAGTGCCCAGTCTATGGGCATTGGTGGAGGTTTTTTCATGACCATCTACAACAGGTACATTCAACTTAAAAACAAAATTAGACGTTGAAATCTGTTCTTAAATTTGTGAAATATGTCAGTAAATAAATATAAAAATTAGACGTTGAAATCTGTTCTTAAATTTGTGAAATATGTCAGTAAATAAATATAAAAGTTAGACTTTGAAATCTGTTCTTAAATTTGTGAAATATGTCAGTAAATAAATATAAAAATTAGACGTTGAAATCTGTTCTTAAATTTGTGAAATATGTTAGTAAATAAATATAAAAAATTAGACGTTGAAATCCGTTCTTATATTTGTGAAATATGTCAGTAAATAAATATAAAAAATGAAGTTTTCAGTATTGTCAAATTACTCTAGGAAACTAAATCGTCTTTTGTGTGTGTGTGTGTATTTCTGATGTGATGAAATAAAATTAGGGACAAGTTGAAAGGATCATGACTTGTATTTCAGGGCCTCTGGGAAATCAACAGTGATCGACTCAAGAGAGACAGCACCTGAGAAAGCTACATCTGACATGTTCGCCGGCAAACCATCCTCGTCTGTTATTGGTGACTACGCTTTTGTTTTATTGCGTTTGTGAAGTTTTCTTCAATAGAGCTGGTAAGTAGGTCACCAACCAGTTCTACGGCTCAATAAAACCTGCATGAGCCATAGAACTGGTTGGTGACCTACTTACCAGCCCTATTACTTAACATTTAGAAAATAATATTTTTGACTTAACTTTTAAAAATTATTTTATTAACAGGCGGGCTCAGTATCGCCGTCCCAGGTGAAATCAAAGGCTACTGGTACGCACATCAAAAGTATGGCAGGCTGCCGTGGTCAGATTTGTTTCAACCAGCCATCAAGATGGCCGCTGAGGGATTTCCCGTTGACGTTTCATTGGCCAAAGCAATCAAAGACGCCGAGGCTATGTTGTCAACAGAACCATCTATGAAGTAAGGCAGTAGTTAATTTTTTGGGGCCATCAGTTAATGTTGGGGCCATCAGTTAATGTTGGGGCCATCGGTTAATGTTGGGGCCATCAGTTAATGTTGGGGCCATCAGTTAATGTAGGGGCCATCAGTTAATGTTGGGGCCATCAGTTAATGTTGGGGCCATCAGTTAATGTTGGGGCCATCAGTTAATGTTGGGGCCATCAGTTAATGTTGGGGCCATCAGTTAATGTTGGGGCCATCAGTTAATGTTAGGGCCATCAGTTAATGTTGGGGCCATCAGTTAATGTTGGGGCCATCAGTTAATGTTGGGGCCATCTATGTTGGGGCCATCAGTTAATGTTGGGGCCATCAGTTAATGTTGGGGCCATCTATGTTGGGGCCATCAGCCAATGTTGGGGCCATCAGTTAATGTTGGGGCCATCTATGTTGGGGCCATCAGTTAATGTTGGGGCCATCAGTTAATGTTGGGGCCATCAGTTAATGTTGGGGCCATCAGTTAATGTTGGGGCCATCAGTTAATGTTGGGGCCATCTATGTTGGGGCCATCAGTTAATGTTGGGGCCATCAGTTAATGTTGGGGCCATCAGTTAATGTTAGGGCCATCAGTTAATGTTGGGGCCATCAGTTAATGTTGGGGCCATCAGTTAATGTTAGGGCCATCAGTTAATGTTGGGGCCATCAGTTAATGTTTGGGCCATCAGAAAATGTTAAGGGCCATCAGGTAATGTTGGGGCCATCAGTTAATGTTGGGGCCATCAGTTAATGTTGGGGCCATCAGTTAATGTTGGGGCCATCAGTTAATGTTTGGGCCATCAGAAAATGTTAAGGGCCATCAGGTAATGTTGGGGCCATCAGTTAATGTTGGGGCCATCAGTTAATGTTGGGGCCATCAGTTAATGTTGGGGGCCATCAGTTAATGTTGGGGCCATCAGTTAATGTTGGGGCCATCAGTTAATGTTGGGGCCATCAGTTAATGTTGGGGGCCATCAGTTAATGTTAGGGCCATCAGTTAATGTTGGGGCCATCAGTTAATGTTGGGGCCATCAGTTAATGTTAGGGCCATCAGTTAATGTTGGGGCCATCAGTTAATGTTTGGGCCATCAGAAAATGTTAAGGGCCATCAGGTAATGTTGGGGCCATCAGTTAATGTTGGGGCCATCAGTTAATGTTGGGGCCATCAGTTAATGTTGGGGCCATCAGTTAATGTTTGGGCCATCAGAAAATGTTAAGGGCCATCAGGTAATGTTGGGGCCATCAGTTAATGTTGGGGCCATCAGTTAATGTTGGGGCCATCAGTTAATGTTGGGGGCCATCAGTTAATGTTGGGGCCATCAGTTAATGTTGGGGCCATCAGTTAATGTTGGGGCCATCAGTTAATGTTGGGGGCCATCAGTTAATGTTGGGGCCATCAGTTAATGTTTGGGCCATCAGAAAATGTTAAGGGCCATCAGGTAATGTTGGGGCCATCAGTTAATGTTGGGGCCATCAGAAAATGTTAAGGGCCATCAGGTAATGTTGGGGCCATCAGTTAATGTTGGGGCCATCAGTTAATGTTGGGGCCATCAGTTAATGTTGGGGGCCATCAGTTAATGTTGGGGCCATCTATGAAGTAAGGTAATAGAGATAAAAGATAATAAGAAATAATAGTTAATGAGCGGATTGAATATAAAATAAATCAAACCTGCTGACTAAAACTATAAATAATGAGTAAATTTTAATATTGACACTAAGAGAAAGCTTGGTAATACTATAACATTTCTTCGGTTTTATTACGCCCTGCCATCAACAGCGAGTTATTATTTTAGGGGTATTGAGAGATTGAGGGGGGGGGGGGGGGTGGGGGTTAACTGTCTCATTTTGGTGTTCCATGGGGTAGAGGGGTTTCTAGCTGTCAGTGTCTACCAAAATATGTTCAACTATAGAAGACTTTGAGACAATACTTAGCTCATCAAAGTAAGATTGTAACAATTGGGCGTGTGCGTAAGTAAAAGACTGTTATAGCGAACCATTTTTTTTCCAGATCTGTTTTTATGAATGAGAAAACGGGCGAGCTATTTAAACAAGGAGAGATGATGAAGAGGTCACAGTTAGCTAATACGCTCCGAGTAATCGCTAATGAAGGGATGACGGCACTGTACAATGGATCGCTGACTGACGATTTAATGAAGGACTTGGAAGATATTGGTTAGTCCAAAAAAAATTATATTTAAATATTCACGTTAATAAAATAAATAGGCCTACAACTTTGCAACGCTGACAATGTGTCCTCTAATAAAACATTGCTATAAACAGTTACACATTATGTTATTTTTATTAAGGGCCTACTTACATATTTTATTCATGCATTAGCCAGAGCAGATCCTTGCCGGAACTGCTTGTCTACTCAACAACATTTAGAGTTTACTTTTCTTTAAACTTTAAAAGAAAGATTATAAAAAATCTATATGGATGTAGGCCTATTCGCACTGTTCTCAACTTTTCAGGATCGATAATCACAAGGGATGACCTCAAGAACTACAAAGTTCTGGAGAAAAAACCAGTGGAGATCAAACTAAATGTTGGACTGAGAGTGGTCGCCCCTCCCGCACCCAGTGGCGGACCCATACTGTCTTATATTCTCAATATACTCAACGGTCAGTACCTCCTCATATCCCTACATCCCTACATTCTCATATCCTAACATCCCTACATCCTCATATCCCTACATACCAACATCCTCATATCCTAACATCCCAACATCCTCATATCCCTAATCCCAACACCCTCATATCCCTACATCCCAACATCCTCATATCCCTACATCTCAACATCCTGATATCCCTACATCCCAACATCCTCATATCCATATATCCCAACATCCTCATATCCCAACATGTCAACATCCCCATATCCCTACATCCCAACCCCATATCTTTACAACCCAACATCCTCATATCCCTACATCCCAGCATACTTATATCCTAATGTCTTTATATCCCTAAATATCTTTAAATCCTTATCTACATCCTAATCACAGACTTAACCAATAAACTTAAACGCAAATTACCCTTAAAAGTGAGAACAAAATTTGCTGTCACATAGTTAATGTTTTCTATATAAAAATGCAGGCTACAACTTTACCCCCAAAAGTGTTGAAACAGACGTCAAGAGGACCCTGACATACCACAGGATTGCCGAGGCTTTTAAATTTGCCTACGCTAAGAGGACCGAGATGGGTGACGATACGTTCATGGACTTATCACAGGTAAATATAAAACTTAACACAGGTAAATATCAAGACTTAACACAGGTAAATATCAAGACTTAACACAGGTAAATATCAAGACTTAACACGGTGAATAACAATCTATTTGACATAGGTAAGTATCAAGACTTAACACAGGTAAATGTTAAGGCTAATTCCATGTAAATATCTTAACAATGGACTTATCACACGTAAGTTTCAAGAGTTATGTTTGGTAATATCAATGTATTTATAACAGTTTTATAATTAATCAACCTATTAAGGTAAATATCAATGGTTATATCCTTGGTAATACATTTATTTAAAACGTTTTCGAATGTCATTTTCGGTGCATTTTAAGTTTGACTATTTGACCAGTAAAAAAATCTGGTCAACCTTTGTATATTGTGTTCTGGTTAAAGCTCATTGGCTGGTCAGTTCTCGCATTGGCCAATATCAGTTTATCACTTCTTATTTGAATAATGGCCGGTCATATCTCGAACTGGCCATAGGCTACCAGCTTATCACCTAATTAGAAGATAATGAGCAGATTTTGGGTATTTTATGTCGTTTTGTTCATGAAATTAGGTGTAAACACATATAATATTTTTTAAAAAGTAAAATGTCTCACGGAAGCTTTTATAGTGGTATGGCAGAAACATTATATCTACCTCACTTCATTTTTTATTTCTCTGAAATGTTTTAGCCATTCTTTAATGTTGTACCTTGTGCAGTTGATTCAGAACCTGACGTCACGGCAGTACGCTGATAAAACACGTAGTAGAATCTCCGACACTCAGACGCATGACGTCATGTACTACGGTCCGACCTACGACTCCAAGGTCACTACAGGGACAGCACATCTGGCGGTGCTAGACAAGGAGGGCAACGCCGTGTCTGTTACAAGCACCATCAACGCCAGGTATAAATGTTACAAGCACTATCAATGCAAGGTATAAATGTTACAAGCACCCAACACCCTCATATCCCTATATCACAGAAAAAGGTGAACTCTACTTCACTCGTCCATAGCTCCCCATGCTCCAAGCGGTTACATTACATTTTAAAAATAAACCGGGAGTGATATCCCCTAAACTTTCTCGAATATTCTAATATAAAATTACGAGGGATGGCAACTCAGGACATAGACAATATTTGTTATCCATTTTTAATTACTTAAACTTTTTATAATAGAATAGAATCTCGTAAAAAAAAAATAATTGCACGCCAAGTGAAAAGTTTCCCTTTCAAACCTGACGGTCTATGGGCAAGTGAAGTAGAGTTCACTTGTTTCTGTGACCTCGGCATATGAAGAGATAGTGTGGTCAGCACTATGCCCAGCCGCCTTTACTTTCCCTAGCGTGAGTTAGGTACCCATCAGAGTTGGGTGGACTCAGGGACGTTCTACTGACTTGAGCTCGGATTCGAACTCGAGACTAACGGGTTAGCAGTCCTGCTCTCTACCGCTAGACCACTCCGTCCCACACCAAGTGAACGCCTAATAATATGTGTATAAAAGTGCGGGATATTATTAGTACTTTATAAATTTACATGCGTTTTTTGAGAAATCGGAAATAGCGTAAATTAGTACTTCCGGTCAACGGAAATTACTCAAAATTTGATAGAAGGTAGAGAATTAGATCTTTTACTTACATGTGAAATTTCATGCATCTATCTAAAATAGTACGCAACTTATAGGCTTTTGAAAAATTCAAAGTAGAAAAAGTACCACACAGACACACAGACATACGGGCAGAATTACAAAGTCCAGTTTTTACAACTCGATAACGCATAAAAAGCCAAAACGTTTATATATTTGTATTTATAATTTTTGCCTGATTAAAATAAGTCCTCTATACTCCGGATGTGATGAAGGACTGAGGAGTAAAACGGTGAAAACTGTCAAAATTTCATGTTATTTTTGTGCACGATTACAATACTTTCTCTATACTTCGTATATCCGAGAATGTAAAAATAGATGATGTAGCAGTTATTCAAACATAAATTCAATGTAGAAATAACAACCAATACATGCTCATTCTCTAATGCTGCCTTGTACTAAAATTCAATTAAAATGCCATTATATATGCCATATATCGTTTGTTTATTTACATTCAATGCCATCCTACAATAACCTTTACAAAATTGTAACTAGTATAATTACATCCAATTAAATTCAATAAAATGTCTTCGTATTATAGCCAACAAAGCATTTTTGTTAGATGAGATTCGTATCCCAGCATCGCAAGACGACAATTATCGCACACATTTCTTTTGATCAGGTTCGGATCCCAACGTCGCGGCATGAGAACCGGTATAATCTTCAACGACGAGATGGACGATTTCAGCACGCCTAACGTCACCAACTACTTCGGGTTCGAACCCTCACCAGCGAACTTCATCGCTCCCGGCAAGCGGCCAGTGTCGTCCATGTGTCCGACTATCTTCATCGGGCGTGACGGTCGAGTGTCCAAAGTTCTAGGAGCGGCAGGCGGTTCTAGGATAACTTCGTCCACAGCTTGGGTAGGTATTGTAAACTCTAAGACAGTTTATGGGCTAAGTAAAGTTGACAGTTGTCAAATAAAATTAGCTAGATCTAGAAATTAATAAAATCGGTTTCTTATACATCAAAAGTTATACATCGCCTGGAATTAGTAAATCAAGAAACCTGTAAGGGTTTTAGGAATAACTACATTCTAAGATTGGGATGGCGAGCTCCTGTGCGAACGTATCCCTCCCCCTCACATATTTTTCCGAGATAGGTATATTCAGCAATATATGGAGAATTCAAAGATACGGATTTATGTTAAAAATAACAGGTTAAATGTATTAAATGTATAAACTAAATTTCATTTAAAGACGGAAAAAATATAGGTGTTTTCAAATGTAGAAACATACTTTATTTATGCAACTGGAGAAGTGTTTATTTTAATAGCTAGTAAGTTTCTTTTGAATGAATTTCACATACAACTTTGCAGTGTTTCTTCCAGACATTTTTCTCCTTGGGGGGGGGGGGGGGGGGGACGTGTTAAAGTATATATTTTCTATGTAAAGGGGAGGGGGGTTAGACTCTCTTGGGGGGGGGGGGCGCTCCGCCCGAAGAGATGACTAGAAGAAACACTGCAACTTTGAACAATTTGACCATTCATGCACCAGGTGGCAGCACACGTCCTGTGGCTAGGGGACACATTGAAGGAGGCGGTCAACAGACCCAGACTCCACCATCAGCTGGTGCCGCACGTGCTGGAGCACGAGGCCAACTTTAACCCCGTGAGTACCGAATGTCACGTGACTGTTTTTACTGTAATGTTTCTAAGTAAGCGTTTAGCTTATATCGAGGCTTACGTTTATTCGATGCTACGAAGAAAAGGACTGTTTTATTTTTGTTTTAATTTTAAGGAAAGTTTCATATTTTATCTGCTCAGTGGCGTAGGCAGGGTGTGTTAAGGGGTTATATACCCCCCGCACATGAAACAAAATGAAAGTTGTCTCACGTTAAGTTATACCTATTTGCGACAGTGCGCCATCTTAGCTTTATGTCTACTGTTTCAAACTATTCAATATCATGAACAAACAACAATTTACGCTTAATTAATTTTAGACTACTATTTATTGACCATGATTAATTACTGAGTACGTCACTGTATAGTATAATATCATTTATGTATCTATAAATATTTTTCTGTGAGATATTTGTTTGAGATATTTTGACTGAGATTATTTGTCCATGGTATCATTTGTCCTGATATATTTTGTCCAGAGACCTTTTGTCTATGATATTATTTGCTCTTGAAATCATTTGTCTGAGATTATTTGTCCTGAGATCATTTGTCCGTGAGATATTTTGTCTGTGATATTTTGTCTGAGATCATTTGTTGTGAGATCATTTTTCCAGTTACCATATCTTTATATGTATTCATATATATTAATGTCCATATATATATATATATATATATATATATATATATATATATATATATATATATATATATATATATATTAATGTTTATATAAATTTATGTATAAATAAAATTATTAGATTTACTACCAGACTAATTAATGTTCATCTTTTGTCCAGGTTATTGTGGCAGGACTACGTACCTTTGGCCACAACACGACCGAGGCACCTTTTGGTAAATCAGTCCTACAGGGTATCAGCGTGCGGAATGGCAGGATCTACGCTGAAAGCGATTACAGGAAGGGTGGGGTACCTGACGGTTATTAACACCTGGATGACTGTTTGTTTAGAATAATGAATCTGTCAAAATGTCGTTCAAATTTAAACTCTGTTATAAAATGAGTAAAACATTTTTGTGATATGATTTAGTCTTTGATTTTCTTGTAGTTCAGTTGTGTTGAGTTATGTTTGTTTAAATGCGGATCGTGTATACAGATTGTTCCTCCCAGATAAAGAATGTAAGGTGTTACCTCATGTATAGCTTTTCCGATTTTTTTTATAGAGCATTATTTCCGCAAGAATTTCTGTTGTTTACTATAAAAAGATATTAAAAATTATTAAATATGCATTTGCTAGATTTTTTCATTATGTATACAGTCAATAATCAAAATATCTATCTAAATGTCTTAAAGAAATGGTCGGCGTGGTCGAGTCGGTAAAGCTCATGGTTGCTAAACAACTGCTGCCTGGTAGTTTGTTCTTGGTTGGACAAAGGCTATGGAAGCAAATCCAAGAAGAAAAGCAGGCTGAAATCTGAGTCTATGGCCTCAATGGCGCATAACCAGTTGACACGTATATTTTATTGTGTTGGAGGGAATCCCGTGCAAACCAACACTAAAATTAAGAACGAAGAAGTAGAAGAAGATTCCTAAAGAAAAAAAAAACAAAAACAACTAGGTGTAACAAAAAATGTAGCAAGTAAAAACAGGTAATTCATAAAATAATGACGATTTGACGATTCAGCACTACAATTAAGAAAATCTGAAGCATCCATCTCGGTTAGGCCCATCTTCAAAACACCGTTTAGACATGATATTGTATGGCATGCAACGCAAAATCTTTTAACTATCTCAAAAGTTAAAGTGGAACAGTTGTATTTTTGGAGGTCAATGTTTCGGGTCGGGGAAGTTGTGACCTTCAGAATATTTGTCTACAACTCCATGGGCTTGGAAGTACTTCTTTTCAATTGGCGTATTTAGAAGTCCAAAAGCTGAAACGTGCTTTTGTATAACAATGGCACCCAACGTGAAAGTTCTTTAGAAGCTCTTGTTTTAAAAATGGTGTGTGGTGCTATAAAACAGATGTGGTTGAGAAAGCTGGACTGTGTGGTGATGTATTTGGACGTATTTTAGTGTTTTCAAAACTAAATTTTTTTTTTAAAAGCTAAAAACAAGTTTACACTTAACGTTTCAACTATAATCAAAATGTGATAAAATTTTCAATCCTTTTAACATTCCAACGTTGCTATGGATGATTTAATTGACACATCTCTCTGATGAATGCACTAAATGGGTTTTGCCGTTTATTAATACACCGCCAAATTAGATCGGCGTCGAAGCCGCATTTAAAGATGTGAATATAATTTAATTCTGTTTTATCGCTATTTGATAAAAGTGTTTGCACTGAAATCGATGATACTGGCCTTGTATTCTCAGGTATCCAGGATAAGCGGCGTAACTCTGGCATTGTTCTATTCTTGATCTCAGTGGGAGCCACAGATGTACTGAAACATTTCATTCCATTTTCTTTACCGTATATGAGGATGTTAATTTGATTTTCGTGTATTTGCACTTTTGCAAGTGTGCGATTTTTTTTACATTACCTCATGTCATAGATCGATGTGAAATGGTTTATCTTTCATTTGCATTGTTTACATATCGGAGTGGCATATGTATGTAAACTATGCAAGTTAAGTTTGAAATAAATTAAATCTTACGATCTGTCCGTGTTTGAGGTTGAAAGCAGTAATTACGTTCTTTAAAAAAGAAAACAATCTTTTTTTGCAATTCAGGAATAATGTTCGTATATCTATCAACCATTATGATCCCTGCCATCATTGGTATACAAAACTATGGGGTCGGCGCCTTGTATCACATGGGGTCGATCCCATGCAATTGTAACATCACGGATGACGGACGTGAAGGAAATAATCTCCGGTTATTGTGCAGGGTCAGCCTGACCCAGAACATCCAGATTGAGGAAGGTGTTAGCGTGAGTACACATTGGCCTGTTAAGTTCAGCACACTTTGAACTTTTGACGTGAGTACACTTGGTCTGTGAAGTTAAGTACACTTTGAACTTTTGACGTGAGTAGGCCTACACATTGGCCTGTTAAGTTGAGTACACTTTGATGTTTTGACGTGAGTACACTTGGTCTGTGAAGTTGAGTACACTTTGATGTTTTGACGTGAGTACACTTTGGTCTGTGAAGTTGAGTACACTTTGATGTTTTGACGTGAGTACATTTGGTCTGTGAAGTTGAGTACACTTTGAACTTTTGACGTGAGTACACATTGGTCTGTTGACGTGAGTACACTTGGTCTGTGAAGTTAAGTACACTTTGAACTTTTGACGTGAGTACACTTGGTCTGTGAAGCTAAGTACACTTTCATCTTTTGACGTTAGTACACTTTAGTCTGTTAAAGTGGTTACACATTGGCACTTAAACGTAAGCACACATTCTTATTTTAGACGTGAGACAAGTTCCATCCACATAGGAACTAAGACGTGTCATATGTGGCGGCTGCACAAAGTTGATAATTTCAGTAAAAAAAACAAACAACAATCAACAGCAACACACCAAATAGCATATCTTTATGTTAATTGTTTCAAATTAGTTTTGTCTTTGCAGTTCACATGGCGCAGCGCACCTCTCGGCGCCAGAAATATTATTTACCACGTGAAAGATGACCCACTGATCAACTTACAGGTGATGTTGTGTTTGCTAAAAGCCTATAATAAAACTAAAATAATTAACCCTGACCACAATTATTGTATAATGGCATTTACTAAGTTTTATCAGAAGTCCACGATTATGATTGCTGACATGGATAAAAAACATGTCCTGGTTGCCTGCTAATTCGACAATTTTTTTTTCATTTTATTTCTACTTTTCTGTTCATGTAAATGAGCGAAGCATTTTAATCCGATGTTTCAATTTGATTGTTAATATTTTTCGGTCAAATTTTGTCGTGATTGTCCGGTAAATATTTATAATAAGCTTATAAATTTAAAGACTGCTTGAGTTAGTATTTGATGCTTTGTTTATAAAATATTATTTCAGTTAAGTAAAATGTTACGTTACGTTGCATTGTCATTGAGTGATAACTCAGGTGTCAAGCTTGAAAGAAATTGGTCTCTTAGAAATGATCGAAATTTCTCTCGCAAGTTTTGACACATTACTAAGTAATAAAATAAATAATAGAGGAATTAAGAATAAACTACTTTAGACTTTACAAAAAATTATTTAGCTATTGAAAATGCAAAAAAAACTTCACATCTTTAGAACACAACACCACACAGTGTAGGTTTTTCTAGCAGAGGCGTAGCGGGGGGGGGGGGGGGGCGGGGGGGGGGGGTTACATATGTCCCCGGGCGCCGACCTTAGGGGGGGCGCCAAATTGAAAGTTTGAGGGGGGTATAAATGAAAAGTTCGAGGGGGGGGTGCAAATCGAAAGTTTGAGGGGGGGGGGTGCAAATCGAAAAGTTTGTCCCCGGGCGCCGGGTAGGGTCGCTAGGCCTCTATTTTCTAGCACATCTGTTTTATAGCACCACACACCATTTTAAAAATAATCATTAAAAAAGTTTTTAAAAACCCACGTTTTCTGATTGAACTAAAAAGTAGAAAATAAATACTATACATCACAATAATGCAAGCGATCACTCTACTATAAGCGATGAAAAACGTGGGGCGCCGAAGTAAAAGTTATATTACTATTGATTAGATAATACTATTGACTTTTATTAGGGAGCTTGTAGAGAGTCAACAGTATTAGAAACTGTAAGAAAATCACGGCGCCCCACGTTTTTCATCGCTTATAGTAGAGTGATCGCTTGCATTATTGTGATGTATAGTATTTATTTTCTACTTTTTAGTTCAATCAGAAAACGTGGGTTTTTTTTAACTTTTTTAATGATTATTATTTTCTACTTTTTAGTCTTTGTCTGTTTGTTTGCATTGAAATCTTGCTATCGATTTTATCTTTTCCTTTTTTTTTGGGTAAACGAAGACAACTCGTAAAAAGACAACTCGTAAAAAACGAGAGACCCTTTCTTCTTCGGTCTCAATCGCAAGTGAATGATTGTCAGAGGTTAGTTGATAGCGGTTAGGACGAGGGCTGGTTACTGACTAGAACACATAGATTTGAACCCGTGTCGAGTGGGATAGCAATCGTGTGCCCAACCACTCGACCATATCGTCTCCCCCAAACTGGCCACCAGTGGTAATAGTTACCTCCTGTAAGTTTAAAGTCGGTTCAAACTAAATTATCTGCCCCTAAGCCTGTCGCGACGTGGGATCGTTCGCTTCACTGCGCGCGGCAAGAGAGAGGCGAGCTACGCGTCGCTCATTTTTTTTCTAATGGCTCGCAGAGGAGAATTATATATATAGATTATATAGCGGTCTAAAATGCTCAATAAAATGTTTCCATTGATCAATTTAGTAATAATAACAATTGAATATTCTATGGTCATCCAAAAGAAAGCTTCCCTGAAAATTTCAGCGCGCTAGCTAACTGGGAAGTGCCAGAAATTTCGATCGCAAGATTTGATTGGAAAGACAAACAGAGAAAGCAAGTTAAAGAAAACGTGGGAAAATAACGCTAGAGCTTCTCTAGACCTTTCCCATGCACAGAAGGTTTTCTAATTAAGTTATTTTGGTTTCTGTATTTATATTAACCATTTAGTACGTTCTGTAAATTACACTCATACGTACACCCACGTAAATACATACACACATACACACACACACACACACACATATATATATATATATATATATATATATATATATATATATATATATATATATATATATATTAATGAAAATCGTTCCATAATTCTTGTTAAAGACGAACAATACAGCAACAAGCTGTCTGAAGGTTAATTGGACAATTGAGCGGGTGTATGGGCGGAACTTCTCGTGTACCGTCCGTTCAGAAAGAGGCTTCTGCCAGACCAACTGTAGTTTTCAGATCGAGGCTAGACAGAATAACTTCAGTAGTGAGTTCATTTTGTTTGGTCTTATTTTTGTTTTTAAGTGGCGCCCGTTTGTTGTTTTCTATGATGCTGTCTCCTATTTAGTTTTCTTTTTATAAACATCATCTGGTAGGTCATAGTTCAAGATAGTACCACTCTAATGTCAAAATTTTAAGTCGTGTTAGTCATTTGACTCCTCTTAATGATCTTCATACACTAACACCGTAACAATAAACGTGTCAATAAATTAGTTACGTCCAGGTGAAGATATATAATTCCTCATCTTTCTCTAACCCCGGAATATGTTTACAGCAAAGTCAGGAACTTATCTAGCTGGGTGAACTAAGGAGAGATGTGTTACAGGTGTAAGGACGAGTAACTCTATATGAAGGTGGTGTTGTTGTAGAAATACCAGTTGTGAAGGTGGTGATGTTGTAGAATACCAGTTGTGAGGGTGTTGTTGTTGTAGAAATACCAGTTGTGAGGGTGGTGGTGTTGTAGAAATACCAGTTGTAAGGGTGGTGGTGTTGTAGAAATACCAGTTGTAAGGGTGTTGTTGTTGTAGAAATACCAGTTGTGAGGGTGGTGGTGTTGTTGTAGAAATACCAGTTGTGAGGGTGGTGGTGTTGTAGAAATACCAGTTGTGAGGGTGGTGGTGTTGTAGAAATTCCAGTTGTGAGGGTGGTGGTGGTGTAGAAATACCAGTTGTGAGGGTGGTGGTGTTGTAGAAATACCAGTTGTGAGGGTGGTGGTGTTGTTGTAGAAATACCAGTTGTGAGGGTGGTGGTGTTGTAGAAATACCAGTTGTGAGGGTGGTGGTGTTGTAGAAATACCAGTTGTGAGGGTGGTGGTGTTGTAGAAATACCAGTTGTGAGGGTGGTGGTGTTGTAGAAATACCAGTTGTGAGGGTGGTGGTGTTGTAGAAATACCAGTTTTGAGGGTGGTGGTGTTGTAGAAATACCAGTTGTGAGGGTGGTGGTGTTGTAGAAATACCAGTTGTGAGGGTGGTGGTGTTGTAGAAATACCAGTTGTTAGGGTGGTGGTGGTGTAGAAATACCAGTTGTGAGTGTGGTGGTGTTGTAGAAATACCAGTTGTGAGGGTGGTGGTGTTGTAGAAATACCAGTTGTGAGGGTGGTGGTGGTGTAGAAATACCAGTTGTGAGTGTGGTGGTGTTGTAGAAATACCAGTTGTGAGGGTGGTGGTGGTGTAGAAATACCAGTTGTTAGGGTGGTGGTGGCGTAGAAATACCAGTTGTGAGTGTGGTGGTGGTGTAGAAATACCAGTTGTGAGGGTGGTGGTGGTGTAGAAATACCAGTTGTTAGGGTGGTGGTGGCGTAGAAATAGCAGTTGTGAGGGTGGTGGTTGAAGAAGAAACCGCTGCTCTACCAAATTTAATGCAGAGTTGTAGAAAGTTATATATATATATATATATATATATATATATATATATATATATATATATATATATATATATATATATATATATATATATACTTGTATTGCTCCGTCATGAACATACGGTATATAATATTCTTCCTATGGTGATCGCCTCTTTTTATGTACGCCTGGTACAGTGTGGAATTAACAGAAAGGTCCAATTCAATAAATTAGAGTTTTTATTTACACATGACATCGACTCCTACCGTAACTACATTTATAACCATCTACTAACACTATCTAACTACACACTCCCATGACCATCCCTATCACATTATCTACCTCTAACTCTCTAATTCGTTCGCCTAGCGCTACCTATCTCTTACAGCTACCTAACTTCTGACCCACGCTTCAGTGGTCATCTGACCGTCTCACGTGACCGGCCATCTCCTGTAATTCTATTGGTCTACCTACCTACGCTATGCTCTGTTTCTGCTATCTTCTACTCGACCTCTATAACCTAAACTTGCGTCATCGCACATTGTCTGTAAAATATTGCCAACTGTCTGGTCATTAACATTAAATATTGTGTCAGTTGTCATGTCAGTAATAATAAAAATATGAATTTGGTTCACAGACCGAACGACAACAGCAAGAACAACAGTAATGAGAACATCCAAGACAGCGACAAGGACAATAGCAAGTACAACGACAAGGGCAATAGCAAGTACAACGACAAGGGCAATAGCAAGTACAACGACAAAGACAACAGTCAAGACAAACATATTGCAGCGGCTCCTGCCTAACCTGTATAACAAAATGCACCAAACAGGGAACCCGCAGTACCCACTAATGTGGGACCCTGAACCTAAAGCCATACCCAGAGCTGGTGTATCTGTGACTGGAATAGTCGTGGCTGTCGTCTGCACGTTGTGTGTTGCTGTTGGTGCAGCTGCAGTTGTCGTCTTTGTGATCTATAAGGTATCTGATTAGTTCATGTGATCTATAAGGTATCTGATTAGTTCATGTAATCTATAAGGTATTAGATTAATTCATGTAATCTATAAGGTATTAGATTAGTTCATGTAATCTATAAGGTATCTGATTAGTTCATGTAATCTATAAGGTATCTGATTAGTTCATGTAATCTATAAGGTATCTGATTAGTTCATATAATCTATAAGGTATCTGATTAGTTCATGTAATCTATAAGGTATTAGATTAGTTCATGTAATCTATAAGGTATCTGATTAGTTCATATATTCTATAAGGTATTAGATTAGTTCATGTAATCTATAAGGTATTAGATTAGTTCATGTAATCTATAAGGTATTAGATTAGTTCATGTAATCTATAAGGTATCTGATTAGTTCATGTAATCTATAAGGTATCTCATTAGTTCATGTAATCTATAAGGTATTAGATTAGTTCATGTAATCTATAAGGTATTAGATTATTTCATGTAATCTATAAGGTATCAGATTAGTTCATGTAATCTATAAGGTATTGGATTAGTTCATGTAATCTATAAGGTATCTGATTAGTTCATATAATCTATAAGGTATCTGATTAGTTCATGTAATCTATTAGGTATTAGATTAGTTCATGTAACCTATAAGGTATCTGATTAGTTCATATAATCTATAAGGTATTAGATTAGTTCATGTAATCTATAAGGTATCTGATCAGTTCATGTAATCTATACGGTACCGTGTTTAATTGAACAGAAATAAAATATTCATGTGGTCTATAAGGTACGATGCTTAATTGAACAAACATAAAATATTCATGTGGTCTATTAGGTTTCATGTTTAATTGAACAAACATAAAATATTCATGTGGTCTATAAGGTGCGATGTTTAATTGAACAAAGATAAAATATTCATGTGATCTATAAGATACCATGATCAAGAGAAAATAATAATTCATGTGGTCTATAGGGTATCAGCTTCATTAGATCAGATTATTAGTTCAAGTAAACTTTAAGGTACCAGATTCGATTGAACAAAATAATGTATGTGATGTATAAGGTACTAGCTTCAATTGAACAGAATAGCTCATGTAATCTATAAGGTACCGGGTTCAATTACACAGATTAGTTTATGTGATCTATAAGGTAACATGTTACCACTTAACAACATAGATTTTTAACTTTACCCAGACTTAGGATGTAGCGGTTTAGTATTTGCAAAAGATGTAACATATCGTGGGCTTAATAAATCTTAGTTTGAGACAATAAAACAAAATATATTTATATCATCATTATTTTCCCATTCGTGTTCAAGACACATGGGGCAGATGAAGTAGAGTTCATCTGTTTCAATAACCTCGGGATCAGAACTATGCCAGCGTTTTTGCTTCCCTGAGGTGAGTCAGGTACCTATCAGAGCTGGGTGGACTCAGTGACGTCATACAGACTCGAGCTCTGAGATACGAACTCGAGACTTTCGGGTTAGCAGTCTAGCAAGTTTTATATACCGACTACAATTGAATAAATCTCAGGATCACACATAAATATAAATAGTGATTTATCGACAGAGAGGTGGATGCTCTCAAACCAAGGGACAGACTAAAGGCTCTGAATCCACTCTTAAGGACAGGCCACAGCCAATTATACACACCGTGTCAGGTGGAAATGTCAAGTTGTTTGGAAACATGACCAAGACAAAGGAGGTTTTTATCATATACATAATGTATTGTCTCTTTGTGAATACAACTTATCTATAAGCAATCATGTACTGGAAATATGTAAATATGTACATTACAATTAAGAAACAATTAAACATTTTTAAGCCTAGTGAAATAACAAAGAAAATCGACAAATCTAAGAAAATAACCAACAAAAATAAGCTTTTAAATAATAACCTATTTAATCTGGTTTTTTTCGCTTGTAGAATTATTTATACATTTTATTATTTACAAATATTGAATTGTGTTAAGATCATTCCGAATCTTACAAAAGTAATTGATAGCTCCAAACTGCTAAACTGTTTCAAGTTCCAGGCTTATGAGAAAAGAAGCGCAAGTGACTCGTTTGTTGGCGTGTGAATTGTGGCCATCATTAAACTAAACTTTGTGTTGAACTTTGTTTATAGGGATCAACGCGATTGATGTAATATAATATGTAATTGTTAACTGTGTATAATTTGATATTCTCTCTCGGAACTAGAAAGCCAATGTTCTCGAGGAAATTCCCAGAAAGAACATCAGGTTCCAGAACACGATAGGACGAGGAGCTTTCGGTACCGTGGTCAAAGCGGAAGTTCTGAACTTGAAGAGGACCAGAGGATGTGGAGCCAAACGCTGGACAACCGTTGCGGTCAAGATGACATTGGGTGAGCGCTTGTCCACATATTTTACTGATATATTTTCATTCTCTAACAGCAGATACCTACACGATAGGTGGCACGTGATAACAACATCAGACATGTCTATCAAGAAACAGGTGAACAGTCGTTGTACGTTCTCAATAAGCAACATGAAACATAAATACGTCAATAAAACTTTGGCTTAAGGAAAATAGATTAATTTATTGCGATATTTATTTACGTCCTTCTTTAAGAAATCTCTTACTCGAGCCCCGCTTCTTATAACCAGAGTTTCTTCCATGCATCTCTTCCAGGCTCCGCCCCCCCCCCCCCCCGAAGAAAGTCTACCCCCACCCCTCCGCACGAGATGGAATTTATATAGTAAACATATACTTTTACTAGTGTCCGCCCCCCCCCCCCGGAAAATGTTGACCGCCCCCCCCTCGAAAATATCAAATGCCCCCCCCCCCCCTCCCCGGAGAAAAAGGTCTGAAAGAAACACTGCTTACAACTCTAATTTAAGGGGAAACGGATGTTTGGAAATGTGAAAGTATTCTTTCCAGTAATAAATTACGTGTTTAGAATAATACCATAACATCTTACAATGTAGTAAATAAAATCCACTCTAGACTGCTGATATAGTTCAATCGTTTGAACATTAAGTATATGTTCATATTGATTTAAAACTTTTTTTTCATCTTAATACTACATGTAAGAAGACTGCCAAAACCTGCTTGTTTCATCTCCTGTACGAAATGACTGCCAATACTTAATCTTTGTATCCACTTCCAGTGTCCGAGGACCAGAGAGAGGAGTCCAGGAGAGACTTTCTGGCAGAGCTGGGGATCATGCGGTCATTGCCCCCTCACGTGAACATCGTGACGTTGTATGCCAGTTGTACTGCTCATGGTGAATCTTAACTCAATTGTGTAGCTCATGGTAGCCTTTTGCTTACCAGGCTCTTGAGTCAACAGACATTGATCTCACCAGATCCTTACCTCACCATAAACTCACCAGACCTTTATCTCACCATAAACTCACCAGACCTTTATCTCACCATAAACTCACCAGACCCTTACCTCACCATTCCATTACCTCACCAGACCCTTATCTCATGCTGCTGGAGTTCGCTGAGCGGGGCGACCTAAAGCGACATCTACAGGACCAGCGTATGGAGAGAAACTACGCTAATGCGGCTTTCTGCTCGTATGGTCTTAAGCAGGACAGTGCACAGTACATCACCGCAACACGTGCAACCCCGATTAGGTATCTTACAATTTTTGCTCACAATTAGAAAATTTACTACCTAGCAATATTGTACTGTTAAACAGACGTGATTTGTGTCTTCATCAATTTTGTTCACTTGTTTTAAGATATTTTTAAAATACAAATAAATAATTATATAAATAAAAATAAAAATTGCCAAATGTTTTAGACCAGGGGTCGGAAACCTTTCGAAACGGGAGAGCCAAAAGTTACAATTTATGAAATTTCCCAGTTTGCAAAGAGCCACTAACATTTATATTTCCACATTTGGTATTTGAATAAGATTAGGTGAATAAATTTAAAATAAATCGGTTTAGACCCCTAAGTATAATAACTAAAAAACTACGTGACTCGGGTCAGATGTATGCATGCTGACATATAAAGAAATGCAATCTCAATAGAATAACATTCAATATTGAGCGATATACCAAACCAAAGTGTGAAACTCGGAAGTGGAAAGCATGGAACCATTGCCACGGGGCTGACCCCAGCACAGTTGTGGGGCTGGGCCTAGTGCCCAAGCAACTGTCAGCTGTCTGTATGCGCTCTACTCACATTTTTTATCTTGCTTGAAGGTTTTTTTTAAAGTATAACATTTGTTATGAGTTTTGAAAATGAAATAATATAATTTTATTTTTGTGCATGGAACTGGAGAGCCGCATTTTGACATCAAAAGAGCCGCAAGTGGCTTGCGAGCCGCAGCTTGCCGACCCCTGTTTTAGACTGATTGATTGTTTATTTATATGAGCGCAAACTTAATTAATTATAGTCAAAATCACTATTCTAATTAAGTAAATCATCGGCATTCAAACGAAACAATGGCAGATTAAAAACAATAATTTAGCAATTTATTCATGGCACACTGTTTCAACCATCTGACTACATAAACACACTCCTACTGTCTGTAAATTATAAAACAAACATATTTTATCTGCGGAATGCAATCTGACGGAATCCATTACTTGCAGAGTTGACGGTATCGATAACACGGAAGTGCTGACGTCACAGACACTAATGTCCTACGCTCTTCAGGTTTGTCGCGGGTTACGTCACCTGGCGAATAATAAGGTTAGATAAACTAATCATTAATTAGCGCTTTTAATCATCTATTATTCCTGTCGCATTTAATAGTTTAGTTGGTCTGACTTGCACGAAAATTAATTAAAAGAGGGAAAGATAACACTGGGGGGAAAATAACTTATTTATCGGATATCAATGTTTAAAAATTTCAATATGAAATAATAAAGTAATCTGTAGTTGTAGTTTATTGTCGTCAAAATGTCCATTGGATTGTTTAACTTGCAACTGGTCTTGTCAGATTGTCCATAACATGTCTAAATTTTGCAACTTTTGTCGTGATATTGACATGATTAAATTTGCTCATTTTGTCATCAGATGGTCCATAATCTTGTCTTTTCTTCTTCTTCTTCGTTCTCAATTTTAATGTTGGATAGGATTTCTCCAACACAATTACTATGGTGAGGTCTGGCGAGTTGTCTAGTGAGGAGAATGTCTGACGAGATAGGGTCTAGTGAGGTACCTTCTTATGCGCCATATAGATCATTGACACCTTCAGCTAGCTTTTCTTTCTGGATTTGCTTCCGTAGCCTTTGTCCATCCAAGAACAAACTACAAGGTAGCAGTTGTTATAATTTAGAGTTGTCCCTCCTAGATAGGTTGCCGTCCCCAGCTATAGAGCCTCATCTACGGGGTTCGAAGTCGGGACTTTTGTATTTAGCAACATTGAATTGCAACCCGTATATAAACGTGTCCTAATCTGCAACTTTTGTCGTAGGAAAATCCACATATATGTCTATCTGTGCAACTTTTGTCGTCAGATTGTCCATAGAGATGTCGCAGCCCGTAACATGCTCCTGTATTCTCATCACGTGGTCAAGATCTCGGATTTCGGACTAGCCAGACACATTGGTCCAGATGATGAGTACACTCGGACACGTAAGGTAGGGGGGACTTTGAACACCTTCTTAAAACTGTGTATTGGACGCTAATATGTGTGTGTACAAATGTTTCAATGATAAAATCTAAAATAAGAAGATATTCAAGTATGTTTTCTTAAGACACTGCACAATTAGTTACCAATAACTTGAATGAAAATGTCCATGTTTTAGCTCTTGTTTTTCAAAGCAAAGCGTAAGTAAACTTTTGACACACGCATGAACTTACATGAAAGGACGTATCAAAAATATTCTTTATATCGTGTCGCTGTACTGATCTCAGTTTATTTGATGTTCCGTGAAGTCCTCTTGTGTAATGACCATGAATTGTCCACAGGGACTTCTCCCAGTCCGCTGGATGTCCCCTGAATCTCTCTTCTACAACCAGTACAGTCAGATGTCAGATGTCTGGTCTTTTGGTGTCTTCGTGTGGGAGTTGGTCACGCTGGGTACATTGCATTCACATTGTTAATTGACATTGAATTTTAATAATTTTTCAAATTTAAAAAAAATATTACCTTTCTGTTTGAATTAGATCTTACCAATAACAAAACAGCTAGTCAACAAGATCGGCCCATGCCTAGCTAATCAACCGTATCTCTTATGTCAGGCAGAAAGTATCTGATGTATCCCGGGCTGATCTGTTTGCCTAGTCCCGTAATGTAGCCCTTTTACTCCCCACTACTGCCATGCCAGCAGTGTTTTGTCCAGACTTTTTTCTCCTGGTGGAGAGGGGGGCACTTGAAATTTTCGGGGGGAGGGGGGGGGGAGGGGAGAGGGACGGACACTGTTAAAATTGTACATTCTCTATATAAATTCCATTTTATTCGGAGGGGCGGTAGACTTTCTTCGGGTGGGGTGTGGGGGGGGGGGGGGACGACGAAGAGATGCCTGAAAAAAACACTGCATGCCAGTCGTTCTCGAAGGTAGAAACCCAATTCCTACTCCTGTTTGTTCTCAGGCTCCACCCCTTTTGCTGGCCTTGACACTGAGAAGGTTCTTGACGTCATCAAGGCAGGTCAGCTGCTCACCTGCCCAGGTCACAGTTCTGGCATCGTGTATGTCACACGTTATGTGGATGTTGTATGTGATGTAACACTTGAAATGCCGCGGGCAATGTCAGAGTCAAAGTCATTTTACAAGAACAAGAATTTAACAGACAGTAGAAAAGACATGTAAAAGAGACGCGACAAGACACTCATTAAAGTCAAAGACAGTGTTCCTTTCAAGACTTTTTTTTTCACCGGAGGGGCACTTGAAAATTTCGTGGAGGGGAGTGGTGGGTCGGGCTAAATTTTTCTGAGGGGGTGGGGGGGGGGAGGGCGGAAAAGTTGCCTGAAATAAACATTGGTCAAAGACATTTTTCATGAATACAATTTTTAACAAACAGTAGAAAAGACGTTTAGAACACGGCAAGGCATTTTTAAAAACGCAAGACATTTGTCAAACTCAAGACATTAACAAATACAAGACATTCGTCAAACTCACGACAATAACAAATACAAGACATTATTTGTCAAACTCACGACAATAACAAATACAAAACATTGACATACACAAGACAATAACAAATACAAGACATTATTTGTCAAACTCAAGACAATAACAAATACAAAACATTGACATACACAAGACAATAACAAATACAAGACATTGACACACACAAGACAATAATAAACTAGAAACAGGACACAACACGAACCACAAAATTAAAACCTAAATCAACCTCCGACATGTCAAGTCACTAAAACAACTTGTGTAGCGTCTTTAACCGTTGATTGTTCTCTTTAAATGTGTTCCAGTAATGAGCTCATGTTAAAGTGCTGGAAAACAAGCCCCATTGAGAGACCCACCTTCGCAGAACTCTGTGGTCACCTGGAGAAACTTCTGGAATCTCAGGTCGAGTACGTGGACCTTGATCAGATGGATGACCACGAGTACAGCACACTGGATGATTAGCTGCCACGTGGGATCTAGGGGCGGAAGTACAGTGCCGCCAGACCCCGCAATGTGGGGGGGGGGGGGGTTTAGGGGCCCACAGCCTCCCATAATCATTTTTTTATACTTAAAAAAAATAATTTCCTTTCATTTTTGACTTGATGGTTGTTTTGTAAAAAAAAAACTGTAGCTGCGGTTTCATTACCTTTATTCTATAGACACCATCCCGAGTTCTTTTTCTCCTACAATGAAATACACGCCCTTGTCAGCAAATTTCTTTTGAAATAAATTGAAGTCCATCGCGCGAGAGGCCGCTAGATATTAAGACGACTTTTGTTTCTTTATAGCATCGATTAGGGGCCCACAATCCATTGTGATTTTATAATGTAAAATGTTTGTTTGTTGTATTGGTAGAACTACTATTCTGTACTATTTCGGTTTTATGTACGTTTTCTTCTTTTCGTTTTACAAACAAATACGATAGTAAACGTGTTTAATTTGAATTCTCTCCCTTGAGTGTTTTACAATAGGCTTTAGCAAGAGTAGTTGAGCCCATCCCAACTTCGGTAAAAAAAATTTGAGTTTTTGAGTACTTATAGATTAACATTTGTTCAAAATGTGTAGTTGACCGCCCCGAGATCCCCAGCGGCTATCTAAGCACCAGAGTCCGCTTATTGAGTGACCTGCACAGGGTGTACTACTTAAATCGTCAGTCTCGCTGCATTAGGGGCCTCCGCCGGGGGTCGTGTCCCAAGAGCCCCGTGTCGCCACTGACACTAAGGCCGTCGCCTAGGGGTTTCTTTCACCATACGCGTAAAACGGGGAGTGTTTGTGGTTATGTGTAAAAAACTAGCGCCCAATAACTAAGCCTTGATAGTGGTTTTGTTAAAAATAAAACAATCTGATCTATTACAGAAGTGATGTTCTACAGTAGCTAACACGCTGTTGCGTAAAAAAAAAATATATGCATGAGTTGTAGTTTGAAAGATAGACAAACGTTCAAACTACTTCCCCCCCCCCCTCCTCCTAGTCGCTACGCCTCTGTGTATTTGGTAGCATTGGAAAGCTGGATTTTTCATATATTTTCATATATTTGATAATCGTATTTTCAATCATCTTGGAGACACCCAAAGCTTACAATCGGCTATACTAATTACACAGATATAGTATTTTCGTGTCCTACTTTTCGTTACTTTTTGCTGTTTTTCTCAGTTCGCAGGTTTTTAATACTAAAAAGCCTACTGCTCTTTTATTTATTAAACAATACCCACCATAATTTCAGAAATTGTTCTTCACGCAAAGATAAGATTCAATAGAAAAAAGTATATGGTAAATAATACGCAGATTCTAAAAAAAAAGTTTACATACTAAAACGGGTACGATTATTCAGACCTTGTACATTTTTCTTGTTACATTTCCTGTTCCGAAACTAATTGTGAAATGCAGTGGCGTAGGCAGGGGGTTTAGGGGGGGGGTCAAACCCCCCCCCCCCCATAGACCCCCTCGGTATATATATATATAAAGTTTGAGAGTGGGGGGGGGGTTGCAAATCAAAAGTTAGAGGGGGGGGTGCAAATCGAAAGTTTGAGGGGTGGGGGTGCAAATCGGAAGTTTGTCCCCGGGTAAAAATTGGACCCCCCCCCCTTGAGACGATCCTGGCTACGCCACTGGTGAAATATTTAGTTACTTAATGTTGCCTGTTCAAAAACTTTTTCTGTGATGTTTAGTTATTTAAATATTGCCTCTTCAGAAACGATTTATGTAACGTTTAGTTGCATAATGTTGCCTGTTCAGAAACTATTTCTCTAATGTTTAGTTCTTTAATTGATGAAGTCAAAGTTAATATATTTGCTGCTTGTTTTCTGAAGCTAAAAATAATTTTTTTATTTACTATATAAACCACTCTCAACACATCTGTAATATTTTGTAGAGTTAAAATGATAAACTTCATTTAGCTTTGGTTTTAAGTCTCATTTTTCATTGTATGATGTTTGTATTTGGTGAGGAGGTTCATAAAAAATGATGTCACGCCTTTTTTGACGATTTTTACCTCCCACCCCATTCCTTCACACATCGTCACAAAAAGCCAGATGCCCCCCTCCCCCTAAATGACGTCAAACCTTAGCCTACAACCCACTAGAGGCGTAGCGACCCTTTCCGGCGCCCGGGGCGGACTTTCAGTTTGGCGCCCCCTCACACACACACATATATATATATATATATATATATATATATATATATATATATATATATATATATATATATATATATATATATATATATATATATATATATATATATATATATATATAAAAAGTAGTAAATCAAAAGAGCTTAGAACAGTGGGCTCCATCGAGGTCAAGACACGGATGTCAAGACACACATCCGACTCATAGGATTCACGATCGGATTTTTTCATTGTGGACGATACAACTATTAAGGAGGGTTCGGTGATTGCGCATATGAAACTGGTGGGGTTCGGTACTCCAAAAAGTTAAGAACCACTGCTTTAGAGTGTATTTTGTAGAAGGTGCAAGCCTTATTTGCTCTACTTTTGGTCGTGTCTATAGAACAATTTTGATAATATTTTGCCAATATTGCAATTTTGAATTATCAGTTAGGTTGAACAAAGTAATAATCTGTAAATATACTAATTTTCTTCTCTCTTAAAATTTTGTCAAAGAGTGTCGCTTCCCATCCACCCGCTCCAACAGTCTGCTATTTTACTGATCGGATAGCGATACAAGAATCTGTTATATTTATTTCTCTTTAATAATGCAGTGATCCAGGCTAGATGTTATGCAATCAAGTAAAAGTATCTAATCTATCACGATCAAGTTGAGAGAATCGTAAGAATCGTACAAAAAAATAGCCGCGTTATTACTTAGCGAAACTGCCTAGTGAAATCGTACATTTAGTGTTAGCAACCGATCTAGTACAAAAAAGTGAAAAAGCGCCCCACCATCTTGGACAAAAAAGGTGGAGTGGATTTTAAACGTCTCTAACTCTTTTTTATGTTACATAATCGTAAAATACGCTTTAGTTCAATGGGTTTCTTTTCTGAGTGATATCAGTTATTTATTCCTTAATCCGTTGTGAATTTTTCCGATTTTAGTCTTCGAAAAAGCGCCCCCCCCCCCTCCCCATATAGGAAAGCTGGAAAGCGGGTTTTCCTGTCACTATTTCTTAAAGATATACGTTTTACAGTTACACAATCAAGGTAGAAAACAGTTAAATCAGTATGCAAAGGCCCTCAGCCGTTAAATTTCTTTACTTTGACTGTTTATAATTCAAAACTGCAGCTTAAAATTAGCTTTTAATTTTTTTTCTACCCCTTTTGGCGCCCCCCTAGGGTCGGCGCCCGGGGCGGCCGCCCTCCCCGCCCTCCCCTAGCTACGCCTCTGCAACCCACACCCTCAAGTGGAAAGCCCAGGGCGTCAAATCGAACCCTGCAGGTGTGCCGGGGGACGCCCCTAGTTCGATATATTCAATATTATTGTTGCCATAGCTTTGTTTTGTAAACGAATGTAAGCGCCAAAGTGCTCGCAGGGGAGCCCGGGCGTTCGGGTCGTGCAATCTATGGGGCACCGGCGGTTGCGCTTGTTAAAGTTATAACGCTTAATATAGTGGACCTCATACCCGCTATGCTGGACGCTAGATTGACGGATGCTAAGTGCTAACATAGCAGCTCTGAACTCTGGGCGGCAAATTGTGTATTGGTGAAAATCGCACTCTCGCGGGCGGCGCCCATTTCAAATTTTAATTGTTTTGTTAACAGAAACCTTCTCGTAATCTCATCAATTCCCCAAAGTTTCATGGCGCTCGGGTGATTGGTGTCGAACCCCATCCGAAGTTTATTTTTTACATAGCGTATATAGAGAAAAATCGCACCCAACCAGGGCGCCGCCCTTTCGAAATTAATGTTGTTCCCAGAAATTTAACCTCTAGTGTTCTAATCAACTCCCGAAAGTCTCTTGGCGATCGGATGAACAGTTTCAAACCGCAATTGACTTGTGTTTTTATATACCGTACATGTAGAAAAAATTGGGTCCCTATCGGGGTGCCACCCTGCGAATTTGAATTTTTTTCGCATAAACCTCCTCAGGATTATTCTCAACAGCTTCCCAAAGTTTTATGGCGATCGGATGAAAGGTGTAGTATTTTATACAAGACACACACAGAGACACACATACATTTCTTTTTATATATTAAGCATAAAGTATATATAAATGTATGCCTAGTGAATATAAAATAATAAAATTTGGTTTAAGAAAAGGCTAGCTGGCAACCCCAGCTAGAAGTCTAGATTTAATATTTATTAAAGATGGCAGCTGTCTGCTAGTGAAAAACTTTTCTTCCTAACCTTTCGTCATAATTAAACTTCAGGGCATTTTTAAAATTAATAAAGCCCTCGGTGGTAATTTATTATTCAATGGTAATATTGGTAAAACTTCATTTTAGCGGATTTTATTCTCCGCTTGCCGTTTACCTCCAGTTGAGCGTATTTTATTATAATAATAAATTAACCGAAACACCAAAAAATTAGGAAAACACGATTTATTTATTTGTATTGTAGTATTTTTGTTTTTTGTTAAAACTGAAAAAAATATTTTACTATAGAGTTGTATGTTATTTAAATTCATAGTAAATCTGGTAAAATCTTAGTTTAGCGTCGTAAATTCCAACATAGCTAGTAATGTGCGATGAAGGTAACTAATGAATATTTCTTTCATTTGGCCATATTTATGTCATATTTTACATAATATAACAGATAATTGAATAACAAATCACAATCCAAGACCAAACCAGTCATAAATATCCTGGAATTAACTTTAAACTACCCCGTTCGAGACAACAATGAGTAAATACAAGCAGCGGCCATGTTTCAAAAACAATAAATTGTCTATTCGCATGTCTTTTGTGTTGATTTTGTGGTTTAATATGATTGTTTTGTATTGTTTTAATATGTGCCTGGGGGGGGGGGGGGGGGGGGGGTCGTCCATAAATGACGTCACACTCGTAGGGGGGAGGGGGGGGGTCCGTAATTTTGTGACGTTGTGTGATGAGGGGGGGAGGGGGGGGTTCAGATGGTGCGACGTCACACTTTTGCATTTTAAAAAAGCAATGTTAGAAAACGAATTTTAGACGTTATTTTGCGTTTTAGAAAACTGTTTTAATACATTGTAATAACAATTGATTAAAATACTCTATTTTGACAGAGTTCAGACAAGATTTTGGAAAAATACAGCTGTTTAAAAACAATTCAACTGCAATTTTGAGGGGGATTGTAGGCTGAGGTGTGACGTCATTTTAGGGGGGGGGGTCTGGCTTTTTATGACGACGTGTGACGGAGGGGGGGAGGGGGGTAAAAATCGTCAAAAAAAGCTTGACGTCATTTATGGATGACCCCCCCCCGTATAGTAATTTTTCTTTTTTTTAAATATAGTTTGCATGAATGACTAATAGACCTTTTCAGACTTAATAGTGTGCATCCAAGACCACAACAATTGTTGGGAGGTCGAACTTTTGAACACTTTATTTGCAGTAAGCAAATCAATATTAGATCGCTTATAAATGACGTCGCTCTTAAGATAGTAATGACAGCGTGCATTATTACAGAGCAAACATATGAACATACGAGCCGGCCCGCGGCATAACATACGCCGCTATTTAGTTGTTGTTTTTTCTACTTTTCAGTAATTCATAATTTGTGAATTCGACAGTACCAACGCTGACACTGAAAATATTTCTTTAAACACTAAACCCCCCCTTCCCCCCCCCCCCCCCCCCCCCACGTGAAAGCAGCCTCCTCTTAGTTACCTCCTCTAAGTTTAAAATCGTTTCAAACTAAATTATCTGCCCCTAATAGCCGTCACCAAACCCGTCTCTATGATTGTAAAATGTAAACAGCGTGAACCACAGCTCACCAAACCATGTGGGGGTGGGGGGGGGGGGTGGGGGGGGTGGGGGGGGGGGGTGGTAGCGATAGAGAGGAAGAGAGGGGACTGTAAGGCGAGGTTGCAGCTTGTTTTCTAACGGCTCCCAGAAGAGAATTATATATATAGATTGTTTCAAATAGAAATTGTGATTTGTGGTGGGGAGAGGTTGAGTAGAACTCAGCGATGTGATTTTGGAGACGGGTCGGGTTTTTTTTTCGTGAAAACGGGATGGTTGTGGGAGAAAGACCAGCTGTAGAAGTATGACACGTCATTCATTGGTGATCCATTTTCTCAGTGGGGACGATAGAACTATTAAGAAGGGTCACAAAATGTAAAAAGCATGCTGATTCGCATTTCTTGAACCCCACCTTTTCATTCCCCCACTTAGCACATCGTCACCGAGTTAACGCTCGCACGTGACGTCATGTACCGGTACCGCCGATCGTTAGGCTAATTTTATAAAAAAAAACAACAAGCACTGCCTTTTTGACGCTTTTGCGACGTTAAATTTGATTACATAAGTTGGTGTTCATTAAACAGCCCCTAACAACACAGTTTCTTCCAGGCATCTCCCCCGACAATTTTTTACCGCCCCCCCCCCCCCTCCCCCCCGGAGAAAAAAAGTCTGGAAGAAACACTGCTAACACATCTATCACTCGTCCATTTAAACGTACGTAGTTATATCTGCAAGCTTGCTGTCTTGAGACTTTCGGTCTTTAAAAATGTATTAAGCTCTCACCGTATAGAACTAGACTACCCATATTAAGCTCCAAATGAAGCTTGGTGAAAACAGGATGGCCGTCCGATTTTGAAGCTGCTCTGCGCTTTATAAAAAGCACAATAAACGATAAGATGACACTTATATTAAAGTAAATTATAGTTCTGAATCTTGATACATTAAAAGTGATATTCGGAAATTAAGAGCCAGACAGTCAACATGATATTTCAATTTAAGTCCAAGAAAATAAATTTCCTCAAACAATGGAACATTACTAAATTTTCGCGCAGTTTAGCAAAATTGAATTTAAGTATTTACGTCATCTTACAAAGCGCGATAGCCTACTGGTGCTCTAACGCGGCCCATGCTAATGGCCGTATTCCTAACGCCCCGCATTAGATGCGGCTTATTCGTCGGCATGCATTTGGCGGCAAGCCTTTTTGACGGGGATAATGTGTTGCGGCCGTTTTGCCATATGTCTTAAACTAGCAGGCTTGCAACATTTGTGATGATTCGTTTTAAGCGGTATACGTATACTAATGCTTATTTATCGTTATTTTGATTGCACAAAGCATTATAGAGGTTCTCCATCAACCATCTAGGTATTTTTCCCCGTTCACCCCCTTTCATGAGACCGACACGTCATAAATTGCAAAGCCGCCTGAGTTGACGTCACAAATCTTCACTCACTCCCGTAGCAAATAATATGTGACATCATTTATGGACAACCCCATATCACTCACTTGGGTACTTGATATTGACAATTTGACAACAAAGGATAACCAAAATGTGTCTGGCAGGTGGAGACTATTGACAACACGCACTTAAGGGTGGACTGGCTCATTGTATTAGATGATGTTTTACGAGGGAAGCTGGTGGATAATACATTTTGTCTCTCTGTATATATAAATGATGACAAACATTTAATGCTGTCAAAATTATGGTTAGAGATCTTAGATAAGGCAGAGTGAAGCGTAATTTTTTACATTATGACTTGTTGTGACATTGACGACAAAAATATGACGGAGGTTGGGGTTTAATTAAGGTAAAGAGAAGTAAAAAAATGTCATAAGTTATGATAGAATTACTTATTGATGAAAAGAAACCTGAAATGAAATAGTGAACATTCAAACAATAAGAAAAAGCTCAAACTATATATAGTAATAGTAAGATCAAATAAACATTAGTAAAAAAAAAACGTGATTTAATACATGGATACAAGTTGCATCTCACAATGCTTCTAGAATAAATAAAGTTGTTTGTTAGGAAATTCACATTTTAAAAAAATGCTTTGTAATACGGACTATACAACAAGGCGATCATATTTAAATACATTTTCATACGAATAGAAATGAAAGGGAAGCTACTCTCAATAACATTTTCTTAAGATGGCTGCTGTTTTTAATAGCAAATTTACTATCTCGAACAGGGTTGATAAAAATTAATTTCAGGATATTTAAATTGATTTAATCATAAATGGTGATCTATTATTCAATTATCTATAATATTTTATCAAAATATACGAAAATATACTCATATTTATTATTTAATGACATATTCATTAATTCACTCTCTCCCCCATTACTAGTTTTGGCCGAATTTACGACGCTAAACTAAGATTTTACCGTAAATCTACCATCCTTCCCTTTTTTGTATGAGTAAATTTCTGACTTTAAAAAAAAAATTGATGTGGGGTCGTCCATAAATGACGTCACACTCGTAAGGGAGAGGGGGGGGGGGGTCAGCAATTTTGTGACAGTGTGTGGGGAGGGGGTGAAGTTTCAGATGGTGTGACGTCCCTTTTTTTGCATTGTAAAAAAGCAATGTTAGAAAAACAAGTTTTAGACGTTATTTCGCGTTTTAGAAAACGGTTTTAATAAATTGTAATATGAATTGATCAAAATACTCTATGTTGACAGAGTTCTGACAAGATTTTGGAAAAATTATCGATGTTTTAAGAAAAATTCAACAGAAATTTTGAGGGGGGGGGGGGGGGGGTTGTAGGCTGAGGTGTGACGTCATTTTAGGGGGGGGGTCTGACTTTTTGTGACGATGTGTAACGGAGGGGAGGGGGGGAGGTAAAAATCGTAAAAAAAAGCGTGCCGTCACAAAAAGCAAGACCCCCCCCCCCCCAAAATGACGTAGCACCATCTGAACCCCCCCCCCCTCATCACACACCGTCACAAAATTACCCCCCCCCCCTCCCCCTACGAGTGTGACGTCATTTATGGACGACCTCTAACATTATTTTTTTTAAAATGACAACGTGAGTTGTCACACTTTCTCTAACACTCCAAGCCATCCCTCACCAAATTCCACCCCCCCCCCTCGGCCCACTTTCGGCAGCATCATTGTGCCTTTAATACTTTTATTCAGTTTAGTTGAAATTGGAACACTTAATTGTCCAAACAAAGTGTGCATCTCTATTTTCGTAACCAACAAACAAAGCACTTCAGTCAGTCTCTTTGTTGTTTTTTATTCATTTGTTAAAACAAAAATACAATACAAATAAATAAGTCGTGTTTTTTAAACATTCATTTTATTCATTTGTGAAAACAGAAATACAATACAAAAAATAAATCGTGTTTTTCTAATGTTTTGGTGTGTTTCGGTTATTATAATAAAATACGCTCAACTGGAGGTAAACAAGCAACGGAGAATAAATTACGCTAAAATGGAGTTTTACCAAATCTGCCATAGCTAGATCTAGATTCTAGATATCTATTCTACATTAAGAAATCTTTCTCGTTACTAGACTTTTCTAGATCTAGATCTAATGTGAAAGATAGGTGACTCAAGGAATTAGCTTATTTATTAAGTAGCTAGGCCAATGCCGCTGCCAAGAAAATCGGACAAATCGACTTTTCCTTAATAATTATTAATTAAGGCCCATGCCAGCTGTCTACTCAGTACACTGTATTGAAGTATCTAAATGTCTATTCCCAGTCGACTGGGAATAGCTGTATAAAGGGCTATTTAAAGTTATGACTGTTTTTGATAGATTTAATGTTAAAAACACCCAGCAGTCCAACAGAGAAAGTAGTTGTATGGTCGAGTGGTAATGTGGATAACTGGTGTACCAGAAGGTGCGGGTTTCGAAACCCATCGAATGCCTTGTCCCTTGACACTCTAAATTTATGCCCTTTATGCCTCTTAATCTATACCTCATTCTTGAGTCACAATAAATGCTTTCATATTATTGTAAGATATTATTCCTAGTCGTATTTAGCATGAAATGACAGCCGTATCGGGGCTATTCGCAGTCAGATGGGAATAGCCTTGGCCTTGAAGTATTGGGTGGGGCTAATCCGCTAAAAAAGGGTTTAAGACAGTTTAAAGTTTAAGTAGATCTAGGTCACCAACTTATTATTCTGGTACTTGCCAGCTAGATTTAGATCTAGATCCAGATGTAGATTAGTATTTTTTAAACCAAATGTTAATATTTTGATTAAATAGAACTACTGTAAAAAAATAAATAAATAGAAAAGTTGGATGAATTTAGGTACCAATGTCTGATTCCATAAATTAGGTGTTAGTAGTATTGTAATATTGACTAATTTTATGGTTAAAATTAGGATTTAGTGTATGGTAGGGTAAGTGTAAGGGACAGTGATAGCATTGACATTAGCCAGCCATGTGTATGTAGTTAACTATTAGCCAGAGGCATAGCCAGGGGAGGGAGGGCGGGTGGGGCAGCAGCCCTGGGCGCTGACCTTAAGAGGACGCCAAATTGGGTAGAAAAATATAAAAACAAGCTTATTCCGAATTGCATTACAGTCAAATTTAAGAAAATAGCTTCTTGGTCCTATGGATGGCTTTCTTCTTTGCTTGTGTGATATGGCAAAAAAGTATTAACGGTGACTAATGTGTGTGCGGGGGGGGGGGTGTTCCTTTTTTCGCTAACTTACATAAATATGGGTGGGGGGGCAAAATTGATATTTTGCTCCTGGCGTTGAAATGGGTTGCTACGCCTCTGCTACCCGTAACCTAACACCCCTTTGTCAAAGGTTTTATTATCGGACCCTGGTATAGAAATTCCCCAGAAAAGTTACTTCCACTATTGTTGATTTATTTAAATCTAGGCCTAATATAATATTTATATAATATTAATAGACTAGACCTAACGCTGATTGGTTTTATTATCAGTAAAATAAGTAATTATACTAAAGAATGCATAATGTAGAATACTTTCAAAGATAATTTGAACCCAAAAATGTTGCTTTAATGAAATGTATTTGTTAGCCAACATTATCTAAAGCCATTATAAAAAAAAACAGCACTGTGAATGTAATTTTAAAGAATTTGGCAGTATCATTAAAAAATTAAAATATGATGGTAATCATGTGAGAAGCTATATGCACAATTTCAAATACCTTAATAAATATTTTGAAAAATTGCATATGAAAGATTAACAATGAAATTTTAAAACAATTTTTATTTCTATATAAGCCTACAATTATATGCTGTATTATATTAGGCCTATAACTTTAGGGTAATTAATTACTGCTGTTAAAAAAGTTTGACAGGTGTATGTCTCATAATTTCTTGTTTGGCATTTTATTTTGTTTTGTTTCTTTCCCTTAGGTGAATGATACTGCCCACTTCTTAAGCTACTATACAGAAACAAAATACAAAATCCAGTTACATCTTTTAAAAACTACATAATTTTGGTGTAGCCCTTAACAAATGTTTAAGCCAAGTTTTATTGATAGAACTTTTTCAAAATTCAATGAAATTTGTTTATAGCTTTGTAATCAGAAGTACTATTTTTCTTGTTAGTCAGCTTAACTTTAAACTTGCTAATGCAATATGGAAGAGAAAACAAGCTTTCAAGTTTTGCCATGCACAGAGATTAAACAGGAATCAATTGAGGAGTTTGAGCCTGATGTTTCAAACAATTACATACAGATAAAGGACGAACCAATGGAGGACTTTAAGTCTGATGTTGCAACCAATTACATACAGATAAAAGACGAACCAATGGAGGAATTTAAGTCTGATGTTGCAACCAATTACATACAGCTAAAACTAGATATAACAGAGAAATTTAAACCTGATGTTTCAACAAATTTTTCAAATTTTGTTGACATGAAGCCATTGCTATCTTTTAAGTGTGAGAAACAAGAAGTTTTGACTGAACAACTTAACTCTATGCCAGATTTTACTGCTAGCAGAGAAAATTTTCAATTTGCTAAGTCTGAGATATTTAGTGAATTAAAAGAACTGAAAATTATGCTCAATCAATCATTAGATAATAAGTTGTTTTATAATCAGTCAAATCATGAAGAAGAGAAACCAATTGAATGTGACATTTGTCATAAAAAGTTTATCTGTATTAACGCGTTGTCTGTTCATAAAAGCATTCATTCGCAGGAAAAGCCTCATGAGAGTGACATTTGTCATAAAAAGTTTGCTCAAAAGTATATGTTAACTGTTCATAAAAGAATTCATTCTGGAGAAAAGCCTCATGAATGTGACATTTGTCATAAAACTTTTACCTCAAAGTATAAGTTATCTTTTCATAAAATAATTCATTCTGGGGTAAAGCCATATGAATGTGGCATTTGTAGTAAAAAGTTTGTTCGAAAGTATTCCTTAAATATTCATAAAAGAATTCATTCTGGAGAAAAGCCTCATGAGTGTGACATTTGTCATAAAAAGTTTACTGAAAAGGTTATTTTATCTGCTCATGAAATAACTCACTCCGAAGTAAAATCACATGAATGTGACATCTGTCATAAAAAATTTATTAAAAGAAAATCTTTAAATGCTCATAAAAAAATTCATTCTAGAGAAAAACCATTTGAATGTGACATTTGTCAGAAAAGGTTTTCACATAAGAGTAAATTATCTGATCATAAAATAATTCATTCAGGGGAAAAGCCATTTGAATGTGATATGTGTTGTAAAACATTTGCTCGTAAGTACACATTAACAGTTCATAAAAGAGTTCATTCTAGAGAAAAACCATATGAATGTGACATTTGTTCTAAAAAGTTTTCTGAAAAAAAAAATTTATCTGTTCATGAAAGAATTCATTCTGGAGAAAGGCCACATGAATGTGACATCTGTCATAGAAGGTTTACTGGAAAATATTATTTATCTGTTCATAAAAGAATTCATTCTGGAGAAAGCCCTGAATGTGATGTTTGTCATAAAAAGTTTACGCGAAGGTACTCCTTAACTCTTCATCAAAGAAAAATACATTATGGACAAAAGACTTCATGATCATAATATTTGTCATCAAAAGGTTTTACACAATTATTATCTATCTAGTTTTTTTTTAAAAAGGCATTCTGTATAAATTAACATTTTAATATGATGTGCTTTAACCCATATTATCCCAAGGTCTCAAATTTTTATAATTTTTTGATATGGTTTAGCTTTTGGGCACTGAATGAAGGAATGACTATGGATTTTTTGTTAAAATCAATACTTTTTTAAATATCGATTTTTTTAAAAACGTCCCATAAATGGGACGCTAGCAACGAATGGCCCCATGTACATTTATTGAAAAATAAAATCATTTATCACGAAATATGGCTATTTACGAGAAAATTAAACTGTATACTGATTTTGTATTGTTAGACCAATGATTACATTGTTTAGGACAGCAAAAAATACTGATAATGATCAATTGGGTTAGCCATACCATGGTCTAAAATGCAGAAATTATGTTCAAAAGTCTAGTTTTCTTTCAATCTAGCATCCATCAAAGTGAATAACACTTGGAAAAAAGTAAAGCTGTGACTAGTACATCTAATTAGACACACATGATCAAAAATAGTGTTATTATTCATCGAAACTGTAATATAATTAAATATAAATAATTGATTTTTTGGTGGGCGTACTTGAAATTTTCAGGGGTGGGAACTTTAATTTCAGGGGAAGGGTGGACATTGGTAAAAGTATGTTGTGTATATAAATTCCATTTTGTTCTGTGGGCAGAGCCCCGTCCCTCCCCCTCCTCCGAAATGATGCCTGAAAGAAACTCTGCTCTCAGTGAATGTGCAAAAGATGATCCGGTCCAGTCCCAGATGTCATCCAGCCATCTTCTCTTTTGTTACCCTCGCTATCCCCCCCCCCCACCCCTCACAGGCGTACATTAGGACATCAGACATCTTATTTCTAGGGCACGGATCCATCTCTGGGGGCTTGTATTAAGTGTTCATGGCTCTCATCCATGTATGCACACTATGCGAACGGCTCCCAATCTAACACCAGGGATCTCCTTAAAAAGTTAACAAAGTAAAACTGGTATTGGGAACCTTTGGAGGAGAATATTATTGGGGCATGACAACTGTACACAGCTAATTCACATTTCTGCTATATGTAGCTTAAGCTCTCTGATATGAAGAGAGTTAACCAACCCCCATGACTGAATCATTTCACCTAAATCGTGGCCATTGTTATTATTCTGGTTTGTTATAATTTTAATATCACGCGCTAGTAAATTTACAGCAATACTAAATTAGTTTGTATTCACTGGTATTAAATACTTCAGTAAGTGTAATTCTGAAAACTTAAAAATAAAATGTAAGTTTTTCAATATTTGCAATTTTTTAATACAATAATATATAAGAAAATATAGCTCACGGTCATAATTAAATATCTATAAATACTACTTAACACCCAAAGTCAACAGTTAACAAAGTCAACAATTGTTTGACCATAAATAACCATTTAACATAAATATTTGCATCTGTGTTTCTCGCTAGTGTCCAATAAATGTGACGTTTGTGTAACAATCTGCATAAATATAGGTCAAGGTCATAATTAAATATCTATAAATACTACTTAACACCCCAAAGTCAGCAGTTAACAAAGTCAACAATTGTTTCACCATAAATAACCATTTAACATAAACATTTCCATCTGTGTTTCTCGCTAGTGTCCAATAAATGTGACGTTTGTGTAACAATCTACATGGGGCCATTCGTTGCTAGCGTCCCACTTATGGGACGCTTGTTGTACACTTGATATAACGAAGTAGTAGAAAAAAATTGTTATTCTTAAATTTTTATCAGATAGAAATATGGTACTGCTACAAGTTTCAAATGTATGTTGCACTTAAAATGTTAATATTTTAGAAGATATGCATTTTCCTGTGCGCATGTTTTCTTTTTTCCGCCATTTTGACAAGTCCTGCAAATCCGGCACTATAACATTTTTCCAAATTAATTTTTTTCAAAAAACACACACACATTCAATAGTCTAGCTATTTTCAAATACAACGAAACATAATTTGTGTTTTTACTAGTTTTTAATAAATTTTAGCAATTTTTTTTTACAAGCGTCCCATAAGTGGGACGCTAGCAGAATATGGGTTAATCAGTTAACTGGAAAAAAGTATCTGTTCATATTAATAATATTATTTATAAAAATCATTCTGAAGTTAAACCATATGGATATGACATTAATGTGTCAACATTTACACATACATAGTAAAATTCACTTTAATGAAATAAAAATAGAATAGTGAGTTTAAAAAATGTATGGTAAAAAAAAAACAAATTGCTAGTTTGTTGTCTGCATGGTTATATTGCTAAATATATCACATGATTTGATTTATGTTTTTGTAAATAAGTAATTTGTCAAATATTAGATATGTAATATTTAATAATGTAAAGTTAATATTATATCAATTCAGAATAAAGCTATTTGTTGTAAAAAGATTGTCTTGAATTACTTGAAACTTTGAAATAAATATTTAGAAATTTTTAGATATTTGCTAGATTTTAGTGAATTAGGATTTCACAGGTGTTTCATAGCTGTACAAAATGTACACTAGGCTTAAAAAGAAAAATTACCTTTCATGTAAACGTTATGAGTGGTGCATCTGAGTTTTATTTTAATTTGCATTTTTAGTTCATTGATTTAAAAGAAAACATGTTTTTTTTTGTGTGTTGCTAATGAGTTGGCTTCTAATTTCTATATAGTAGGCTATATGACTGTAAGAGTTGCTCTTTTGAAAATAAATATTGCACTTTTAATTTGAGAGTGATTGTACTCGGGCTGTTTTGTTGTTCAACCTGCATGAAATATGCTGTATAAAAATGATCGATTGTTTGGCGTCCAGCGTCCTCTAGCAGCAATCTTACTACTTGTTATATGGTATCCGTTGTTTGGGCGTCCAGTATACAGGGTTATGGGTGCTACTAAATTCAACGGTAAAACTGCACCAGGCACATCTAACGGCAATTGAGTGATCCAAAGCGCTCCAGGGCTTTAATGAACATTAATGATATATAAAATATTCATTTGTAAAAAAACATTTTAATTATTCAGCTTGAAAACAAATATTTGAAATACTTTAAGTATCTGCTTATTGGAAAGTTTGAATCTTTAATATAATAATTCTGTAGCTGAAATTGAGAGCCCCCTCCACACACACACACATTCATCATTTGGAAAGGTCGGGGTGCTTTTTTTTACTTTTCCTTTTTATTTAGGTGTCACACACTTGATGGAGAAATCAATTAAACAAGTCCGTAATGCCAAGTAATATCAAGAGCTATGTCGTTTTTGTATTTATCACACATTATTTTTACCTCTATAGTCTTGAAGTGGCTAATCAGTTTTTAACATATCTGCTATGCATTTTAACGGGAATAAACATATTGTCTTTTGTAGCTGTTTTTTTTTTTCCGTCTTGAAAGTTGTTTTTACTCTTGATTCGATGGGGTTTTACTAAAATACTTTCAAATAGACCAATCAGATGTTACTTAAAAGGAAAAACAAAATGTGTAGTTTTGATAACTTTTTACACCTACTTAAATTGATTTTGTACATTTTCATGTTAAGTTGCCTGTTCAAGAACTATTTCTGTAGCGTTTAATTGATAACGTTAAACATAATTATTTTGCTGCTTGGTTTCTGAAGGTGAAAATAAAACTTTTATTTACTACAGAAACCACTCTCATCTAAATCATAAATGCTTGTGAATTATTTTGTAGAGCTAAATATGAAACATCTTTTGGTTTTAAGTTTAAGTCTTTTTTTTATTGCATGATGATTTAGTGAAACTTTCAGCACACATATAAAAAACAACATAAGGAGAGGCATATGGCTGGGAGGGGATGAGAATTGCACATTGTGACACCATCCTGTGTGTGAGATTATCCCAGAGGGTGACAGCATCGAAGTAACACCATTCTGGGGTGTAAGACTATCCAAGTGGGTAACACCATCCAAATTTACTATACCGTCCGATGTATTGTCACCATTAAGGTGGATCCTTCTTCTCAAGAAGATTCGGAGACCACGGCATATGAAGGGATGGTGTGGTCAGCACTATGCCCAGCCGCCATTGTTTCCATAACGTAAATTAGGTGCCCATCAGTGCTGGGATTGAATCCGTATTCGAACTCGAGACTCTCGGGTAAGCAGTCTAGCTCTCTACCGCTAGTCCACGCCATCCCATATTGAAGGGGAAAATGCCATTCAAGTGTTTGACACTAAATGACACCAATCAAGTGACACCATTCAAAAGGTCAAACCTCCCATGTTGGAACAAGACATCATAGTAACTTAATGTACATTTATTACAACACCTTCTTATTATAGACACCTTTCAGCACAAAGTGCAACCATTCAGAATGTGATAACACCAAGCAGTTGGTAGTTTTATAGCATTGTATGGTGTATACAGCCTTTGCGGTGGTGACACAAGTGGTATATAATCGCAAAGTAAAAACAAAGACAAGTTGACACTGATTGACTTTGAAAATCAAACGTTTTATTGAGTTCGCATTGTTGTTTTTTTTTCACATTGATATAAACATGTCTCCACTTTTCTTTAAGCAAATTAAAATTGTACATACAGTAGTCACAATCAGGGGAAGCAATTCAGAGTAATCATGTAGGCATTTAAAAAAAACAGCTTCACTTCAGGTTTGCTAACACATTATTATCTCAGAAACCAAAATGTTGTACAATATTATATAAACTAAGAATAAAATAAACATTACTTAGACTTAATTCAATATTCTAAAAATAAAATAAACTCATTAGCATCAAGGAAACCATACACATTTTGACATGAATGCAATACACGAAAAGAATGTTTGGAAAAGTAAGCGATGATTAAACACTGTTAGAGTCTGAGACAATATTCCAGTATGAAATTGATTTGAATAGCAAACGCAGCTCGTTCTTAAAAAAAAAAAATTAAATAAAAAAAAAAATAGCAAACGCAGCTCGTTCTTTTAGTCACACTCGTGCTCTTCAATTGGTGTTCACAAGTAAAACCATTAACTTTTTAAAAAATCCGAAAGCAATACTGAACCGCAATGATTTCGAAAATTTAAAAAAACAAACTGCACTCAAGTACATTAGGTTTGTCTTAGAGAAAAAAATTAGTATGGTACACAGATCTATCACACTTTACTTTCCAGCTTAAGAGGTTTTTTTTACTGTGGACGATTTCTACATAAATATTTGTGGACTGAAATCCGACTCTAATATCAACTAAGTTGATTTATATTTTCTTGTAGTCTATGAGAGATGTTAACAGTACTGTTTTAGTTTGTTTAAAAGGGATAACTTGATCTATTGGTAGGCAGATCATTCAACTGCTAACTTTAAAGTGCCGAGTTCGGATCCCGGGCCCGATTCCGTACGACGTCCAAGAGTCTAGTCACCTTTAAGCACAGGCCTCACGTTAGAAAATGTTAAAAGCGGCTGGCCATAGTGCTGACCACATTATCCATTTACATGTCAAGGTCTTATCCCCATTTACCGTAAGGTTCGAATGAGTATTTTACTTTTTTCTAGTCTGTTTAAGGGAAATGTAATCACAAGGGTAACATTTGAGGCTGATAACTTATAAAGTAGGTAATCAACTGTAATATTGCTGCTGCATGAATTGTAATACTCGCCATCTTTTCCAAATTATGACAGGTATCCGTTACAGCTGAGTAGACTCCATCACATCAGAAGAAAGTTAAAAAAAGTTTATCCGTATAGTCGGTTTTAGAATATAAAACTTTTAACTATGAGCTTATTGTGAGACAAACATCGTCATACTCCTTGAAGCTCTTATTGCTTTTTCTCCAACTTAACGCGTACGTTGATAAAGATGATCTTAAATCAAGGTGAAACTACTGACCTCGGCAGGTGAGACATACACAAATAGACCACACGTGTGAAGGGTACAAATGTACATTCAGTAGGTAAATAACAAAACTACTGTTTACAATTAAATCTGCATATTCATTGAAAACAGACTTCGATATATATATAAATATATATATATATATATATATATATATATATATATATATATATATATATATATATATATATATATATATATATATATATATAATCTATATGTTATTTTCAACCAGTGATAGGAGAGTATTTTTTGTTATAGAACTATGTTTATTCAAGAAGCAACTTCGAGGCTTCTGATACGACTTTATAACATAATGTACTACTTTTAATTAAGAAGGGCAAGGCAATGTTTATATGATGCTTAATAATTAAAATATAAGTAAAAACTAAATTTGACAATAAAGTAGAATGCAATTGTTTTTTCCTAGGCTTAATCAATAGTAACTTTTTATTTAAAACAAATTAGAAGAAGGTAGGTTTCTTTGTTTAATATTTGTAACAGAAGTGTTATTTTTATGTGGTTGTCTCCCTTAGCAACTATCAAACACTATAATATGGATGTTGCTTTAGTGAAGAAAATTATGTACAGCATAAATTCAGCATACAGTAGCATACATAAACATGAGACAATTCACATACAACTAAATAACTTTACTAAAGCCAACACATTTTTTTTCAATGATTGGACTGTTAAATTAGAACACATTACGGTGTTAAATAATAGATTTAAACAGAGGGGTGGGTTGGGTAAGGGAGGCTAATAAGGTTAAGCTTACTCTAGTGATCTATTTTAACAGTGTCATTTTACACTCCAATGCCACCTAGATATAATGTAGCGTGAGTATGTTGTTGTATATAACAGTTATAAATTAATGTATATGTTACATGATATATGTTAGGAAATTAGGATATAACTTTTACGCTAAAAAGATGTTGTGGAGTATGAATGAAGTAACCTGAACGATATACGTATGTTTTAAAACATTGAGTAGTGACATTACACTTACATAACATTTTATTTCACGCTTTACTCTAATACTATTAGGCACGTAGTTATATCTGTTTGTAAGGAAATCCTTCTATCAATCACTTTGTTACAAAAATGCGAGTTTAAGAAAATGTTTAAGTTGCTATTTCACATAAACTATTTTATAATAAGTTTCATGGTTAATTTAAATTCTTTGCAATTTTTTAATTAAATTTAATGAAGGGAATTAATTGTTTTCTTATAACATTCAAACAACTTTAAACATTGAGTTTTAAAGTTACTAATTATTTGTGTAATTGTCAGTACCTGAGACAAAAAATATTTAAAAGTTTATGGGAAATTTTTTGATGAATATGGAACAGGTGCTATAAAAAATAAAAACAAAACAAAAGTAACTGACTTGCTTTTGATATAGTGGAAATCATTAGCTGTCACTGTGGCTCAGCCACTTTAGTTGATGCTGTGACAAGGTCATTGTGACAAGGTTATTGTGACAAGGTCATTGCGACATAGTCATTGTAACATGTTCAGTTTGACATAATCACTGGACACGTTCACGTTGACCGAGAGGCGTAGTGACCCTTCCCGGCGCCCGGGGACAAACTTTCGATTTGCACCCCCCCTCAAACTTTCGATTTGCAACCCCCCCCCCTTCAAAAAACTTTCGATTTGCACCCCCCCCCATCATCAAACTTTAGTTTTGCACCCCCGTCAAACTTTTTATTTGCAGCCCCCCCCTCAAACTTTCGATTTGCACCCCCCTCCCCCAAACTTTCGATTTGCACCCCTCCTCAAACTTTCGATTTGCACCCCCCTCAAACTTTCGATTTGCACCCCCTCCCCTTCAAAAAACTATCGATTTGCACCCCCCTTGAACTTTTGATTTGCACCCCCCCCCCCCTCCCCCATCATCAAACTTTAGATTTGCACCCCCGTCAAACTTTTTATTTGCAGCCCCCCCCCCTCAAACTTTCAATTTGTTTTTCCAACCCATTTTGGCGCCCCCCCCCCTAAGGTCGGCGCCCGGATACATATGTGTCCCCCCCTCGCTACGCCTCTGCGTTGACCATTGACGGCAGTTAGGTGACGGACGTTGTGACACAACAATGACACCGTAACTGTGACACTGTGACATGAACAATGCTCGATAAGAAAAGTGTCATTTTTTGTAATATTAGAATAAACAAAAAGCAAATAAAGTGTATGGCCTATTGGTAACCAATACAGTAGGTCAGGGTTCAAAGCTATTCTGCAAGGACTTCAATGATTGACACATGGCAGAGAAACTAACATACGTGGAACAAAACAAAAATATGATGGCGAAAATAATTTTAAACGAACATATCAAGCAGATTATTAATTGCAATTTAAAGCAAATTATAAAATAAAAATAATTTTAAAGTATAATATTAAGAAATTTAAAAAACTTTTATGCACATAGTAACATGTCTGGTCAAAGGGAGGTGATTCGTGAACTATACTTGAGAGAATATTTTAATCAGTTAACTCCCTTGTATTATCTTAAAATTATTATTAAATGCAAACATTCAAAATCTTTATACAAACACAGGTCATGGGCGGCGTATTTATAACAAAACAAGGACTATTCTAAATGCTTCTACATTTAAGTAAACAACGTGTTAAAATTTTAAAAATTGTTTAAAAAAATTATGTAAATGAATTTTCTTTTCCTCATACCCATTTAGTATCACAAAATAAAATCATCACAATAACAAAAATTCCCGTTACAATTTCATTGCAAATTACAAATAAGGACACATGTTATAGGTAGGTAACAGTAAAAACAATAACACTGACGTCAACATGCCTGATGTGACGTCATGTAAGCTATCGGGAATTTAAAACATTTTATTTTTAAACTCACTCCTTCCAGTAGACATTGTTTCTGTATTTCAGAAATGACGTCAAGATTGCCTCCTTGAATTGTTGAAACACGACGTTGACTTTAGTTTGTCAATTCTAAAAACAAATATAATTCTACTTTCACTGAAGAATTCCACTTTAATTAAAACTTTCTACATCCAAGTAATTTTTTTTTCTTTGCTAATTATTAGAAATATGTAACTGTCTGCAGAATTTGATGATTATCATTAATAATTGCTTGTTTGTTGGTTTGTTTTTGTGTCTGTTTTATGAGTTCACATATTTGAAACAGCAAGCTAATTAATCACAAATAATGATTTGACAGTTTTGTGGCATTAATTAGACAGTTAATATTGAATTTCTTCAATCAGTTTTTTAACTATAAAAAAAAAACCATCCTAACAATACTAATATTTACAAAACAAGGAATTGTAAATGGGAATTCCCACACATGAAAACGGATGATACTGTTTTTATGTAGTTATTTTTACTCTCCGGGAATTCCCAGACGAGCAGTAAATTGACGTCTTAGCTTTTACGGAAAGCTTTTAGAGACAGTAGATTTACCAGTGGATTTCGTGAGGCGAACTCGTAGAGACTGCCGGCGTACTTGGTGTTTAGACGTAACTAGAGCTAGGCTAGGGTTATCCGTCGATGTACAGATGCTAATCATTATCCAACCGCCTCCTGGATTGTTAATTAACTGGTTTTACGTCATCTCTAATTAGTTTAGCGTCTTGGGTTTCTTTGTGTGGTAAATGCGTGTCAGTCACCACTCACTCGTCTGTTGAACTGACCGGCACGCATGCGTAGAGCGGGCTGTTCTGTCGCGTGGGCCGATCACGTGGTGACTTGTAATGGACTTTTGGACTTCCGGAACTGAGTGCCGCGATCTCTCCGTCCTCGCTGGACTCTTGACCAATGGCGTCCTGGGGCTGGACATAGGGCACCCTGACGCTACTGCCCACAGAGGGGGGACGGCGGTATGCTGCAATTTCAGTGCGATAAGCTACAGATATAAGTGTGGGCAATCAGTTACAGTTTACATTCAGCTATAGAGAGAAATAGGCAATAAGTTATAGATAGAAGAAGGGAATAAGCTACAGATATAAGTGTGGGCAATCAGTTACAGTTTACATTCAGCTATAGAGAGAAATAGGCAATAAGTTATAGATAGAAGAAGGGAATAAGCTACAGATATAAGTGTGGGCAATCAGTTACAGTTTACATTCAGCTATAGAGAGAAATAGGCAATAAGTTATAGATAGAAGAAGGGAATAAGCTACAGATATAAGTGTGGGCAATCAGTTACAGTTTAGTTTACATTCAGATATAGAGAGAAGTAGGCAATAAGTTATATATAGTAGTGGGCAATCGGTTTAAGATAGAAGTAGGCAATCAGTTATAAATATATGTAGGCAATCAGTTAAATATAGAAGTAGGCAATCAGTTATAGATAGAAGTAAACGATACGTTAACAGATATAAGTTTACATTTAGTTATAGATAGAAGTAGGCAATCAGTATTAGATAGAAGTAGGCAATCAGTGATAGATATAAGTTTACATTCAGTTATAGATAGAAGTAGAAAATCAGCTAAAGATATAAGTGTGTGCAATCTGTTATAGATAGATTTGTTCAATCTGTTATAGATATAGGCCTACGTGTGTATTCAGTTATAAATATAAATTATGTGCAATCAATTTTAGATATCAACGTCTTAGAATGCATTCAAGCTATAAATAAAATAAGATCTATAAACATAAGTATGTGCTATCGGCGAAATATATATTAGGCGTATACAATTAGGTGACGTTATAATAGTGATTTTGAGCACACAGTTTAAGTTAAATACAAAATGGCGTATTAAATATTATAATAAACCGTGTTCATATAAATATAATTACTATATACGATTTTTAAAATGTGTAAAAAATATTTAGTAGGTCTATATTTTTAAACATTTACTTCTAGATTTTAAACTAAACTTATCAAGAGACAATATATACTGAAATGGGGATAGGTTGTCAATGTAGGGGAACTTACTCTTATTTCTCCTAGGTGAGTGGGGTATTGGCGGCAGTGGCATGTGCATGTGGTGAGCGGCGATGCTGTAGTGACTCCTGGAGTTGAGGGTGCGGGCCGAGCCCTTGCTCTTGATGGTGGAGGAGTCGGTCCAGTCCAGGTGGTGCTCAGGTGCCAGACAGTAGGCAGGTGGTCGGTAGAGTTCCTCGTCACGTCTCATACAGCGACCTGGTACAGGTGGGGTAGGTGGGGGGGGGGGGGGTGGATGAGATGGTGGTTGTAGTTGAAACGGTGGTTGCAGTTGAGATGGTGGTTGTAGTTGTGATGGTGGTTGTAGTTGAAACGGTGGTTGTAGCTGTGATGGTGGTTATAGTTGTAATGGTGGTTGTGATGGTGGTTGTAGTTGTAATGGTGGTTGCAGTTGAGATGGTGGTTGTAGTTGTGATGGTGGTTGTAGTTGAAACGGTGGTTGTAGCTGTGATGGTGGTTATAGTTGTAATGGTGGTTGTGATGGTGGTTGTAGTTTTAATGGTGGTTGTGATGGTTGTTGTAGTTGTAATGGTGGTTGTGATGGTGGTTGTAGTTGTAATGGTGGTTGTAGTTGTAATGGTGGTTGTGATGGTGGTTGTGATGGTGGTTGTAGTTGTAATGGTGGTTGTAGTTGTAATGGTGGTTGTAATGGTGGTTGTAGTTGTAATGGTGGTTGTGATGGTGGTTGTAGTTGTAATGGTGGTTGTGATGGTGGTTGTAGTTGAGATGTTGGTTGTAGTTGAGGTTCAAAGTTGCTTGTATTTGCAATAACTAGAGCATTATTGATTAAATTCGAAATAGGGCTGGTAAGTAGGTCACCAACCCTATTGTTAGATTTAAGTTGGTTGTTTTTGTGATGGCTAAAATTTAATAAGTGCACACATTTATTGTTATCAAGATTTAAATTATTTATTAATATTCTTTCTTTCAGCACATATGTATGTGAATGTAAATGAAGTGTTTATGTTTAGCACACAGGCATATCCCAAGAAATACATCAAAGACCATATCATAAACCACTAGCAATTGTGTCAGGTTTAAACAAAAATTAAAGTAATGAAAGTTAAGAAAAAGAGACAAGTGTTCTTTGAGAAAATACATTGAACATGTCTTTTCTTTACGCGTACATTTTCTAAAATTTTCTCAAACATGTGGTTTGTATCTTTTTGCTAAAGAAATGTTTTGTGTAAAGCATCGATTTCTCTTTGTTAGGGAAAAAAATTAGAAACATCAATGTCACCAGATAATGACATATGACATTTCAAATCATAGCTTGAAGATCAACCCATGATTTTTTTTTAGCGAATGTGTTTTGAGATCGTCTCGATTTAGGGTTGAAAAAACAACAGCATTTCGATGCAAGAAAACCATCGTAGTTGGCTGCAGTGCAATAGATATAGTCAGCGTTTCTTTCAGACATTTTTCTCCGGGTTGGGGGGGGGGGGGGAGGCACTTGATATTTTCGGGGGGTGGGGGCAAACTATATTTTCCTGGTGGGGGGGTGGACATTGGTAAAAATATACGTTTTCAATATAAATTCCATTTCGTACGGGGAAGGGGGGTCCGACGACTCCCCTCCCCCTCGTCTGAAGAGATGCCTGAAAGAAACCTGGATATAGATACAACTGATGACATGAACGGACAAAAGTTTAACTCATAAGGGCAGATACACACTGGTATATACAGCCAATAGAATCAGAAGCGCTAAATGTAGCCCTTCTTTATCGGGGGCTAAAATGTTGCCCTTATCTGTCAGGGGCTAAATGTAGCTCTTTTTGGTCAGAGAAATATTTAACATACCCCCCCCCCCTTCCCCGTGCCTTTAAAAGAAGCTATCGCTTAGTTTATAAAGTATTAGAAAGGCGAGGTGAAAGAAAATTATCACTCGAGTATAATTACGATTACAGTGTTTTACTTACTTCGATACCTATGTAGTAGTAAAAATACAGCTAGGAAGAGCAGTATCGATATTAAGACCAGCATAACAATGAGTACCGTCATGGGGAGACTCTCAGCATCAACTGCAAGTGAAAAGGTAAAGAAGGGCATTGGTTAAAGGGGGCATCTGGGAGGGCGTTTGTAAAAGTAGGCATAAGTAGGGCATTGGTTAAAGTAGGCATAAGTAGGGCATTGGTTAAAGTAGGCATCTGGGAGGGCATTGGTTAAAGTAGGCATCTGGGAGGGCATTGGTTAAAGTAGGCATCTGGTATGGCATTGATTATAAGTGGTTGCATTATGGTATTTCATTGGTTAGTATGATTTAATGTCATTAGTAGTTACATTACTATCCAGCATTAGCTAAAGAAATCATCTATGTTCTTTGTATCCTTATTCAGGTCGGGCTTTGGTTAAAATGGACATCAGTTTTGTTAATATTAGCATTCTCGTAGGGTGGATTACAGTAAAAGCATTAGATAGAGTATAGGTTTTTATATTGGCCAGTAAAGGATATTAAGTTGATAATTAATTTTATCTATCGTGGAGCTGTAAATTATAAAATAATTAAAACTTACTTTCTTTTTCCTTGACGGGTCCCACCCTGTAGGGAGCCTCAGTGAACGGCCCGGGGGTCGTCGTGGTGCCTAGCGTGGTGCCGCCTGCAAGAGTGGACATAGGAGAAAATGTAAGGGTGTGGTGGGTGGGGTTGTTACCTAATGGACTTGGTGACACTCATGGTAAATTTTACTCCACTTTCTTACAGTGACTCTATGGTATACAGTGACTCCATGGTCTTACAATAACCTCAGGGTCTCTAGAGTGACTCCACTTTCTTACAGTGACTCTACAATCTACAGTCATTACAGGGTCTTACAATAACCTTACGGTCTTATAGTGACTCCAGTTTCTTACAGTGACGCTACGGTATACAGTGACTCCAGGATTTTACATTAACCTTACGGTCTTATAGTGACTCCACTTTTTTACGGTGACTCTTCAATCTACAGTCATTACAGGGTCTTACAATAACCTCAGAGTCTCTATGGTGACTCCACTTTCTTACAGTGACCCCAGGATCTTACAATAACCACAGGGTCTCTATAGTGACTGCTTCAAAACAGTGACTCTTGAGTCTACAGTGACTCCAGAGTCCTACAATGGCTTCTATACTAACGCCTCTAGATACGCAGACCACTCCTGTATGTGACTTTATCGAACTATTCTACTTCAAATACAAAACACAGCTTCAATTCTTAATATGAAACTTCGTTGTTGCTATCATTTATTTTTGTTTACTTATCAATCCGTGCGTACTAATTAGAAACTAATTGGATTGTAAATCACGATTTTTAAGTTTTAAAGAAAGTTTTAATTTGTGAGGTACGGGCGTGATTTATTTAACCAGAAAAAATGTCAACAATACATTTGAATGTGGGCAATTTCTTTTTTAAATAAAGAACAAAATCATAGATCATTACATGACGCGTACAAACACCAAAAATATCTTGGCAAGAAAAATGGTTCTCCCTTCTTTTGTTGTTCTTATTTACCGGATAGGTTTTTAAAAAACTTGCATCTCCAGAAAAGCATGAGGAAACGAAATATTGCTAGGATGTTTTGAGTGAAAGCTCAGATAATTGTACGAGGGATAGGTCCTGAGTTAATTGTGACAAATGATTGTTGACAGTTTGTTTGGCGATTTGTTTGTCTGTCTACCGCAGGCAAAATAAATACCAGCTTATTTTTAGAAAATAGATCTAGAGCAGAAACTAATTAATCACAATAACATTGTTTTTGTTTTAAAGCAAGCCGTTCAAGAGTTTAGCATGGGTGATTTTTAACATGGATGACAGTGGCGTAGCTACCGTAAAGCTAGCGTAAGCAAGGCATAGGGGCCCAAGGCAAATAGGGGCCCTTTTTCGAAAGTTTGAGGGGGGCGGGGTGCAAATCGAAAGTCTGAGGGAGGGGGGTGCAAATCAAAAGTCTGAGGGGTGGGGTGCAAATCGAAAGTTTGTCCCCGGTGGCCGGGAAGGGTTGCTACGCCTCTGAGGGACCCACTAACACTTTTTGCACAGGGGCCACTGATGGATGAATTTTTTTCCTTTGCTGAATTTGTTGACTGTAAAATATATTTAAAAGTGGACGTCGTAACTTAGTGGTAAGCTAACACAAAAGTCTAGAGTTTGAATCCGGATTCAAGTCTGTAAAACATTCCTGAGCCCACCCAGGTGGGTACCTAACTCACGTTAGGGAAAGTAAAGGCGGCTGGGTTTAGCGTTGATAGCACTATCCCTTCATATGCTGTTCCAGAAACAGGTTCACTCTACTTCACTTGGACCGCAACGTTAAACAAGGGATCATTACTTAAAATAATAAAAGTCAAGCGTCACAAGATTTAATGATGGATGAGTCAAGCGTCACTAGAATCAAGTCAGTTCTGATGGAAAAACTCTAGAGTCACTAGATTGGAGTCAGATAAAATGGAACAATGCGAAGCTTAACCAGAGCGTACAAAAGAGTTTAACTTGTCACCCGTTTAACTAAAGTACAGAGTTCGATAGATTATCCGAGGTTGACAAAAACAAAAATAAAAAAATATCTCATCAAAAACCTTTTGGCTCAAGTGAAATATTAGATTTAAAAAATAAATAAAAAACTTTCGTAACTAATAGTTTTTAGTTTTTAAAGATCTTCGTTGAAATAGAAACTAATGAATGGAGTGTGAGACAAAAACAAGACAGTGAGGGAAATGTACTGTCATTTCCAGAGCGAGGCTGTAGAGACACTTCCGGGGAGGTCAACGATATTTATGTCACGTGACAAGCACGTGATGCGACTATTCTTAGCTTAAAAATTTACATTTTTACAGGAAGTTGTCTGTAATGAAAACCTTTTGAAATTTAACCATTTTTAAAATTACAAATTCGTTTTATTATTTACATTATTTTGTAATATTTAAAATATTTTGAATACAGAAATGAAAATATTTTTATATTATCATCATGCCTAAGACGAAATAATAAAAAGTGAAGGATTATGCGTCTCATTTTATTCCAATCCAACATTTTTGTGACGATCCTTGAGAATTTTACTCGCGAACACGTTTGTAGGAGATGAGCACTTCAAACTTCAATAAGGTGAGTAATAAAACATGTTTTTTAAACATCGTTACAAGTGTTGGAAAATTTTTTTTAACAACGTTTTTTTTCTCGTTATTGGCAGACGCTTCAACGCTACGTTCTATGTGAACAGTGGGTAAATTCGATCAAAAAACTTTTTTGACATTATATAGTTTGGTGGCAGAGATATAACAGATTTCTCAGTCTTGTACTCTAAACACACACATTTATGTATATATATATATATATATATATATATATATATATATATATATATATATATATATATATATATATATATATACATATATATATATATATATATATATATATATATATATATATATATATATATATATATATATATATATATATATATATATATATATATATATATATATATATATATATATATATAACAGTATTGCTAACTCTGTAAGCATTTCCGTATGCTCTTAGCAATTTCTGAAAATTAATGCTAACTTTGGTTGCTCGGATGAAATGTTAATTTAATAATTACCAATTATATCTACGATTTGATGAAATAATGACAAAGTATAATCAAATATTATACGTTTTTAACAAAAAGATCTTCAACAAGAAATAAATATGTTGTTAATTATTTTTAACTATTATATATATTATTTTAATTATTCTCTTAGCGGTTAATGAAAAGCCACCTTCTCCAAAACTGAAGATGGTGGATTTTCAAAAGCTGCTGAATATAGATAGGAACGGCGTGGCCGGGTAATAAAGCATTTGATTGATACCCATATCTTTCGAGTTCAGATTTATATAGATCTAGTTAATTGCGTCTTGGCCTAATATTTTTATTTCTCAAACCTTTAAACGAACATTTAATACTGTTGTGTTATGTTAAGAAGCTTGTAAATCTACTGCAGACACTGTAAAGGTCAATGTAAAGTTTACCTGTAAACACAACATTGTTTAGTTAAAGTGAGAGACTCGGCCAAGAAAAACAAAAAACTGCGCACCTAATTTGACAACTAGTGAACGCCCCATCAGACGCACCGAAATTTAGTGCGTTTACCTGTTGGCTAAGTAGATTTAATTTCGCCTGCATTGTGCGTACATGTCTGAAAACGGATGTCGATGATTGCAAAAAAAAATAAACGCGAGTTTTTTTGAGGGAGTTTTTTCCCTTGGCGCTCGTAAAATAAAACAATGTCACGGTAGGCTAGAGCAAATGATTGCCGGGCTTTGATGAGAGGTTTGCCAGGTGGTTTACTGAGTTCCAGACCTCGACAACAGCAGAGGTAGCTTTTGGTTTTAGAGTTTAGGTATCAGTTCTTTAGTGGTAGTTTTTGGTTTTCAACTTTAGGTAGCAGTTCTTTAGATTTAGCTTTTTGTTTTAAAATTTAGGTTGCAGTTCTTTAGTGGTAGCTTTTTTTTTAAATTTAGGTAGCAGTTCTTTAGAGGTAGCTTTTTTTTTTAAATTTAGGTAGCAGTTCTTTAGTGGTAGCTTTTGGTTTTAGAGTTTAGGTAGCAGTTCTTTAGAGGTAGCTTTTTTTTAAAATTTAGGTAGCAGTTCTTTAGTGGTAGCTTTTTGTTATCAAGTTAAGGTAGCAGTTCTTTAGTGGTGGCTTTTGGTTTTCAACTTTAGGTAGCAGTTCTTTAGATGTAGTTTTTTGTTTTAAAATTTAGGTAGCAGTTCTTCGGTGGTAGCTTTTTGTTATCAAGTTAAGGTAGCAGTTCATCGGCGCTAGCTTTTTGTTTTGAAATTTAGGGTAGCAATTCTTTGGTGGTAGCTTTTTGTTTTCAAGTTTAGGTAGCAGTTTTTCGGCGGGTGTTTTTTTTTTACATTTGTAAAGCAGGTATTAGCAGATGAATTTCTGCATTATTTGAAATATTTTTTTCCGCTGAAATTTCTAAGTTGTTATAGCTATTGAGGGAAATATCGCTACTGCAAATAAATAGTTCTTTAGCGGCACTTCAGCGGATGATTTTTATAAAATGTAGTCGCACTTGAGCGGATGGTTAGTATGTTGATATAGAGGTAGTGGATGATTGAGTAAGGTCACGATGAGCTATACAGTTTGCACTTATATAGACAAATTCTTTGTTATAATGATATAAAAACATCGAGAAAACAAATAATCGGATACCATAGAATAATCGGATTATAAGAGAATCGTGCATTCAATTGTAGTTTACTTCAATAGACTTAACTTAGAAATCGTGCAGTAAAAAACAAACAAACGAATACACGAGTATAAAGCTGCTGATTGAAGCTAAACTAACATGACTCTACGTCATACCTGTTTTAAAGCTAATCAGGGATACTAAAAAACTTGTATAAAAATAAAAGCTAAAAAAACAACTTTGGTTTAAACAAAATTCGAAATTTTTTTTGTTCTGCGAGTTCTTTCTCTCAGCATGTTGGTAATTTCTACCCAGTCTGAGAGTGGGTTTTAAAAAAAAAATTCTACACGTTTTAACTCAATCATTTTTTAAGAGTGAGAAGACTCTCATAAATAAACAGACGCTGTCGTGTTGTGTTAGTGGGTGCAAAAATACGGTGTGGGGTGTTGAGATTTGTTTATAACTAGGTGTAGTTCCAGTAGCACTTCACTCACATATAAGTGATTCTCCATCGGTGGTACTTTAGCCGTCCATTGTTGCAACCATTACTTTTATTTAATAAGTTGTGAAATAAATGTGACAATAGAAGTTCAGTTATTCATTAACACCTCACTAATCTCTACTAATAACATTATAAATTCAACAGTACTTTACGTAGGAAAAAGTATTCCATACATCCAGTCGTGCGCTACTAATCCAATTATATAAACTAATCAAAACAAGCTGGTTTTAGGAAATGTAATTCATGCATTGACTACGTATTTACCTTGAGAAAAACACTGGAACAAAACAATGAAAGGAAAAGCTCCCCCTATTAAATGATTTTGAAAAGGCTTTTGATAGTCTAGACCAGGGGTCGGCAACCTTTTGAGACGGAAGAGCCAAAAGTTACAATTTTCAAAATTTCCCAGTTTATAAAGAGCCACAAACATTTTTTATACCAATATTTTATTATTCGATTAGGGTTAGGTAAATAAATTTGATTTTGCTATTTAAAATAAATAGCTTAAAATAAAAACATAGGACTATCCCAAACCACTTTAAAAGCAGTTAACTTTTACTTTCTTTACGGACACCGCCTGATCAGTGGGTGTCTCCCAATAGACAGGCAGGCCTCAACACGGCAAACTCAACTGGCTTGGGTATCAGTTTGATTAGCGTGTATCGGTCTTTTCCCATCCTTTGGATCTCATCAGACTTATCTTCCACCCCACTGAATGCAAGGTAAACTCGTACCACACCGTCTAGTACACGGCTCAACAATAGGAACTAATCACTTTAAAACTACGTCACTCACGTCAAATTAAAGATTACTAACCGATATAAACATGCATTTTGAATAAAATGACATTCACATTTAACGATATTCGAAAAAGTGGGCACTTGGGCAGTGGCAAGCATGTTAGTCGCCACGGAGCTGGCTAAAGCACGACCGTGGGGCTGGTCCTGGTGCCCAAATGTCTGTCAACTGTCCGTATACTTTCTATTGCACCTATCTCACTGTTCTCACTGAGTGTTTTTATCCTGTTTAAAGTTGAGTTTCTTTACACTATAATATTTGATGCGAATTTTTTGAAAACGAAATAATATAACTATTGATATATGTGCAAGCATCTGGAGAGCCGCATCTTGACATCAAAAGAGCCGCATGCGGCTCGCGTTGCCGACCCCTGGTCTAGACTCTAGACAGAAATAACCTCTGGAAAATCTTACAATATATCTTTAACGGCCCAGTTTAATGCTAGTTACGTTTACTTGTCGTTGTGTTTTGATGTAGGGTTGGGTTTAGGATGAAGAGGAAATGAGGAAATCCTCTCTAAGCGTTGTATTGTAGTATAGCTAAGATTTACCTGGGAAGTTTATTGTACCATAGCTAACCTACAGTTAGGCTGTTGTTTTGATCCATAGCTAACCTGCATAAGGGCTGTTAATGTATTGTATTATCGCTAGCCTACATGTTGATGAGAAAGTACCTTCTTGTAACCCCACCATTATCACTCAGTAGCTTAGTGCTACGGTGTCACGATATTTTTTACCCCGTTTTTAAAATTTACATCCGTCTTTCGTAAAGTCTTGAGTTGATGGCACGGTTTCTTATCTAACCTCCAGATAGGGGTGAACTTTAAGTGATGATTTTTTTTACCTCTTTAACTGCTGATATTTTATTTATCTGTTTTTGATAGCTTGCATGAGGTTTAGTTCATTTTAATTTATTATAGAGAGGAAAAAAAAATGAATTCGTTTTCGAAGACTTAAGACAAATACAACTTACGCAATGATAGTCTTTTTACCAATTATTTCAGAAAAATATCGAATTTCCAACGTTTATGTTTATAGTGGATCTCACTATTATCAATGCCATTTAACTTATTTCAACCATTGTAACTCAAGTGTTTTTTTATCGAACATTGTCACCTCAGTGTTTCAAATATACGAATTAAGGAGGTGCTCTAGGTTCTAATACAGTGGTTCTTAATCTTTATGGAGGTACCGAACCCCACAAGTTCATATGCGCATTCACCATACCCTTCTTTATAGTTCTATCATCCGTACTGACAAAAACCAATCGTGAATCATATAGGTCGGTATGTTTCTTGACCTATGCCGAGCCCCTGGAATCACTGTTCTAATATAAACGTCACTAAATATGCAGGTGAAGTTGAGAAATAATGCTGTTCTGTTAAGTTGCTTTTGTGTGTGGCAGTGAACGAACACATAAATACAGTACAGACAGCTATGGGCAGTACATGGTGTGAAAAGGTGCGTATAGGTAATTACCGGTTCTATTTTATCGGTACTTACCGGTTCTATTTTTATCGGTACTTATCGGTTCTATTTTTATCGGTACTTAACGGTTCTATTTATATCGGTACTTACCGGTTCTATTTATATCGGTATTTACCGGTTCTATATATATATATATATATATATATATCGGTACTTACCGGTTCTATTTATATCGGTACTTACCGGTTCTATTTATAACGACCGTCCATGACAAAAACTGAAAGTCCGCTCCGCGAAGCATCAGCGTGACGTTACAGATGAAGGTCTGGTCAAAGGTTGACTCGTAGCGCAGCATTAAGATCTCTAGGCTGGCAGGGTGGTAGGAGTCTCTGTTGGTAATTAGGTTAATTAGTTGATGGATAATTATGTTGTTTGCTGTGATATTCCAAGTTACCATGATACTCTAATTGTTACCCCGATATGCCAATACCCCAGTAACCATGATATTCCCACACCCCATAACCCCGATACCCCCACCCCCAGTTACCCTGATATTCTACCTCGCCAGTTACCGAGTTACCCAGTTACCCTGATATTGCACCACTTTAGTTACCCCTGATACTCACAAACACCTGTTACCCTCGATACCCACACCACATTTACCCCGATATTCCCTCACATTATTCACCCCTATACCCCCCCCCAGTTACCCCGATACCCCAACCCCCATTACCCTGATAGTTACCCTAATACTCCACCCCCCAGTTACCCTAATACCCCACCCCCAGTTACCCTAATACCCCACCCCCCAGTTACCCCGATACCCCAACCCCCATTACCCTAATACCCAAAACCCCCAGTTATCCTGATAACCCCACACACCCAAATACCCCAATACCCCCACTCCCCCATTTACGCCAATACCACCACCCCACAGTTACCCTAATATTCTAAAACTCCCGTTACCCCACTATTCCACTACCACAGTTACCCTGATATCCCCACCCCCCAGTTACCCTGATACTCCCACACCATAGTTACCCCGATAACCCCATCCCCCAGTTACCCTGATATCCCGACTCCCCAGTTATCCTGATAACCCCACCCCCAGTTATCCTGCCCCACCCCCAGTTACCCCACCCCAGTTACCCTGATATTCCCCGCCCCCCCCCCCCCACAGTTACCCTGATATTCCACACCACAGTTACCCTGATACCCCCCCCCCCCCCCACAGTTACCCCGTTACCCCCCCCCCCCCCCCACAGTTACCCCGATACCACCACCCTTAGTTTACCCCGATACCCCCACCCCCCAGTTACCCTGATATTCCACCGGCCAAGAAAAACGTCCCATCGGCGTATTTCCTCTCCAGTGTCGGCTCCTTCTCCTTCATGACGTAGGCCATCTTCTCCTTGGCCGTGCCGTTGTAGATGATGATGGACACGACCGTGTTGTCTGAGCTCAACATGCCCACGTGACACCGAAGTTTTAGAATGTTCGCCTCGTTCCCGATATACTGGAAGTACAGGCCTGAAAGTAGGACAGTCACGTGATACCTTAATATAGTTGGGGTGATGTTAAAATAGAATTTTACTATGGGATGCAAATCTTACTCTCATAAAAGCAGAAAAAAGTATAAATACATGCTTATATATATATATATATATATATATATATATATATATATATATATATATATATATATATATATATATATATATATATATATATATATAACGCAGATTTCGGGTCGGTCAGTCATTTTTACATAAGTAAAGACATTGGTACTTTGAGAATATAAAAAGCAATATGTATTGAAGATGTACATTTAATATGAGCATCTATTCACAGAAACATGCAACATTTTAAAGACGATAGAACAGATTCTACATGAGTTTCACTATCTTTTAATGAACTGTGTCTTGATAAACTTTACATAGAGCAGAACACCATTTTCAACTCACCATTTAAAAAAAATTATAATTGTGTGCTTTTAAATTAGCTACTCACTCAGACGTAGAACGTGTTAAGGTTATGTTAAAAACATGGTTCTAAACCATAACCATTATAAACTTAAGGTTGGTGACGATATTATAACATTGGCTGAGGCCAACCGACGAATACCATATGTATATTCTATTGTAAGACGCGTCTGTGTAGTTAAACAAATTGTTTCGTAAAATAAAACGAAAGTTTAGCTTTTAAAATCCCATGTTTTGTCGGCGACGTCCGTATCTCTGGTCATCTGGACTACTTAAACCGGAAATGGTACCTGCCGACACGGTCCATCGACCCTACACGCCGACCACGTGGGTGGTAGCGGTGTACTGGCCGCCATGTTTACACAGGCGTTTAATTACAGTTTTATTGGTCCCCGTTCTTATCGTCCAACAACAAGGGAGGGAAGTGTAGGACGTACTAGTCGTCTGTCAAACTTTATCGTCATGCCACGTCTGGGTACATCATACGTGATGGAGGGTGGGGGAGGGTAGGGGGAGGGGGTTACTGCCGAGCGTAGATTTTCTCGAGGTGAGAGTTATCTCGCGTAACGTAAACAAATCTCCAGCAGACGGCGCTTGTCGTGGGGGTCGTGTAAAAACTCGGACGATGAAAGGCACGGGGCGGGTGACTGGAGTGCTACCAGTTTTTTCTTGTGGGATGTTTTTTTTTCAAAGGTCGAAGGTCAACTGTAGGTTACAGTTTGTGCCTTGGATGGGGGTAAAGAGGAGTGAAACAATTATAAATGTCAAAGGAAAATATGCAAACAAGAATGGAGTAACTATACGAAACAAATCATTTTTTTTCTTTTTTGGATTAAAGCACACATAAATGAAACATGAAAGTATAATTTGTGATTTAAAAAAATTGTTGCCTGGAAAACTACAATAATTTTTTCCATAAAATATGTTTAAAATGTATCAAATCTTAACAAAATGCTTTTGAGCTTCTAGCAAAATTGATCAGTGTTTTTAACGGAACAAATATTATCATGCGAAATAAATAATAGTTAACAAAATTAATACGTCAGCATTTAAATCATTTATTATTTTCTAGATATTTTCTAAGTCTTTTTTTAAATTTCTTACGTGTCAGTCTAAAAAAAAAAACAGTCTATTGCGATTGTAATTGCCTTTCTAAATATATTTTCTCAGTTTACAACTTATTAATGATAGATCAACAATGTATCACGGCCAAACTCAATGTTTGATTTATACACACCTAATCAGAGCTAAACAAATCATAAATTCATATTAAGAACATTTTTTTTTCTTGGAGAGCTGTCAAATTTGAACACGATAAGACAACTGAGTCTGAGTAAAACGATAATTATCCCCCTTATCATGTCTACGCTGTCGGCCACGTCTAGCGGCCACTGACCGCGCATGTCAGGAAAAAGCTCGGCAGTTTTGTCCCTTGATCGAGATATGGACGGCGAGTCGACTGAACCCGATGACCGCTAGATATGTTTGTGTACGTCTGGGGTTGTGTGGGGTAAGTTTGTAGATGTTGAGGGAGTTTGTGGATAGTTTTAGGATGGAGATCGGATAGTAAAGGGTTGGTTGTAGATAGACTGGGAAATGGAGGAATTATAGAAAGTTGTAGATGGGTTATATAGGAATTGTGGAAAGTTGTAGATGGGTTATGGAGGAATCATAGAAAGCTTATAGATAGGTTATGGAGGAATTGTAGAAAGTTGTAGAAGGGTTATGGGGGGCTTATAGAAAGTTGTAGATGGGTTATATAGGAATTGTGGAAAGTTGTAGATGGGTTATGGAGGAATTCTAGAAAGTTGTAGTGTGTATTTGGTGGAACATTTGTAGAGAGTAGGAGGGGAGGGGGGTATTGCATATATTTTGTGGGATACAGTTTGTTTACAATGTGTTTGGTAAGGGTCTATAGAGTGTGTTAGAAGGTTTGTTAACGTTTATAAAACGGTGTAAAATGCTATGTGGGGACTCACGGAGTATTTATAAAGTTTTACTGTTTTTAATGTTTACAAAGTTAGGTATTTCGAGTTGGTAAATGATTTGTCAAATTTTTTGGTTTTGTTTGGTAGATGGTTCATAAATGTTTTTTAGACATTATTTTAGTTACTTGTAATGAGAAAGAAATAATGCATAAAGTTTTGCCCATCAGGACTACGGCAAGAGAAATTCTATATAAGTTTTGTTTGTTGAGGTGTGGGGATGATTTTCACAAGAATTAGAATTCAGACATGGACCCATCGGAAATTTAAAATCAATGGCCAGCGGTTGACCAAATAAAAATATAAAGACAACTAGGAAAATTTAAATTGGGATTACGAAATAATAGTTAAATAAATGAATCATGTCTAAATCCAAGGATTAAATTAATTAAAATCTAAGGCAACTATTGTTTTGAGGAACTAAATACGTGCCCATTAATTATGACACAAAATAATTCCTTTTGACTATTTGAAAATCTAAAGATATAAAATTATTTTCTTAAAATTCGAGAAAAATAACTGGGATCAAGCCTTGCTTTTTGTGTTTTTAGGTGTTTTCTTTTTACAAAAACCACGGTGTTTGTTGTTATTTATAATTTCGTCAACGAAACAATATTAAAAAAAAATAAAAGCTCAGATCAATTAGCTATATTTCCTCGCTACACAGTAACTAAGCAACTACAGAAAATTATCGAAGATTCCCGTTTAAAGTATTGATTTTTAATACACGTTTTATGCCAACAAAGCGCGAGGCTTAGAACTAAACTTTTTCAAACAAGTCCAAATATTTACCAGGAGAGTATATAGCACACTCTGCAGCTCCGGATCAAGGTATGTACATTCTAAAGTAAGAAGCCATCAAACGACAAAATAAAAACGTGACGTGACGGAAGTTTCATGTCAACAGAAAAGTAACTCCAAAGTTACGATACTATTTTCCAGTGTTTTGTATTTTAAATTGTGTAACATACATTCTTTTGAGATTTAATTTGAATATCTATTTTTTTAAGACTACTCTCGGTGCAAAATGGGAAAAAAGACATGTTTTACTTTAATGTTTATAATAAAGATTATTTTCCTTTCAGCCAGCTTAGTACCTACTTCAAAACACTGGCTTGCTCAAATCACGTTAACATAACCTCAAGTATCACGTGATCAAACTACCGGATGTTGACGATGTATGACTAAACAGGAAGTGACATCAGAGACATGCCACGACGAGACTGGGAGGTTGAGTGGTCCCATAAAACAAGATGGCACTTGTCGATTAGCCGTACCCACAGAGCCAGAGTTGATAACGCCCACACTGAGTCTTTAATTTGAAAACAAAACGTTACTTCACTTCAAAGTTTCTTTCAGGCATCTCTTAAGGGGGGGGGGGGGGAGGGGCGAGGAAAGGAAGAACGTCTACCAACGACAGAAAAAAACTAATGTAAATTTATAAAGTACTAATAACATTGCGCACTATTATGTACATTTAATTTGGCGTTCACTTGGTGTGCAATTCTTTTTTTCTACGAGATTTTATTCTATTTTAAATTTTTTTAAAGTATTTGAAATGGATTAAAAATCATGTCTATATCCAGAGTTCCCATCCCCTGTTGTTTTATATAAGAAAATTCTAGAAAGTTTAGGGGAGATCACTCCCGTTTTATTAAACATATCTAATTGCAACGAAAGAATATAAATTATTATTTTTCACATGCATAGGATCTGAAAGTGGTTGCCATTAATAATGGTACAGATAACTCTCCCAGACAACCAGAAAACAACATGGGTTAGGGATAACTCTGTCAGTTAGGTGAGCTCCTAGCCATACTGAACGTTGAAACAAAAACAGCATATAGCAGTGTTGATATTAAATTGTGTGGTGGGAGTTGGTTAAGAACCTCCAAAAAGGAAACAATACATCTATTACCAGTTACTTAAACGAAATTGTGATTATCAGTATTTTTTACCTCTTTGGATAGTAAAAAAACGTACAAATACAGAAATACACTTTTGTTTTAATCTTTGTTTTAGTGCTTTTAAACGCTTGCATTTATAAATTATATATATTTACATGCTTTATTTAAAACTAGAAAATGAAATTCTGTTGCCTTGCTATGCTGAGGTAAATTACAGTATTATACACACAGTTTAGAATTTGTCATTCTAGGTTGTAAAATAGTTTATCAAATAGTTTCGTATTGATATTTAGGGTAAATCGTCGTCAAAATTTATTTAAAGAAACTATTTGCTGCTTTTTAATTTTTACAATTAACATGTGATGCTATATAACAGGGGTCTCCAAACTACGGCCCGCGGGCCGAATGCGGCCCGCAAGGTCCTCTCATCCGGCCCGCGGAGATCTTTTTGTTCACGGAAAAAACGTTTGTTGGTGATGGCTGAGGAACTTTGCCCAGAAAAATCAAAGATATGTCTGGAAAAAACTGGCCCCCGAACTGACAATTGATAGTTAATGCGGCCCTCGGACTGAAAAGTTTGGAGACCCCTGCTATATAATAATAATAAGCATTTAAAGAAAAAAAAAACAGTTCAATATCTTGACCTGTATTTTCTT